GATAAATGGGACCTCATAAAACTAAAAAGCTTCTGTTCATCAAAAGAAATGGTCTCTAAACTGAAGAGAACACCCACAGAGTGGGAGAAAATATTTGCCAACTATACATCAGACAAAGGACTGATAACCAGAATATACAGGGAACTTAAAAAACTAAATTCTCCCAAAACTAATGAACCAATAAAGAAATGGGCAAGTGAACTAAACAGAACTTTCTCAAAAGAAGAAATTCAAATGGCCAGAAAACACATGAAAAAATGCTCACCATCTCTAGCAATAAAGGAAATGCAAATTAAAACCACACTAAGATTCCACCTCACCCCTGTTAGAATAGCCATCATCAGCAACACCACCAACAACAGGTGTTGGCGAGGATGCGGGGAAAAAGGAACCCTCTTACACTGTTGGTGGGAATGTAGACTAGTACAACCACTCTGGAAAAAAATTTGGAGGCTACTTAAAAAGCTGGACATCGATCTACCATTTGATCCAGCAATACCACTCTTGGGGATATACCCAAAAGACTGTTACTCCAGAGGCACCTGCACATCCATGTTTATTGCGGCACTATTCACAATAGCCAAGTTATGGAAACAGCCAAGATGCCCCACCACTGACGAATGGATTAAGAAAATGTGGTATCTATACACAATGGAATTTTATGCAGCCATGAAGAAGAACGAAATGTTATCATTCGCTGGTAAATGGATGGAATTGGAGAACATCATTCTGAGTGAGGTTAGCCTGGCCCAAAAGACCAAAAATCGTATGTTCTCCCTCATATGTGGACATTAGATCAAGGGCAAACACAACAAGGGGATTGGACTATGAGCACATGATAAAAGCGAGAGCACACAAGGGAGGGGTGAGGATAGGTAAGACACCTAAAAAACTAGCTAGCATTTGTTGCCCTTAATGCAGAGAAACTAAAGCAGATACCTTAAAGCAACTGAGGCCAATAGGAAAAGGGGACCAGGAACTAGAGAAAAGGTTAGATCAAAAAGAATTAACCTAGAAGGTAACACCCACGCACAGGAAATCAATGTGAGTCAATGCCCTATATAGCTATCCTTATCTCAACCAGCAAAACCCCTTGTTCCTTCCTATTATTGCTTATACTCTCTCTACAACAAAATTAGAGATAAGGGCAAAATAGTTTCTGCTGGGTATTGAGGGGGGGGAGCGGGAGGGGGTGGAGTGGGTGGTAAGGGAGGGGGTGGGGGCAGGGGGGAGAAATGAACCAAGCCTTGTATGCACATATGAATAATAAAAAAAAAAACAAAAAAACAGGTGTTGGCGAGGATGTGGGGGGCGGTGTGGCGGGGGGAAGGAACCCTCTTACCCTGTTGGTGGGAATGTAGACTAGTACAACCACTCTGGAAAAAAATTTGGAGGCTACTTAAAAAGCTGGACATCGATCTACCATTTGATCCAGCAATACCACTCTTGGGGATATACCCAAAAGACTGTTACTCCAGAGGCACCTGCACATCCATGTTTATTGCGGCACTATTCACAATAGCCAAGTTATGGAAACAGCCAAGATGCCCCACCACTGACGAATGGATTAAGAAAATGTGGTATCTATACACAATGGAATTTTGTGCAGCCATGAAGAAGAACGAAATGTTATCATTTGCTGGTAAATGGATGGAATTGGAGAACATCATTCTGAATGAGGTTAGCCTGGCCCAAAAGACCAAAAATCGTATGTTCTCCCTCATATGTGGACATTAGATCAAGGGCAAACACAACAAGGGGATTGGACTATGAGCACATGATAAAAGCGAGAGCACACAAGGAAGGGGTGAGGATAGGTAAGACACCTAAAAAACTAGCTAGCATTTGTTGCCCTTAACGCAGAGAAACTAAAGCAGATACCTTAAAGCAACTGAGGCCAATAGGAAAAGGGGAACAGGTACTAGAGAAAAGGTTAGATCAAAAAGAATTAACCTAGAAGGTAACACCCACGCACAGGAAATCAATGTGAGTCAATGCCCTGTATAGCTATCCTTATCTCAACTAGCAAAAACCCTTGTTCCTTCCTATTATTGCTTATACTCTCTCTACAACAAAATTAGAAATAAGGGCAAAATAGTTTCTGCTGGGTATTGAGGGGGGGGAGAGGGAGGGGGTGGAGTGGGTGGTAAGGGAGGGGGTGGGGGCAGTGGGGAGAAATGAACCAAGCCTTGTATGCACATATGAATAATAAGAGAAAAATGAAAAAAATAAAAAAATAAAAAAAACCTAAAGAAAATGAGATGGAGGCATGGGAGAGAGGGAGGGAAAAGAATAGAAGGAGAAAAAAATCCCACTTTGCTCACCTATAAGAAGCAAAGTCCTTATTGATTAAATTTTAAAGAAGTCAGTGACTTCTTTAAAAGGAGAGAGGTCCCTCTCTCCTTTTTTTTTTTTTTTTGGGCAGTAGTGGAGTTTGAACTCAGGGTTTTGAGCTTATTAGGCAGGTGTTCTACCACTTGAGCCATGTCCCAGCTCTTTTTGCTGTAGCTATTTTTCAGGTAGGTCTGGGATTCTTGGATGGGCTGCAGGCTTCACTTCTACTTGCCTTGCTGCTTTACCACAGCTGCAGTTACTTCTTCCAGGTAATTGTTTGAGGCTGGATCCATGTCTTCCAAGATCCTGTTTCTGTTGGTCTTTTGGCTTCCACAAATCAGGAGAGTACTCTAAATAGAGTCTAGAGTGATGACTCCTTTCTGGAAGGTTTTCAGTCTACTTTCCCAGATCCATCAGAGGAAACACTACAGCAGCTACAGCCTAACAAAAAATCCATCTCCTAAATAGTAAGTCTTGAAAGTCAAAAGCTCTCCTTGATCTGTGGCCTACGAAACGGATGTGCTGTTATCCAGCATAACCAACACCAACCTCTCTGTGCACCTCCATGAGGCCCACTGCACATCAATGAGCAATGGCATTTTGAACAGTCTTTTTTCCTGATCCACCAATGTCAACAGTGGTAAGACATTCCCTAAGCCACACTGGAAGCAGCTTTGCTGGCATCCAGGCTTTGCTGTTCCAGCAACAGAGCAAGGCCGAGTAGACCAAGAATCATACCTAAGGGACCTGGCATTTTCAGAAGTCAGTGAACACTGGCTTTGATTTAGAGCCACTGCTGCATTATCCTCCAACAAAAGAGGCAGCCTGTCCTTCGAAGCCTGGCGATGACTCTAATACAGGGTTGCTTTGTCTACACTGAAAGTCCAAAGTCTTCAGGAGATTTTAGCCAGATCTTCTGGATAACTGTTTTTCTTCTCTGCAGCGCCTTGCCCATGCTAGGTAAGAGCTTTACCACTGCGCTATACCACTCCCTCCCACCAACTCCAGCACGGATCTAGGTAACTTGCTGCAGTTTCTATGTCAGTGTTTGCTGTGTCACCTTATGCTTTGTGTGGTACAGATGGCTTATTTCCCTAAAACTCATGAACTAGCTTCAAATGTTTCTTCTGCAGCTTCCTCACTGTTGTGACCTTCATAAAAGTAAACAGAGTCAAGGGCCTTGCTCTGGATTAGACTTTGGCTAAGGGAATGTTGTGGCTGTTTGATCTGCTGTCCAGACCAATAAAGCTATTTTGTTTTCTTATCATTCATGTGTTCATGGAAGTAGCACTTTTCATTTCTTTCAAGAACTTTTTGCCAAGTGTGGTGGTGCACACTTGTAATCCTAGCATTGGGGAGGCTGAGGCAGGAGAATCATGAGATCCAGGTCAGTCTGGGTTACAAAGTGAGTTCCAGGCCTGTATTTCCAGTCTTGTTAAAACACTATTCCCTAAGGTTGAGTGAGATGTTTTTAAAATGTCTGTGTTTGTATTGTTTCAACTGTTGAGACCAATGTGAGAAATTTCTACAAATTTTTTTCTAAGGAAGTTTTTGTTTTTAAAAAAAGAAAAGTGTTTTTAAAAAAAGAGAAGAGGATGGAGATGATTACTTCATAGTGCTAGCTAGGAAAAAAAGTGTGTAGCATTGTGAATTCTCAAGATTTAAGCATCTGTCTTGATGTAGTTGCTCCACTGTGCAGAACATGAAATTTTACACATATCTACATCTCATGACCCACGTGAGCTTGTCCTACTGACCTAACTGGGGGCAAATGGAGATGCAGAAAGGACAAAAGATAGAAGACAAACATGCACAAAGCTGGGGTCAGGTGTGCTGGGCACTCAGATGGAGACACACAACAGCCTTGTTACTTCTGTTTTACTTCTCTTCCTTTACTTTGCTTCTTTTCTCTAGTCTTTAAAACCTTACTTATTTTTTCCATGCTTTAAAACCTTACTTCTTTTCTATTCTTTAAAGTCTCGGTCCTCAGACTCGTACTGTCCCATGTTTCCTCTAATCTCTAGCATAACTTCTAAAGTCTCAGTCCTTAAGACTGGCAGACACACAACAGCAGCTGGCCCCCTTGCAAGCAGCCACACCCTTCCACCTCCAGCAAGTCTTTTATCTACAGTGGCAAACAAGGAGGTGGAGCAACAGTTCTTGGAGAGGGCCGTGACACTGTAACAAGAGAAATCTGTGCTCACTACTCTCTGAACCTAAATATCTTAGGAAAAGCAGCTGTGGTGCATTTTGCCCTCACCCCCTTCTGCAGCTGGGGCCGTGCCAACTCAGCCTGCAGATTATTTGATATAGCTGTGTTTATGTCAAGTTCTCATAGGCTTCTCATAATCCACTCCCCAAATCTAGATCACTCCATACTTAACATTTCACCTATTTTATATTTTTGTTCCTATCTTTCTTGAATAATGATTATTGAGTAAAAAAAAAAAAAAAGACTAGAAAAGGACCAAAGAACAAGAGGGTGTTTGAGAAAGTTATTCAATTCTACCTTAGTTCAATATAAATATAGAAATTTTCTATTTTAAAATGTCACATATTTAAAGTCAGCTATAGTGGCACAAATATTACTTCAAACAATAGTATGCCCAAAAAAGTGACTGCATGATTGTTTATTTAAAATATTATGACTCTGGGTGTAAATACATATGGATGGTCTTATATAACTTATGGTTATTCATATAAACCATTAAAATGCTTCATAGTTCATCACTAATGCCTTGTGTTCTAGTAAGCACAATAGTAAATTTTCTGTCTCACTGAAAGTGTTTGAAGTGTTCTGAGTCTTGATTTGTGAAGTGATAACTAAAAAACAACTTAAGCTTAACCACATCAAACAATAATATTGTATGTAATGTCATGGATTTCTCCATGACAGAAGAGTTGTATACTGTTATTGCACAGTTATAGATACAGGTTCTTATGTGCATCTCTCTGTATAACCACAGTGTGCTCACTGCAGCTTGCTCAATACATTTAAAATTATGAAGTACAATTTACAAAATCTTTAACAATATACTTTTGTAATAAAAGTATCCTGAGAATATTACAAAATTCATTTTTCCAGCCCTTCATTTCTTTGCTTTATTTGACTCTTTAATTTCCATTATAGTTGTCATATCTCATTACATAAAAATTCTCTTAATTTATATTTCCAACTAAACAAAATAAATTTAAGCTAAATAGCATACAATTGTTCCTTAAACACTTAGTCCCCCTACCTCCAGTCTCACTGGTTAAAATCAAGTATTTATCAAGCTTCCTATAATTCTGAATCAGAAAAGGTATAGCACAATACAGACAGAAATAGGATTAGCATAGTTAAGTTAAAAGCATTGTGCATTTTAAATATTTTGGTCGTATTTTATAATAAAATATTTTGGCAAATAATAAAATATAAGGTTTACTTTCTATTAGTGGTTGATCTGGAGGACATTTTACATTTGTAAATATTATCTACTTAATTTGACTGTTTGCACATTTGTTTCCAAAAACACTGCTAAAAGGTTTTCAGAACTTTGAGAATAAAAGCACCTAAAAAATAAGAAATAACATAAAAATAAACTTTAGATAAAGTGTTTGACGAGAAATCTATGAACTTGCTTTTAAGAGTCTGTACGCCATGTCTTGGGATCTTTATTTCCTACAGAGACTTATTTGACTCAATGTTAAACTTTGAAATAACAATGTCTTCTTAAAATGTATTTGAAAATTAAGATGGGAATTCAAAAAATGTAATGAAAAAACAGTGGCAAAAAAAGTTGTTCTGGTGGCAGCAGTTGTCATGGCACAAAAAGACATGAGAAGATGTAATTTGTGCATATATATATATGTGCACAAGCTATGTTCAAATAAGAGGTGTATATACATACACACACATGCACACACACACAATTTGAGCTCTGGGAGAAACTGATGAACACTGTACACGATGAACCACTTGGCTCATTTGTTACCAAGTCCCTGTGACAATTGGAACAGAGATGTTAGTGTTTGATTCTTACCCACATAACAATTTATCATTATTAAGAGGAAAGAGCTTGCGATTGGTGAGTCTGGTAGGGGAATGAAGGATGAGTGTTCCATACTGTTGTGCTTACTTAAAGATGTCCATGCAGAAATGTCTTCAGGAGCTCATCAACAATGAGCAGACACTCCCTGAACCCTGAATGCACCCAATGAGACACGCCATCAGTTTGCTTTCTCACAGCATTCCTTAGCATTCTACTTAGGTGAAGGGATGTAGCTCTCAAGGGTTTGTTAACTTTTTAAGGCATCAGTACATCAGCAAAGCTCTGTAAGATAACCATGAAAACAGAAGCACGTCAGCTTATCTGGAGAATGATTTCCATGAAACAGGTAGTAAGTCACACATCTTCACAGCATAAACTTCACGTCATTTTTCAGCTCTTCACTCCAGGGGCTCAGCTGGTCTGGCAGGATCCTCATCTTCACAGTACCGTCAGCTCCACAAGAGAAGATGTGATTTGCTGGCCCCGTTTCAATCTGCATCACTCCGGTTCCAATGTTCCTAAAAAGGGACTGTCGGGCGTGTTCACTGATAAAAGTATGGAGAAGACTGAAGGTAGAAAGACTCCAAATCTGAAAGACATCGAGAACATCATGAAAAGTGGGGCTGCTGACTACCTCAAGAATCACTGAAATTCCTGTGCGGATAAGGAATTTCCTAAACAGGGATGGAGACACATCAGTGTAGCTTGCAGACCCTGACACCTTGATCTGTACAAGATGTTGCTGTTATACTGTTACATACTTAAAAGTCTTTTGAGTAAGGGAATAATCTTTATTAACACTGCAGTGGAGACAAGAAAACAGACATAGAGAAGAGAAGCTTGTAGTGCCATTGGTTTTCTGTGTCTCAGCAGTGCTGAGGAATTCTGCTGGGGAACTTTCCATTGGGCCATCCCTATATTGGAATAGTTTGAATACTCTCTCAATCAGGACAACCTGACATCAGAGGCTCTCTACCCCATAAAACTATTTTTCAAGACAAACTCAACTACTAAAACTTGCTTAATTTACTAAACTTTTATATGTTTAGCCCTTTCAAAATAAATGTCTTTTTTGTGGGGGAGTAGTAGAAATTTGAACTCAGAGCAACTCGAGCCACACCTCCGGCCCTGTTTATTAAAGAAAATCATGAGCATCTTCACTTATGCATGGAATCTACACTTTCAAGATATCTATTTTAGGCTTAGGGAGGCCAATTTATTTACTCATTTTATTGAGATCACTTAGGAAAGAAATCTTTCAGAAATTCATTCATACTACTCTATACATGAATTTATTGAATTATGGCTTCTGAGTACACTGTACATTTCAATCCTTTACGTGGTTAAACAATAAACCTCAGAATCAGTGTACAAAACTAAAGAATTGATTTAAACCAAACTATGTCTTAATCTAAACTAATGTCAGTCCAGATAAGAAACTGCCTTCAAATCAAAGAAAAGAAAAATAATCCTGTTGGTATGTTCATTTGATTTTAAGAAAAATCTTTTTAAAAATTCTGTAATTCTAGTGTTTTTCTGGCTGAGAATTATGAAGACAATTTGCCAGATGAACAATTTGGAAGATGAATTCAATGAATTACATAACTCAGAACACAGAGTCAAGACTGATTCTAATGTCTAAATATGTTTATAACCATGAATCAAGCATATTTTAAAATTGAAAAATCACAAAGTTTCACTCAGAACAAAGGACTTATTAAATAGCATCTAGCACAGCTACCACAAAGGAATCAACATTGCTATTACATAAGTAGACCAGTAAGGCCTCAATTTCTGGAGGTTTACTTCGTTTTGCAGTATGGTAGCATTGACCATGCTTACCTTTATATTGCCCTCTGCAGATCCTGTAACAAAATGCTCTTCAGTTGGATCAATAGCAATGGCTTTCACTGCAGAATCATGGCTCTGAAAGAGCCGCTTCTGTTGTCGCTGTCCAAGGTCAAATACACATGTGAACCCTTTTCTGCCACCTGATATTAGCAGTTGATGTTTGGGAGCATATGCTAAAACTGTGGCTCCACTATCATGGCATGTAAATGCTGAAAGTTAAAAAAAAATAGTTAAAACCATTTAATAAAAGAACAGACCTCTGGCTGTGACCAAGATGTGACTAATAGGCCAGGTTTGCTTTTTTGTCTGAAACAATTTAAATACCAGAAGAAATATAGGAAATAATTTGAGAGTGATCCGTAAGAGATGGAAAACATGCTGGGTTCACCTAACAGCTGTGCAGAGCAGTGCTTGGAGTTTTCACAGAAGGTGAGCCCAGCTGAGCTGCATTTCACCAGCCACAGTGGCTGAATACGTCACAAATGTTACCAGTGTCTATGGGACGTCCATGTGTGTCCAGTCTTTGTCTATTATAAATAAAGCCACAAAGAACATTACTCTACAAGTCTTTTTGTGGCATGTGTTTTCATTTCTCGTAGGTATGCATGTAGCAGTATATACATCCTGGGTCATGCTAGGTATGTGTTTAACTGTATTAGAAATTGCCAGAGTTTTCAGAAGTGGTTATACCACTTTGTACTTCTGTCAGTAATTTTACAAAGCCTCTGCATATCTCACTTCTTTCATAGGTAGTGTTTTAGTGTTGCATCCAAAATCTCGTCACCACCTCAAGCCACCTTGATTTTCTCCTGTTTTTGTTTAGAAGTTTCACTCATTGTTTGCATTTTACATGTAGGCCCTGTAATCCATTTTGAGTTAAAGTTTGTGAAAAGTGAGGTCTGCATCAGGTTTTTTCTTGTTGTTGTTGGTACTTTACCCCTTGAGCTACTCCACCAGCCCTGCTTTGTGCTGTTTGTTTTTTTTTTTTGAGATAGGATCTTGCGAACTATTTGTCTGAGCTGGCTTTCAACAGCAAGCCTCCTGATCTCTCCCTCCAAAGTAGCTGGGATTACAGGTGAGAGCCACCAGTGCCCGGTGGCCTTTGTGTTTTTATCAAAGCTCAGTCTACTCTAAGTATGAGTCTAAAACTGGGTTGTCTATACTTTCTGTGCTGTATCTATTTTTAAGCCAATTATCACAATGTCTTGATTGCTATGTTTCAAGACAGTAAGTCTTGAATTAGTGTAAATCCTTTGGTTTTTCACATAAACTTTAGAATCAGTTTGTTGATGTCTACAAAATAGTTTGCTTGGATTTTGATTAGGATTGCACTTAACTTACAAAGTTGGGAGGAACTGACACCTTAATAATACTGTCTTTAATCACATTGAATCTGTGAATGTGGAATATCTCACCATTTATCTTTGATTTCTTTTATTGTTTTCTATATACAGTCCCATACATATTTTTTTGAACTTTTGCCTCAGTGTTTCCTTATTTTGGTACTAATATGGTAATGTTTTTAAAATTCCAAATTCAATTGTTCCTTACAATTTGTTGGTAAACAGGAAATCAACTAATTTTAGAACATTGACCGTTGCCCCCATTAGATATAGGAGGTTCTTTGCAAATTGAGATTTTTCCACATAATTTTGATGTGTGAACAAAGACAGTTTTGTTATTTTTCTTCCACTCCATATTACTTTTACTTCCTTTCCTTGTGTTGTCGCAAGGATTTCTATTAACTATTGGAAAGAAGTGGTGACAGAGGACACGATACCAGGCAATAACTGATGTTCAAATGGTGACCTATCATTAGTTATCAGGTTGAAAACAAGGACTAATGCAGTTTTGGCTTTATCTTTGTCGTTGTTTTGAGACAGGGTCTTGTAACTTTGCCCACACTGGCCTGAACTCAAGCTCCTCCTGCCACTGCCTTCCAGAGGCTACGAGATCCTAGCTGACAAGTGTTTTATATTATGTATGTCCAAATGTCCACCATTAAAGCACAGGGAAGAGTGAATTATGTACATCTGATTTCCAACTCTGCTGTCATGAGCAAAATAAACCTCAGAGGCTGATAAACATTAAAATAATGCATTTGAAAATCAGTTTTAGCTTATGAGTTTCCTGACTTCTAACATTTAGAAGATGCTTTCACAACTTACCGTGGACTAAACTATTAGCAGGTGCTACAAGTGTATCCCACAAGCATATGTTTCTGAAAAAGAGAATGCTTTTGAGTGACACAAAAAGTTGACAGAATAAAAATAACTATGTCCCATAAAATGACAGAAGATTTGCTCTCAAGAAGGCTCTTAAATTCATAAAAGCATCAAATATAGCTAATCATAAATTTATATGATTAGTTTTACACAAAATTTTAACACTATCTTATAAAACTGAACAAATGTACATTAATAGGTATTTAAATACTAAATGAAGGTTTATGATAGAATCTACTTTTGCTTCACTGATTCTGTAACAACAGCTGATGACACACAAGTGGCAGAAGAATATGAAGAATACTTGCTTCTACTACAAGGAGTTTCTATGGAAGATGAACCCAAGACTCCACAGTCCTAAAATCCAGTTTCTAGTGCACAGTGGCCCTTACAGGTGAGTATCAGAAGCCCAACAACTTCAGGGTGTCTGTATGAGGAGATGGGGACAGGAAGACAGATACTGTCTCCCAAACTTTGCTTTTATTGGGGGGATAAGGCTGCTGCTGACCAGCTAATATACACTAACAAGTCTCTCTGAGTTTCTAGTCTTCTCATGAAACTGTTATCTACCTAACAGGATCATGGTGAGGATTATCTAAGCTAACTAAATAATATGGCCAATAAATAGTTTTTGGGCTCAAGCTTTCTGAATACACAGGAAAAATTGTAGAGAGATGTTCATTCCACTAACAACAAAATCCTTTTCTTTTACACTGAAGTCTTAAGATCAGAACATTGCAAATAAAGAAGGAATGAATTTTGTTTTTAATAGCACCAGAATTTCCCTGGCTTTACAATTACTAAAAATGGTCTAAGTAAGAAGGAAGTCTTTATAAGAAAAATTTCTAAAGGCATAATTATTCTTGAGATACAAGTCATAAAAGAATAATAAAATTTTCACCAACACATACCCATATTTCAGTTTCAGCTTTCACTTCTTACCTATTGTCAGTTGAAAGACCAGCTGTAGCTATCAGAGAGGAGGAACTAACGAAGACAAAATCATTAGCTGTCTTGTTATGACACTGCCAAGTCTGGAATGGTTATAAACAAACAATAAACATTACTGTCACTAAAAAGTATATAATCATGTATATGTTTTACTCAAAGTGCAATCATGTACTTTATGGCTTTTTTATATTCTTCATGTCTTTTTATCTCCTAAACTTGAGGAAAGTTGCAGAAGAAACACAGAGGACTTTTACATTGTCTCTCCCCAGATCCAGAGGTCTTTAACATATGTCACATTTGTGTTGCACCCTCTCTCTCTGCCAGACCCTCTTCTACTTTCATAACCAGCTGCATATGTCATGAACATTTTGTTCAACCAAAACGTCAAAGGGAAACATAAGGATGTTAAACTTCAAATATCTCCCTGGACATATTTAGTGAAAATTTTTTTGTCTTTAGGAAAAGACAGAAACCAGGATTTTAGATTACTGTAGAATTAATTATCTTTGCTAAATTGGCATCATGTACTTTTCAGAAATATTTAAACTTTTACATAATTGTTCAAATCATGAGTAAAAAATCACTAATAGCCATCAAAATTAGGAAACCTGTATTACTTTTCACTACTTAATCAAACAATAACTTAATAAACTATGATACATTTATTCAATGAAAAAAGAAAGGCAGTGTCTTAAGTACCATTTAAAATATTTAAATCTGTTGGCTTAATGAAAGTATGAGAAAAAAAAAAAGAGAATGTTCTCTTAAAAGGTATCCTAGTCAATCCTCTCTTACTTCACTTAGATTAGTACTGTATTCTACCACTTAACTATGGATGATTTAGCCAAATCATATCTAGATTCTTAACTTCTCCCTGAAAGGTATTGTTTAGTTCTGAAAGGGCTTCACTGAAGAATATATTAAACATAAGTTTCTCTGAAGCCATAGAAGGTTGATTACGTCTGAATAGTCCTGAATTGAGATGTATCTATATCTAGCTAAAAAAAAAAAGACAGACAAGAAAACAATAATACCAGCCACAAGATGTCCTTTCTGCTCTGTTCATAAGGCTAAGTGCAGAAAATAGTCTGGAGCCCTGGCTTGCTAATTATTCTGTTTTTTATAAAATTGACTTGCAGCTTAGTGAGGTTAGAAAGGACTACCAAAATCCATAGGTTGCATGGGTCTCTGAAGGTACCAAGCTGGCTTACACCATTAACAGGATTCTTATGCTTCATGTAATGTAGGACAGTCTGTAGTAAGTGACTAACTACGTAAGACTAGACAGATTTTACTTAGTCACTTGAATATTTTGTGCCTCATATGTTCTTGGTTTCTTTAAAGTAAAAATTCAAATTCTTGTCTTACCAGGTATGGCTTAGGCATGGTCCCAGTAACTGGACAACATTTCCAGTTGGTTTGATACAAACTTAAATATCCATCAGCATCAACTATTCCAAACTTAGGGAAAAGCATATTTGAAAATGGTTAACATAAATGCACAAGCACATATTTAATCTTACTCGCACCGTGACATCCATGTTTTCACTCTTAAACATATAAATGGTAGATGGTTTGACTTTTCACTTCACTTGTGCATGGAGCTAGTTCACAAAGACATTTTAGTTACTGCTTTAAAAAAATGCAGGGTACACATAAAGAAAACAAACACTAGATACTCATTTAATTACAGTAACCTCCAGTATTGTCTGTGTATTCTCTGTAAATACTCCAAAAATAGAACACTGGATTAAAAGATTAAGCTAAATGACAAAGCTTTTATCGTAAAACAGAAAAGTTTCTTCATTTTGAAAAGACAAAATTAGGACTTTCAGAAACACACAATAACAAAAACACACAAGAATAGAAAGTAAAATGAAGTAAAGTGGAGTAAAAGCAATTCCACCATGAGAACTTGGTGTAATTTGGTTGGGAAGACATAAAACAAATGTCTACTTGGGATACTTTCCTTCTCAGACCTCCAGATCAAATATCTACTACAGAAATTTGATTTTGTTTCCTGTAAAATTTATTTCTATGAATATCTAAGTACTCACGTGGATTTTTTTTACAGCAAATAGATTGTAATAGACAGACCCACAACTACATTTTAAATTCATTATAACTATCTACATCAAGAAAAAAACTGTAACCCCAGTCCCTCCAAAAACAAAAAAAAGAAAGAAAGAGAAACACATTCTGTGTGCTGTGAAGTATTACACTGGACAGCTGTATTATCATTTAAAACTTTCCCTTCACAGACCATTTCCAAACTACCTTATTATAGAAAGTGCTGCTTTGAGCATTCTTATGCATATAGCCAAAATTTGAAATATTTATCAATTTTCCACAAGAAAGCCTTATTTTAATTTGTACTTCCACAATTATTAGTGAGGATTATTGACAATGCATAGATTTTTGGTATGTAGCTCATATCAATTTCCACTATTAAATTGTTTATTTAAAAATTTTAATAGGGATATTGGCCTATTGTTTCTGTACTTGCCACAAATATTCTTCAAGGGCCTAGTCATTTTTCTTGTTTACCTGTGCTCTCTGGAATGGACCTATATATGTTCTTCAGAGGGGGGACACATGAGGAATGAAAGCCATCAACTTTGAATGACAATGTGGATGGATACCAACTCTATTCCATGTCCATTAGAAGTCTGTGCAGACAGCTATTCTAACTGTAATCTTCATTTTTTAGGAGGCTGATGCCATTAATTTGAAAGAGGAAATTGTAAGTAACCATTTTAGCTTTTAGGATTCTCTCTTTTTTTTTTTTTTCCAGTACTGGGGTTTGAACTCAGGGATTCATGCTTGGTAGATAGGCACTCAACCACTTGAGACACTCCACCAACCCTGTTCTGTGTTGGGTATTTTTGAGATAAGGTCTTAGGAACAATTTGCACTGGCTAGCCAAAATCTTCAATTCCCTTCACCTCTGCCTCCCAAGTAGCAAGGACTACAGGTGTGAGCCACTAAAACCTGGCTCTCCTTATTCTTGAATTAAAATCATACAAAAATCACAAGTGACCAAGATGTATATGGGCATGTCATTTCTTAGTACATCTTCCTAATAGTTGGTAGATCCTTTCTCTTACTAAATCCTGTTTTCTGCTTTAAGGAAATACTGACTTTATTATTCCTTTTACCAGTGCTTCTCCCATTTTTTTTTCCCTGAAACATCTCTGAACACATTTGCATGAGATTTGTTTCTTAATTTGTGCTCCCCATCACAAACTTGGTTTCTAAGTATTTCTGTTCTGCTATGCAATCCTTCTAATGAGTAGCTTACCCACTGAACACTACTTTGGAAATCAGCTTTTTAATTTCCAAGAACTCTTTCCTGTCTTGCTACTGTCTTTATTTTATAACAGCCTGTTCTGCCTATTCTTGTTTTACTAATGTAGGATCTTTTTGAATCTGTTTTAAGAAATGTTCATCAGTCATTTATTCTTCTTACTGTCTCTTTTCACTCTCTGAGTTTTCCTGAAACATTCACTGACTTGTGGTCATTCATTTCTATTGTAATTGACAATCAAACTAAGTAGCATTCTTGTGACATGGTGTGATTCTTTCTACCATGTACCCAGTAGGCTTCTCTGCTAAGGGAGATAGCAAGGTTGCTGCTGCACTATTGGGCTCCATCATTGCAAAAGTGAATGAATAAGTTGGCTGCTTGCTTAGGTAAGCAATGAAGAATAGTTTGCTGTGCTTTAAAATAGCCTAGGTGGAAGGTGACAGCCATGGTTAAAACCAAAAAATAAGTCAGGTTGTAGGTGGTCTTGAATACTATGCTGAAGAATTTGGCATGAGGTACCTTGAAGGAAGGTTCTTGAGAAAAACAATCATATAATCCCCCTATACTGTAGTTATGGAGGTGTGCTGTGTGTTTTATACTTTGTGGAAAGAAGAAGCACTAAAGATAAGGGCTGGGGTTGGACACTAGTGAAAAGCAACAGGACCCTGACAGCCAAAATGGACAGTGTCGATGTACTAAGTACATGGATAGGGAACACACTGACAGAACAGAGTGAAATCTGAAACATCTTGAGTGCCAAAAGTATTCAAAGTCGTCCTTTCAGAGCATTTCAGATCTCAGACTTTCAGATTACAGATGTTCAACCAGCACAGACAAATTTTAAAGGCTTCTGCACTAAATCTCCTAAATTTCCCACTGAAGAACAAAGAACATCATTAACTGACATTAGGAAATAAGCACTCAGAATTTAGTTTCATAAATAAATGGTAGACAGAATGCAATACACAGTGATGCAAGAAACAATGTGAAAAGGTTAAAGGGTGGGAAATAGAGGGAAGGAAAAGGTGAGATGTCCCATTGGCTAGGGTCTGTGTGAGTAATTTCTAGTGAAGTTTGGCCCTGAATTTAATCACTGTTTAAAGTGGTGCTAGCATGAGGAGCACCATGAGGCAACTTGAAGAAAGCAGGACATGGGAAGTGAAGACAGCAGAGGGTGTTTCAGAGTGGGGTCAGCAACCTTTTCTTAGACAGCTATGTAAGAAGTGTTCTAGGTTTGTCCACTATCAACAGATCCCCCTGAGATCTGTTGTTGTAGGGGGAAATAACCCAAGAAAACAAATAGTGAGTGGAGTAACTGTGATGATGCACAGAACCTTCTTTACAAAGCAGGGAGCCAGGTCACAGTTTGCTGATACCCAGGCTCTAGAGCACTGTTTCTCAAAACTCCACAGGTATCAATCATAAATATGAGGGTGAGTCAGTAGATCTGGAGAAGAGGCAGTAATACGTACTTCTCACAGCTCCCAAATGTCACTTGCTGCTTGAACCATACTTTTGAGTATACTCTAGGGAATGGATGAAGAAATTGACATTTACTAATGAAAAATGTGGAGAGAGAGAGAGAGAGAGAGAGAGAGAGAGAGAGAGAGAGAATGTGTGTGTGTATGTGTATTATAGCTGCAAGAAAAAACAAATAAATTTAAATGTTCTTTGAGAAAAATTTTTTAAAAAGAGAATTCATATGGATTAATACTCCAGTACTAGCCCACTAAACCGTTCTTTTAAAAAACTCTAACCTTTAGCACAGTCCACCCTTTTCACCACTTACCTTATTTCCCTGATAGTTAAATCTCATCCTTGTGACTCTCGCATTGCCAGCAGACCGAAAGCACGTTATCTGTTGTGAATGGCCCCACTCGAACATCCTGACACTCCCATCTTGAGCTCCTGTCAGATCTGCATTATAAGATGACAAAAGCTGTAAATTCCTGTTAGGACTCTTTGGGAAAATGAATTTCCTGACCCAATGTAGAAGTATTTATCGAAGAAATGCCTAGGAGATAAATTGTGGTCAATTTTTTATATGAATTTATCTTTGTAAGAATTTTCATTTCATAAAGTAAAAGACAGTCATAGAGGCACTTTTATTTGACTGAGAACATATCCTTGAACAAAACAGTAGAAATGTTTAAATTAGATCTCCGTGAATTGATTTTCTTTTTAATGTTATCTTAGTGGTGTCTTAATAGCTATTAATAAATAATTTTTATGATACTTAATAAATTCTTAGGATTGTTAAAGAGCCAATCCTTATTAGTCATAATATTAAAGCTTAACTTATACATTTTTTTCTCTGAAAATGTCAGATTATAGACTTATTTTTGACTTTTTGAGACAGGGGCTCACTCTGTAGCCAGTCTGGCTTCAAACTTGCAATCTTCCTGTCTCAGTCTTCCAAGTGTTGAAAATCTGCTGCCATGTCTGGCAGATTATAGACACTTATGAATACCATGCTAAAGGAACAAATTCACTTCTAAAATTACCCTGATTGACCTGTTATCTCAAATATATGTTATCTGTTTCATGGAGGCTATGAGCAAGCTAAATGATTACTAACCCTTCACTTTCCCACATATTATTTGGGTGATATCAGGGAGTTTCATTTCTTTGACACGACAACTATTTCCTTCTGAGGGGAATAATGACATATAAGCCACTGGAGAATTATGAGACGCATATAAGATGGTTTATAAAAAGCACTTAAAACCAGACCTAACATGGCATCCAAATTATACTAACTATAATTATTTAGGTAGGGAGAAATTATATTACCATATATGAAAACATCTAGCACATGTTTAGTCAAGTTTCCCTAATTCCTTAAGATGTATTTAAAATAAGTGAATTTCAACTGTTTTGAAACATTTTACCATTGGGCAGGTGTGGGAAAGAGGGGTTAGAATTTTTGAGACTGAGGATGTTAATGATTCCTTTGTTCCCCCAATAGTCTTGCTTTAACTTAGTTATAAAAATTGATTGGGCTGGGTGTGTTTTAAAAGCTCTTAAGTTTTTCTAGTGTTATTTACAGTGTTAAAAACTTAATTGGAGGTCTTTAGGCTGTGATGGAACTGTGTGAGCAAAGAAAAGCCCAACTCTGTGTAAACAGTAGGACATAACTTAAGCTTTACCAGTCAAAACTCACAAACTGACCTCTAGCCAAAGAATTCACCAATCAAAAACTGCCACTAGTCAATAACTGATGATTTTTCACCTTAATACTTTTTTCTGTTTTGCTTCCTTCAACAACTTATAAAAGCTGTTACCTTATGCTACCTTGATAAAGCCCTGTACCACCTGTGGGCTGGTGCGTCCTGGTTTGTGAATTTGAGCTGAATGTGCAAATAAACTTAATAGAAACTTACGTGACTAAGTTATCTTCTGACAGTGCTGGTGACAGAAGAGGAAACCATAGGAGACTACCTTATGAGGCTCTCACTGCTCCCTGATGCACATTCATTGGTTACCACAAGTGGGTCCCTCTCAGATGTGAGATCTGCAGCTTTATTTGAACATTTTTGATCCAGACTAGATTGTAGGATGAACTGAGTTTGAAGTAAATTGGACCCAGTAGGTGGCCTCAGGTAGATAAAGTTTTGGCAAGACAAGGAATTGTGGGTTCTTCCGAATTCATGAAGTCTAGAACTCCATCTCAAACTCCAGTTAATTTTATGTATAAATAATATGGTATATAGATTCAGATCCCGTGTTCTTTTGGAGAAATGGGCAAACATTACTAAGAGCATCTAGAATTATGGTGTCCACGATAGGGAAGTTTAACTTAAGACAAAATTACTCATGTATGGGCACACTGGATAAAAAGGAATACTTAATGAATCAGAAACAATGGAAGGAATTTCTGACTGGTATGCAGATGCTTCTGAAAGACTGGATGAATCAGAGATTGCTTCTTTCAAAGTCTCCTTATAGATGATTGATGGCAAGCAAGTAACACTAAACATAATACCGTAAGTGAGCATATTGCTTCAGTTAGCTATCTTTTCAGTGAATGTCAACCACTGTTCATATTGATAATTATTATGACACATTCAAAAGGTCCTGAAGGGATTCTTGAATGACTGATAAGACATTAAACACTTTTATCTAATTAAAAAAGGAGGCTTCCCCATTTAGAAAAAAGTCTCCTTACAAAAGGCAAATGGGAATTTGTGTGTGGGTATGTGGAGGATTGAATCTAGGGTCTTATCTCACTGAAATACACTCCTGGCCTCCAGATTTTCTTTTTTGTAAGCTAGTTTTTTTTGTTTGTTCGTTTCATTTTTTAGTGGCACTGGGGTTTGAACTCAGGGCTTTACACTTGCTAGGCACATGCTCTTAACACCTGAGCCATTCCACCAGCCCTGTAAGCTAGTTTTTAAATAAAAATTTTAGTGAGTTTGTACACAGCACCTGGTTAAAAGTTAAAAATGAAAAGATATAGGATCTGCATCTGTATGTCTCTGCATGCCTGGAGAGATGTCAAATATGTGTGACATTTCTCTGCCTCCAGATAGCATTGCCAAAATTTGTAAAAGAGCTCTATGTAATTGGCTTAAAAGAAGCTCTTAGATAAATCTAAATAGACAATTTGGAGGTAGTCAAAATGTAAGGGAGCTGGTTGCAGGATACAGGTCACTGGGGGCTTGTCCATGGGTCCTTCCTATTATTATTCTGCTCCCTGTCCACCATGATGGACAGAAAGGATTCCACCATTCCCTCTCTGCCATGATGTTTTGAAACCTCTGAAACTGTGAACAAATCAATCTTTCCTTCCTTTAAGTTGTTTTCTCAGATATTTTGTATAGAATTCCTAGAGGCCTGATATGTTCTCGTATCATGCTGCCATTCATACCTTGAGTCACGTGAAAATGCTGCATGCCACAGAAACAATCAAATTTCCTGTTGGTGCTGGGTCACTATTATGAACTGTCCTCAGACAGTTTTTTATTCTGATGCTTTTCTGAAAGCTTTTGCAATTAAGTATAATCAAAAGTATCTATCTTCAAAGAGATTCATGGAAAAGACTCTGAAAAGTACAGGTTTCTGATGCTTTTAGATTATCCCACTGGAGTGGGTAAGAATGTCCAGAACACTAACCAAGATAAGCAGAACAAGAATTAATTACAAGGAAATATAGAATGACCTAATGAAGGATTTTGAATTTTTAATGATTTATTTTGCTTGAAATTAGGTTTACTCTTTAGTGACTTGTTTACAGGATTTAAGGAAAACTGTCATTTCTGTTAAGATATGAGAAAGGTAAAGTATATCTTTGTGAATGGAGATGAAAAAATTATTTTTTCCCTCCTTACCTGATCAGTCTAGAATCTGGAAGCTACTAGTGAGTATTCTTATTTTAATGGCAAAATAGTTATTGGTATAAGAATCTGCTTATCAGAGTTGGGAATGTAGCTAATTGCTAGAAAGCTTGCCTAAAGAGGTCCTAGGTTTGATCACACACAGTGGCATGCACAAATAAGTTAAATAAATAAATAAATAAAATCACTCTCCATATAACAGGACATTAACTGGAAAAACTGGTTACATTACAAAGACATTGACTAGAATATCACATTTGAGAATTCACACAATCAAACATGACTAGATGATTTTAAAGAAGTAAGGTTGATTTTATGTTAGCCAATAAAGCAACGTAAAACAAAACACAGAACATCTGGCCTAGTTCCATAAGTACATAGTTCCCTTACATGGACGTCTTATGGCTCAGGAAGGACTATCATTTTTGGAACCCCAGGATATAGAGACCTTGAGAAGAAAGAAACTCACTTGAATGTACAGGAATACAGGCAAAGTCTGATGACAAGTACTTGGTTTGGCTTTTATAATTCTTTTCTTTTGGTGGGACTGGGTTTTGAACTCAGGGCCTCATGTTTGCTAGGCAGGCACTCTACCACTTGACCCACCCTGCCAGTCTAATCTGAGATGTTTTCTACAAGTTCCAGCCAAGCAGACTTCTTTTTTTTTTTTGGCAGTACTGGGCTTTGTACTGAGGGCCTTACGCTTGCTAGACAGGTACTCTACTACTTGAGTCATAACTCTAGCCCAAAGCACTTTTTAAAAGACTACATGACCAATTACTATTCTTGCCATGCTGGTATAAACACTCAGGCCAAGTTCAATGAGACTCCACCTATTTTGCAAATTAGTCTTAATTATCTTTGGTAAAAACAGAGGTAGCTATAGAATCAAACAGTGATCCTTATAGGGGATTAGGTTCTATAAAAACTCTTGGACAAGGAGATTTGATGATGTTCTTCACTGACGAATGCATGCACATGTTAGGAGGGTTGTACACCTCAACTCTAGGGGGACGGAATCTCCTGTGCTTAGGACCCTTCTGGACCTTATCCTGTATACCTCTTCATCTGTATATTTATAATATCCTTTATAATGAACTGGTAAGTATAAGTGAAATGTTTCCCTGAGTTTTGTGAATTGTTCTTGCAAGATAACGAAACCCAAGAAGGAGGTTGTGGGAATCCCTGTACACAGCCAGTTGGTCAGAAGTATAGGGGAACTGACTACTGGTGACTGGCATCTGAAGAGAGGACAGCCTTCTGGAATTGAGCCCTCAGACAGTGGGATCTGACCCTAACTCCAGGTAAAGAGTGTGTAATTAAAACCAATTACAGAACACTCTGCTGATATTCAGAGCTGAGTAAATGCTTGGAGTAGAAAAATTCAAACATCTGGTATAAGAAGTGCTTGTAAGAATGTAGAGAAAAAAAGTGTGTTCTCCCATCTAGGAAATGAAAAATACATTACCCTGAGTTCTAAAACATTCTCTGAAGTAGCAGTAATGTGCCTCCCAGCATGCACAAGACCTGGGTTCAAACATCAACAACACACATTTCAAAAGGAGTGGGTGATAAAGACTAAGGTTGTTATAAATGAAAGCCCCACTCCAAGAGAGCTCATCTTGAAGTATGTGATCTTCAAAAAGTGAGATTTTAAAAAACCCTGCTGTGTAACATTTTCATTACATAAAAAGCACTTATTGTTCAACTAAATTTCTACCTGTGGAATGTGTTCGGGATAGGAAAAGATGTGCTGGAGGAAAAAAAAAATCCAGTAATTAATTTAATTAGCTTTTCATTTTTCAAGTCTTTTATTTGCTAAGGAAATTCTCTAAATACAGAAAATACTTACCTCCGAAGTAAGTATTAGTAGTAGTGCTACCTAATACATCTACAAGTAGGTCCACTTATCACTTCTAAAGCTAGGGATCTCTTTATTTAGATGAATGGGCCTGAGGGAGGTAGAATGTGTGCTACAGAGTGGACAGGTCAGCCAACTTCCTTCACCATTCCAGCAAGCTTACAAACCCTACTGCACACAGTAAGAGTAGTTTTGAACAAAGCCAAGTATCTCTAGTGTGGAAATAATCTTATTCATACTTACATACAAAATGCATTTTTTGGGGGGTGAGGTAGGGAGGAAGAGTCTCACACAGCCCTGCTGGCCTTGTCTTGGCCTCCTGAGCACTGAGATTACTACATGTGCTACCATTCCTGGATAAAATACATTTTGACCTCTTACTATACAGGCTGGATGACTTTTTCAGTTCTCACTTCACATTAGACTTATGGATAAGTAATTACACTTCTAATGTTGTATAAATTCAATGTAGGGAAAACAGACTAATCTTTCATATTCTTTTATATCTCTAGTAAATGTATCAAGTTATTCTCTTAATTTTTAAATATATAGTTCTCTTGAGTCTTTTTTTGACAGAGCATACAATTTTGGTAATAGATGCTTAACATGTATGAAAAGTGTGCAGAAAAGAACACTGATTTTTGTCAACTGTATCTTATTGGACTATCCCCATGAGAAAAGGAGGTAAATCAGTTACAGGTTATTAACTTGCACAAACATGACTATCTCTTAATTTTTGTTACTCTGTAGTAGGTCATACTGATGACGGGATTAATATAAAAATCATATTAAAAAAACCTGGGAGCTGGTAGTGTGGCTCAAGTGGTAGAGTGCCTGTCTAGCAATCATAAAGCCCTGAGTTCAAACCACAGTACTGCCCCTATCCTCAAAGAAAAAAAAAATACTTGAATACTCACATACCAATATGAATATTGATTCCAACCCTCTAGTTAATCAATACCTCCAACAAATTCCCCATTCATTAAGCTCTTGGCTAAAGAAAGAGCAATTTCTGATATTCCCAGACAGAAAACTGAAAAAATATTCTGCCTTAGAATATGATAATTTATTAATAACCATTCTTAGTAATTAATGTGTCTGATGAAGATAAAGTGACAAAAATTAGTACAATACAACTGATTATAATCAAGCAATAAATGGCTCTAGTCTGTATAATAAAATATGGCAATGACTCTAATTATCAAAGTAGAACTTAGCACTGTCAAAGGAATCCAGAAATGTTCAATGACAAAAGTACAATTTAAAAATACATAGGCAAGAGTGTGATTCAAGCAAGCCGTAGAGCTCCTGCCTGGCAAGTTCAAAACCCTGTACTGTCAAACCCCATTATGGGGGGCGAAGAAGGAAGTAGTGAAAATGCCAAAGTTCACTGCATTAAGTTAGCCTTGTTTATTAATTCAAGGAATTTTTTTCTATTTTTAATCTAATTTTGAAATGAAGATTTACTAGCAAACATTCTCTATAAAAATCAAAGTAGAATGAATGCTGTCTTTCAATTGAAATGAAAAGCTTGCATAAATAACTTATAAAAATTACCAAAAATACAAAAGTAAGGAAGAATCAGTAGTAATTATTGTCCACTTACAGTAAGGAAGAGTTGGGTGAGAAGTCATTCTTCTGACATTATTAATGGTTTTCTTAATCATCTGGTAAAAAAAGAAAAATCATTTTAGGGTTTTAATAAAAAATAGGATTAATAATTTAAACTGCAGGGCTGGGGTATAGCTCAGTGGTAGATCTGGGTTAAGTTGTCAGCACAACATACACACAAAATTAAATTATAAACAGGAAATTCAAATAACAACTATTTATTTTTACTCTGGGTATTAATCAGGTCAACAGATTAAATAGTGCAGCTCTTCCATTTAAGTTTACATATAATTTCTGCATCACTGATAAGGATGAAGTTTAATCAGTTCTTGTATTTAAGCACACATACGTTTTCTGCACCACTGACAAGGATCTGAAAACCATTATCCTTCAAGAACTTAGTTTTCCCTCCTTTCTTGCCTATTCTTTTCTGGTCCCATTATATTTATTGAAATAATCATGAACAGCATTTAGTCAAAAATTTAAGAGATTGATAGTTTGGGAATGTTTAATCATTTTACAACAGTCACTGAATGATTTAACTAGACTATTAATTAAGAGTGAAATAAATATAGTAAATTAAAGAGAAAGTTTTGATTTGTAGAGTATCTCCTATTTAAAGAGCTGCAACTACACTTACATGTTATCATAAACTTGTAGTGTGTATCAATTTCAAGGTAAACTGTCCAGTTGTTCTTTGGGATTTTAAATTGTTCAACTGGACTAATATTTGGCAAAGGTGAAGAGTTGGCATGGGAGCAAGAGAGTAAGGGCAGAAAATGAATCAAAGAGCCATAGGAATGTAGCTACATTCTGGAACAGCAAAAGTTGGTTGCAGCAAGTGTACTTTTTATACAAGTATTCATCACTCAATAAAGTAAAAGGATTAAGAAAATATTTTGGTCAGGCCTGGTGGCAAATGCCTATAATCCTCCCAACACTGATGAGTCTGACAAGAGGACTGCAAGTTCGAGAATAGCCTGCCTACCTACCAAGACCCTGTCTCTAAATAAATAAAAATAAGAACATTTCAATTGCAAATGAGTGATTTCAAATGAATTGTAGAAAAGGTTTTACCAATTCTCTAGAAAACAAAAATCTGATGAATATTAACTTTGTTTAAACCTCATATTTAACTTCTATGTTCACGTTTGGTTGGTTGTTTACATGTCTTTTTGTTTTTTGTCTTTTTTGAGACAGGGCCTGTGTGTAGTCCAGGCTGGCCTTGAACTTGCAATTTTCTTGCCTCAGTCTCCAAGTGCTGGAATTACAGGTGTGTACCACCAAGGCCAGAAAAAACCTATATTCTTATATATGCCTAAAGGTTCCTGTTCTTTCTTTTATCGTTTTGTTACAGACTGAAGTAGCAAAGGAGTGAAATACTCCCCTTGACGCTACACACACACACACACACACACACACACACACACACACACACACACTCACACACGTTAAATTTTTTTCTGAAAGCATAGTATAAAACATGGTAAAACAAGGAAATAACTACTTTAGAAGATTAATATAAAAATTCTATTGGTGTGTTTTCTTTTTGTGGGACTGGGGTTTGAAATCAGGGCTTTGGGCTTGCAAAACAGACGCTCTACTGCTTGAATCACATGTTCAGTTCTGTTGGTGCATTTCCTTGAGAGAGGAACAGGGCAATCCCAATACTTAGGTTCACAAATCACAATGACCCCAACTAAAAAGCTGTACTTCTAAGATTTTCATAGGAAGAAAAGTCAATCCTAAGAGGAATTCTAAAGACAGATTATCTGTAATACTCTAAAGTATTACAGATACTTCTAAAGTATTACAGAAAAATAAATTTTTCTGAGCACTAACAATATACTGAACACTATCTTACCTAGGAATCATCAATCTATAAGATAGGCAAGAGTAGTAAGTTCTCAAATAACTTGCTTACATTCCAGAGAGTATAAAAGAAGACAACTAAATAATGAATTAATTTTAGCAACTGGTAAGAGCTGTACAGGTAATGAGACAGTAAGATGTACTGTGACTGGGGGAACAGTGGGTAGGGAAACATGTCTTCACTAGGAAATCTGCAAATCTGAGTTGAGATATGAATAAAAGAGTTATAAACAAAGGACAAGGAAATAATATTTCAGGAGAGGGAAGGCAAGGCAAAGTCTGACATGGCAATAAGATTGCTGAGTTAGAGAGGTATAAAGAGGCAAGTGGAACTACAGCAAAGAGAAGTGGGTAGAATGACGAGAGGGAGATAAGGCTGTAGAGGTGGCAGGGGTTGAATCTTGCAGGGCCTTAGAAGCTGTGTTAAGCACTTGTTCTTTTAAAGTTGTATTGGGAAATCAGAAATTTTTAAAGAGGGAAGTGACTATCTGAATTATGTTTTAGGAACATCTGCTGCTCTGTGTAGAACAGAGGGAGCAAGAGACCAGCAAGAAAGCTGTTTTAGGAATAACTTACATTCTTGAGGCTGGAATTGAAGAAAAAAATAGTCTATTTCTTTCTATTTATATCTTTTCTATATTTTCTTTAGGTTCCTCTTTAAGCTATTATAGTGCCAATAAATTTCACAAATTTTAACATAATTGTAAAATAGGTCAATTTCAGACTGACCAAGTCTTTTCATATAAATAACTACTACCCGCTATTTAAATTCAATTTAATCCTCAAAACACAGCCACCTAAGTTTAATGAACTAAGAGATCCAAATAGCTTTGGATCAAGGTCTACTACAAATTCAACACGGTGACCTTGAGGGATCTCATGCTTCATCTGCAGAGTAAGTAAGGAGGAACCCAAAATAGCTACAGCAAATAAAGCAAGGAATCATAAGGTTATACTATGCACCAAGTATTAAAGATGACTGAACCTTCACTTGCACAACTCTTCACACTACCTGACGAAAACAAAATCCTTTGGCAAAGGAAAGCATTCTAAAGGATTTATGAAAACAAAAATAAAACAAAAAATAACTAGGATCTAGAAAGCCTCTTAGAAATATGTGAGCTTCTTTGCTTCTGTTTACCAATCGCTACAACCTAATCAATACAGGAAATCACCTCTTAAGTGACTGGGGCTCAAACAGATCCTCCATTACTGCAGAAAAAGAATTTGTTTTGTTCATCTTTACTTTGTGTTTCACCTAACTTCTTAAAATTTTACCTTGTTTTTGTTTAAAAAAAAGGAAGACATTGTCTCAGCATTAAGGAAAGTCATACTTCAAATGAACGATTGTGAGCTGATACCCGTTAAAAGACATTCTCTAGACCAGGGTCAATTCTTTTTAAAAAAGATTGGACACAGACACACGTTGTGGGCTGCATGAACATGTGCTTTCTGTGCAGACACACTCAATTCTGCCACTGTAGGGTGAGGGTACCACAGGCAAAACACAGATAAATGACATGGCTGTGCTCCTATAAAGCTTCACTCACACATAGACACTGAAACTGAATTCTACATAATTTTCATGTGTCACAAAATGCAATGATTTAAAAAAAAATTAGGGCTGGGGATATAGTTCAGGAGTAGAGCACGTGCCTGGCATGCATGAGGTACCGGCACCATAAAACAAAAAAGAAGAAAGAAAAAAAATGCAAACACCATTCTCAGCATACTAGGTGACAGGTGGGGCCACAGCTAGCAGAAGCCTGATCTGGACCATTTAGTTTCAAGGAGTTATTAATTAAAATGGAGTTCTTCAGTTTTTAAACAAAGTATATTTTTAAAGCAATTTTTGTTACCCTTGCAAATGAAAACACTATTCCTCAATATCAAAATTTCCAAAATGTGGCAAATATATATATATATATTTACATATATATATATATATATATATATATATATATATATATATATACACACACATATATACACACACATATGTGTGTGTGTGTGTGTGTATAAGATGAAGTATTACTCAGCCATAAAGAAGAATGAAATTATAATGTTGTTTTCAGGAAAATGGATGGAACTGGAAACCATTATGTTAAGTGAAATAAACTGGACTGAGAAAGACAAGTATTACATGTTCTCTCTCATATGTAGAATCTAGACCTTAAAAAAAATGAGAGTATAAAATGGATGGACTGTTTAGGAGTGGGAACTGTAGGAGGGGAGGGTGAAAAGAGAGAGCGAAGAGGGTGGGGTAAACATGATTGAAGTATTTCATACACAGGCATGAAAGTAGAATAGCGAAATCCATTAATATTTGATCAAAAACTGGGGGAGGGGAATAAAAAAGAGTAATAGAGGGTCAATTTGATCAAAGTACATCATATGCATATATGGAAATATCACATTAAACCCCTCAAAAAATTAACATACATGAATAAAAGAGAAAAAGTTAAATCTCTGCTGGATTATATCTGAAAGTGTTTTCAATCGTCTTTTATCCATTAGGTAGAGGTGAGCCTAACTGTCTTGAAGGGCACCTACCACAGAGGCTCCGCGGCCAGTCTGCGTGCTGCCAAGCCATGGCATGTTGATTGGAGTGCCAGGAGTGCTATGAGTGTACGGGGTTGTGCCCTGCACAGCTGTCATGTCATCACGAGCATGTATAACCAGGAAATCTTCTGACCTACAAAGAAATGTCAGCCAGAATCAAACACCCACCAGTTTTGTACTGCTTTTTACACTTGAGTGTTCTTATTTCACTTTTTAAAACTCCTGCTGCCCTCTATCTCTTCTGTAGCACATCAGCTTCTACTCTGCTTACAATTTAGGACTAGTCCTTTGAAGAATCTTCTGAAAGTTATAGTTCATCCATAAAATCCCTCGCATTACTAAATAAATAAAACCAAGTATGAAAGTACCCTTTGGCTTCCATTTCTATGTCATCATCCACCCAAGTATAGATCTGTGTAGCCAGAATTCCAGAAACATCCAGTTCTTGAACATCATGGCTAGAGGCGATTGCTATGCAATTTCTATTTGCCTGAAAAACAAATCAATTTTTTTTTAAGTAAAAAAGCATGATAGGTATATGGGCTACTTCTGAAAATAATCTCTAGAAATAACTAAAGTTCAGAATAGTGTCCTTACAAATTGACATTTCCAATGAACTTTCCCAGTTAAATCTTTAGTGGAGCAATCCCAAGTCTGAGCCTGCATGTTTGTGTTCTAGGAACTCCAGCACCAGTAACTGAAAGCCATCATCATCTGCAATGCAAGTACCAACACTATGTCTCCAGTCAGCTGGAATGTTATGAGCTCCCTGAGATTTGCACAATTCAAAAATGTGCAGAGGCCAGGTGCAATGGCTTATGCCTGTTGTACAGGTACCTGGGGGAACCTGATGCAGGAAGATCACTTGAACCCAGGAGTTGGAGACCAGCCTGAGAAACAAAGTGAGACCTCATCTCAAAACAAAACAACAAAACCTACAAAGATGTGGAGGAAGATGCTGAAGAAGACAGAAGCCCTGAAAGGTAGAGAAAGGTGGGGGAAATAAGAAGCTCTCTACTTAATCTGAATGGTTAATTATTCAAAAAAATATCATTCTCTCTTAAAGCCTCTCCACATTAGAAAAGAAATAACAGAAGTAGGAGATACAGAGAAAAGGTGTAGGGGAAGAAAAACAGAAGAAATCGTAAATGAAAAGTTGGTCAGATTGAATGACATAAACTTCTAAGGAGATAAAATTAAAGCACACATCTTGATGTGGGGGTGTAGCTCAGTGGCAGAGTGAGTGCACAGCATATGCCAGGCCTTGGGTCGCTGGTACCACACACATAAAATGCACATTTCAAATAGAGAACAGGAAGATACTGACAACAAAGAGAAAACAGGGTTAATGGTACTATTATGGATATAAGCAGACTGTTGGGAGATATCTCTCCATGGGTCTCTCTGATTAGGATTGTCTGTGACTCAATGACTGCTCTTTGTTCTACAGTGTCACTCCCAGGATGCTTATGCAGCCATAGTCTGTCCTTCTCATGCAGAGAGCAGGTATATGGCTCTCCTGTAGCCTTAACCTGCTGCATGTGTGGTACAATACTCTCCGGCCCACTTTTGTCACTCTGTGAGACTAGTGTGAAAATGCTGGTATTCTGGCTACTGCTCTTGCTATTAGAAATAAACTGTCCTCATCTGATTCCAGGATTCGTGTGTCTTCAAGCAGCATCCGCTTAACTTTGAATAATTAACTTGTTAGCTTGAATGTAAGGTAAAATTTCTGCCCCTTCATAGTGCTCAATATAGATAATTCCCAACTAAACAAATGGACGAAAGTTCAACCTCAACAGCATTTTTAAGAAATCAACATTAACAGCAACAAATGTTATTTCTCAGCTATAAATTTAGCAAAGATTTAAAAACAGGGCATCAAAGCTAGGGAAATAATAAAGCAAGTATACTTGCTGCATGTGGATGGCTACGCATTTCTATTTGCTTACGTAACAACCCCCCCCAAAAAAAGGCTAATTTTGTATGCTACAGTATTTAAAACTATATTTTCTCCAGGGGAAGGCAGGTACTATAGGGTAGAGACAATAATTTTGTATTTGACTGTATGTACCATGTTATATAGATAGTACAACTTGAGGACATCCTGGCTAAGGGGCTAATTACATATCTACCTGTTTTAAATGCTCAAAACTATCTACAAGGGAAATAAGATGAAGAATACAGGGAGGTATGAGGAAAGAAAGATAAAGGAACTGTCTAAGAGAAATCAAAGAGAAGACAGACAAAGCATTTGAAGATGAAGAACCAACTAGGGGAAGGATTTCTGAATGAGCGATGTACACCTAAATAATAATTAAAAATTGCTGCAAGCAGGGTGTGGTGGTACACCGGTAGTCCTAGCTACTCAGAGGCTGAGGTGGGAGGATCATTTGAGCCAGGAACTCAAGACTAGCCTGGATAACATAGCAAGACACTGTCTCATACCCTTCGCCTGACCAAAACCACACCCAAACAACAAAACACAATGCAAAATAAAGAGAACATGAGTATGTGTATACACACACACACACACACACACACACACACACACACATATCCACCTTTTAAGTGTCGATTTGGAAGACTGTTAACATCTTAATGGTTTCCTTAAAGTTAATGGAAAGGAAAGGAAACAAAAAGAATAAGTAGAATACACTAGAAATCTATGCAGTAAGGAAACCAGGGAGACAAGTGGGAAATGATTAAGACAAATTTCAACCTTGAACTGTTACCTAAGGCATCCTCTTCAATTGGTGTTTAGAGACATTGCTAAGGAGGAAGTGAAGTCGAGGGCTAAGGAATACAAAGAAAACATACTAACTGGGTAACTACTGGAGGTTTAAGTCAAAGAGGGAGAACTTTTGAGCCACACGTAAGCTTAAATTTTATGAAATATTAAGAATTTCATTCAACATGCTCACATAAAGGCATACAGAAAACCATTTCTTTGACTTAATGGCTACAGTATCTTGCATAAATTCAAAAGCTATTTTATATGTAATACTTGATATTCCTTTGTGTAGTAATAAAATATTTTATTAGTTATAGTCCCCAAATTATACAACAAGAAAATCCAATTATTATAGAATCACATCACAAAATAAGAAAAACTTATTTGGATTATAATTTAAAGGAGTGGAAAAGTGGAAAGTAGCTTTGGGAAAGAGAAATATTAACTCAGAATAACTGTTAAAACAGAAGACATTCTCCAACTACAAACACTTACAGAAAAATGCCCCTGTACTTACTTTATTAACAGCAAAGGCAGTAATGATATCTGATTCCTTATGAATAATTCTTGCTTTACCTCCAGGATATCCTAAATCTGCTTCTATCTAAGTGGAAGAAAACAAAATACAAAAAATAATGATTTTAGTAACAGAATGATATATGTCAACCAATCATTTAGTATTTGCATAAATACTTTTAAGAAAGACGTTTTTAGATATTTCAATTCCAAAGGTACTATTTAACATGTTAAGTATTCTTAAAACAAAATTTACTTGACAAATGGAATTTAAGTTTTTCAAGCCTTTTTCACACAGAAAAAGATAGTTGATAGAATATACAACTCATTAATTATTTATTCTCCCAGGCAATGCTGAATTAACTTTAAAGGATAACGACATTTTCATTATTGAAGTAAGATTTATTTACAAGTTTCTTAGCATTATACTTGTTTACTAATATATATATATATATATATATATATTTTTTAAACCTATTAAAAATGTATAGACCATTCTTAGCTCATGCGCTATACAAAAACAGGTGGTATATGACTGGCTGGCTATAGCTACTGCCTTCTAAAATAACTTTCAACTCATAGAGGAGATGCTGAAGTCCTGGAAGGCATGATAACACATTTGGATGTCAGGAATTGGCTATAAAGAAGCTGAGTGAACTGTATGTAGTTCAGTGTAGTTTGCTTGGGGGGCAGACAGCTGACATTCTGATTACCTTAAAGAAGGTACAGATAACATCTTTGAACTTAGCAGAGAATGGTACATAAAACCAGCATTTATTAAAGTTAACAGACATTGGGCATTAGTAAATAAAGAAGACGCAATTATTAAGAGCTAGAAACATTGCGTAATGTAAGATATTACTTCATCTCATATCTTCCTTAGCCTTCAATCTTCTAACATGAATTACTATAAAATGTTTCACAACTCATTGTGAAGTACAGAAATTATTAATTTTAAATTAGCAGGTAAGGGAGGGGGTGGGGGCAGGGGGGAGAAATAAACCAAGCCTTGTATGCACATATGAATAATAAAAGAAAAATGAAAAAAAAAAATTTTAAATTAGCAGAAAACAAAAATATTTCCTAAAAAATTCAGAGGAAAAGCATCGCTAATGTCTGCCCACTGATCAGGAACACACAGGACTGGCAATATTCTTAAAAAGTGGCAATTAATGCAACTGTTCAATTGCAGAGTTGAGATTTATACAACAATGAATGAAAATACCCTTATGCAAACAAAAATCAGAGTCCCTAGATGTGAATATGTCAAGTATATTCTAATCTAAAATGTACTTCACTTACAAATGTAAAAGAATTTCAGTGTTTGCTGAATAGTCTGGCTTGAGAGTCAACTTGTCTTGTAAGGAAAGTCTTAGCTCTGGCTCACTATCCAGTCAGAATGTACAAGTTAGACTCTCTAATTTTATAACAGAATCCCACATATCCACCAGAATTCCTGGTATCTAAAGTGCACTAAGTATCTACTACTAGGCTTTGGAGAATCAGGAGCACAGTCCCACCAAACGCGGATCTGTTCTTTGCTGGTAAAGTTGGAGGAACATGTCAGTGTCACATGGGGAGCATGTCTGAGAGCAAACTCACAGAGACACGAACTTCAAAAAGCTCTATCAATATGGGGGTACACTCCTATTCTCTCACCTATAACAATGCTTCTCAACCATGTGGTGTCATGGTGTGTCAGGTGAGAATATGAGGACTTGAACCCTATGTCACACACACAATCTGAATTTCACATGGGTGGGGCAAAGGCACAGAAGGTAGCTTCTCAAGAGTTTTAGTTTTGTGGCATTTTAGAATGCCTGTATGTTTGGGAGCTCATGTGCGCCTAAAAAGCTTTAACCCAAACTTTCAAGGACAGATAAGACAGGATAATTCAGTAGTTGTCAATCAACTGGCTAATATTAAGACCTAGGAGACTTTTTTTTAGTTTTTTGGCAGCATTGGGTTTAAACTCAGGACCTCACTCTTCCTAAGCTGGAGTTCCACCACTTGAGCCACACCCCAGTCCTTTTTTGCTTTAGTTATTTTTCAGGGACAGTTTCATTTTTTTGCTGGGCTGCCCTCTGACAGGGAATCTGAGGTGCGTGCAACCCCGTGTGGCTCATTGACTGAGATGGGATCTCGCTAACCATTTGCCCAGGCTGGCCTCCAAACACGATCCTCCTGATCTCCACCTCTCAGGTAGCTAGGATTAGAGACTTGAACCACTGCACTTGATGAGAAACTAGGTGAGGCAATGACTTTAAGAAAATGTCAGGGGTCAGTAGTAGCAAATGATACTGAAAAGTTAAAGCAGAAGAAGTCAGAATTGACTACCTTTAAGTCACTCATGACTAGGACAATCTAAGAGGAGTGGGATGAATGCCTAACTAAATTAGAGAGACTGTGACATCTAATAAATAGAGCAGGGATCACAGAGACAGTCAACTGAATTGATAATGTTTATTTCTTAAACTGTGTGGTTTGTTCATGGTGTTTCCAACATTCGTTGAATCTTCTTGAGTAACTTTAAAGGCAATTCTACAAATGGGTAGAAAAATGCAGTGTGTTAAGGTAATATTTATTACCTTAAAACAATAAGGTAACAATCTGAGGGAGGTGAAAATTCATGAAGGAGAAGAGAAAGGGGAGAAGAACTGAAGCAAAGTCCTTATGGAGGTAGAACAGACAGGATCAGTATACAAGTGAAAGACAAGAGTGAGAGTCCATCACTGTTACAGGAGGCAGGGCAAAATATTTTCCTGTCTAGTAAAGGCCAGATGTGGTGGTGGTTAGGTTACAGCTAAGTAGGTAACCTGAATTTATTTGTTAAAGGAATTCAATATGCAGTTGAAAACTGCATCATTCCATCAAACACTTAAGAAATAATACTATCTCTACACAAATTCTTCCCACAAATTAAAGAATCCCTGCCAAGTACTTCAAAGAGATGCCAGCATAAATATAACACTAACATAAAAAAGTAAGACAACTACAAACCAATATCTCTCATGAATATAGTATAAGAATTATTAAAATTTCAGCAAATAAAAACTAACAACACATTAAAGGGATAACATATCATGACCTAGTGGGATATATATGCCATGGTTTCATATTCAGAAAAGACCAACAACAGCCCTCCTTAGTTATTAACAGACTGACAAAGAAAAACTATATGCTCATGTGAGTAGTATAAAGTACACAAGATGGGAAGAATATGTTTGCATATCTTAAAGCTAAGTTGTCCCTAGCCCTGCAGATCCACACGGCTCTGCTAAGTGCTCCTGATCCAGATGATCCAGTAGCACAAGATGTAGCAAGTCACTTGAAGACCAACAAAACCCAAGTCATGGAAATACTTAAAAGCACAGACTAGGCTATCCGCTATAAATATTAAATCAATTTGATCTTCAAATGTATGTCACTCCACCTCTCCTACTAATACTTCTTTCCCTTCTTCATATGCATTTAACAGGCACAGTATTAGAAACATTACAGAATAAAAGCTGGACATCTTCAATCTTTTGGTGATTGAATGCACATTAGCAAATCTTTGTCTAGGTTGTCATCTGGACTGCTGTAAAATGTTTAAAACCAATGGCTCTTTTATACATTTCCTCACAATCATTGGGGTGATAAAGCACAGAGTATGAAGATAAAGGAATAAAGCACAGTGCGTGAGGGTAGTTGTCAGGGTTAACTGCAGTGTTTTTCTGTATTTTTATTTTTTGAGGGTGAAGGTCGAGTTAATTTTATGGATTCTAGTCCCACTTTCTATGGTGATCTAATTGCACTGATTAAAAATAGCTAACTAGTTCTTTAAAATATGCTCTCTAGCAAACTCTAACTTTAGTCACTGTAGTATACAAGTTTGACTGCTTGAACCAAAATGGTAACATCAGACAAATATCACAGGCCTACTACTAAGACTGCGACTCTGCTGTCAAGTGTACATTTCCCTCTTCAAAAACACCTTGTGACCATCTTGTATGGCTTATCTGGAAACTTCTGTTAATCTTACACTTTAGGGAAATATTTTATGTTATTTAAAAAAAAAACTCTGAATATGGTAACAGAAAAATACCTGTTTGAGCTTATAAGGGTAACTACAACAAACCTATAGGTAACATGAAAATTAATGATGAAAGACTAAATTCGTTCTCCTAATAGCAGAAGCAAAAATCTGTTCTCACAACTTCTATTCAACTTTGTCCTAGAAGTTCTAATCAGTGTGATAAAGTAAAAGAAAAAAAGAATGAAGACAACACTTTGAAAACCAAGGATAACTTTGAAGGACTGACACAATATCCGGGTTAAAAAACTACAGTAATCAAGACAGTGGATTATAACCAGGTGTGGTGGTACACACTTGTAATTCTAGCACTTGGGAAGCCAAGGCAGGAGGATTGCGAGTTCAAGGACAGCCTGGGATTAGATAGTCAGCTGGGGCTCCAGGCCAGGTATGCTTCACAGTGAGAGCCTGTCTCAAACAATGAAGCCTGCAAAACCCCAAACCAATTTAAGTGGGTTATCAGCATAAAGATGGCAAACAGATCAATGAATCAAAACAGAGTCCAGAAATAGAACTACACATGTGTGTCAACTGATTCTTGAAAAGGGAGAAAAGGCAGCTTAGTAAAAGAAAGGATGTCCTTCTGAAACAATTGACATATTTACAGACACACACACACACACACACACAGATGTTGCAACATATAAAAAAAATTAACTCAAAATGGATTATAGACCCCAATGTAGTTCTAACACTATAAAACCACTAAAAGAAGGAAACAGGAGAAAATCTTCATGACCATAGGTTAGGCAAAGACTTGAAAATAATAACAAATGGAAAATGCATACACAGAACAAACTGATACATTAGACCTCATCAAAATTAAAACTTCTGCACTACAAAAGAAAGGTAAAGAGAATGAAAAAACAGGTCACAGACTAAGAGAAAATATTTGTAAATCATATTATCTGATAAAGAGCTTTTTATCCCACATAAAGAGCTATTAAAATTCAATAACCCCCCCCCAAAGTAGACACAAAGTATGAAAAGACACTTCACCCAAGGAATTATATGAATGACAAATAAGATTTTTAGTGCAAAGTAAAGCCCCAATAAACTACCACTGCATACCAACTAGAATGCCCCAAATTAAGAGAATGATGGAGGGGACGAACAAATTTGGGGTATAATACACACACACACACGTACACATATGGACATGTCACAATGAAATTCCCTGTACAACCATCATAAGCAAACAAAGATGTCCTTTTTTTTTTTTTAAATGAAGGACAGGAAGGTAGAACAGGTCCTGTCCAAGGGTTGGTACCAGTAAGAAGGGGGAGATAAAAAGAAATGGTGGAGGGTGAATATGGTGGAGATATTATGTACTAATGTATGAAATGGAACAATTAGACCTATTGTAACTGTTTTAAGAAGGGAGGAACGGGGATAAAGGAGAAAGGAGGAAGGGATGAATCTAACTAAGATATATCGTCAATATTTTTGTAAATGTCACACTGCACCCCTGGTACAACTATAATATGCTAATAAATTTTTTAAAAGTTGACAATATCAACTGTTAATAAGAAAGCGAAGTGACTGAGATTTCAAAACAAAGCTGCTAAGAATGTAAAATGGCACAACAACCTTGGAAAAAGAAGTTGAAAATACCAGAGGCCTGGGATGTAGCCAGTGATAGAGCATCTGCTTATCATGTGGGGACTGGATTCAGTCCCTAGTACTATAAAAATAAATAAACTGGGCCAGAAGTGGTGGCATATTCTTGTAATCTCAGCTACTCAGAAAGCAGAGATCAGGAGGTCTGAGGTTTGAAGACAGTCCTGGCAAAAAAAGAAGTTAGCAAGAACCCATCTCAATAAACAAGCTGGGCATAGTAGGGCTTGGGGGCATGGCTCAAGTGGAAGAGTGCCTGCCTAGCAAGCACAAGACCCTGAGATATAAACACGCTTTTGTACAATTGAGTATTATTCAGCAATAAAGAAGAATGAAATTATGTCATTTGAAGGAAAATGGATGGAACTGGAGATAAGCCAAGCTCAGAAAGACAAATATCCCATGTTTTCACACATCAGTAGGATGTAGACCTAACAGAAAAACAGATATAACATGACTGTAAAAGGAAATTGATGGAGAGGGGGGAAATGGAAGAAGGGAGAGGAAAAAGGAGAGCGTGGCGGGTATTGAATATGATTGAAGTACACTGTATTTGTTATGACACCTACTAAAAACTGTCACAAAGGAGGGCAGGAAGGAGAGGATTAAGAAAGAGTAATATAGATGGTATGAATTCGATCAAGTACATCACATGCATGTATGTAAATATCACAATGAAACCCCTTTGTACAATTAATTTATATTAGTAAAACATTTGTAAACCCTCAGGAGAAATCCCAGCACCTCCAAAAATAAAATAATAAAAATTAAGAAGTTAAACATACATTTAGGATATGATCCAGCCATTCCATTCCTATAAAATACCTAGGTCCATACTTAGAGTCTTGTGCATGAATTTTCAAAACAGCCTTATTTGAAATAGTTTCAATTGGATCAGAAGGTAGAGATAAGCTGTGGTATATCCACATAATGAATGACTATCAGCAATAACAAGGAATTACTAAAATACACATCATGGAGGAGTCTCAAAATAACTTATGTTAATCCAAACACACAGATCCAAACCAAAAAGACACAATCCCATTTACAGAAAATCTCTGCAAATTAATTTGTAGTTGCTAGGGGAGGAAAAGAGAGGGATTAAAGTTTGTGTGGTGTGGTTCAACATACGAAAATCAATAAACGTAATAAACCACATTAACAGAAACAAAGACAAAAACCACTTGATCATCTCAATAGATGCACAAAAAGCCTTTGATAAGATCCAACACCATTTCATGATAAAAGCTCTAAGAAAACTAGGAATAGAAGGAAAGTACCTCAACATTATAAAAGCTATATATGACAAACCTACAGCCAGCATTATACTTGGAATGGGTGGTAAGGGAGGGGGTGGGGGCAGGGGGGAGAAATGACCCAAGCATTGTATGCACATATGAATTAAAAAAAAAAAAGCCTGTGTGGTGGTGGTGATGGCTTCACAGGTATATACCCTTGCCCAAACTGAGCAAACTGTGCCCTTTAAAGTTGTGTAGTTACTTTAAGTCAAATACACCCAATAAAGATATTTTCTAAACAGTACAGTAAAGGTCTTGACAATTCTAACTATCATGGTAACCAAACGTAGCAGGGAGATGAGTTTAGAAATACAAGATTATGATTATTAACAATGTATAAATTGTTAATCTTTGAATAAGAAAGAAAAATCTTTGAATAAGAATTCCTGGTAATGCATAGAGTGTAATTAGTGATCAATAGCTAAGCAAAGAAAATTTTTCATTAAAAATGTTAATTGTATTTTCTCAAAACCAAAGAACATTAGAAATTTTCAAAGTATAGACCATATATATTTATTTTTGGTAAAGTTTTAGTTGTAATAAACACCTGATATCAAATCTGTCTTTCTGATTTAACTGCATAGAATTACTTCTTCTGTTTTACTAAAAGATTCCTTCCTTAAAATCACTTTGCTATGAAATTGTCTTAAAATTAGTGAACCCTGTAAAATAGGAAAAGTAAGGTAAATATCAAAGTCATATCTGAATGTGCAACCACAGAACATGTAGGAGTCATTTTATGATTGCACTGCTTTGATTGTTAAGTACTGTGAGTACATACAATGTACTGCCATATGGTATGCCTACAAGTAAAATCAATGCTATAAAATAATAGTTACTACTTTTAGGAATTAATAGCATAAGACACACATTTTAACTTCAGAAGTGATACTTGCAGAAATGGAAAAATGCTACTATACTTTTATAACTGCTAGTGTAATTACATTTACTAAGAATTTCAGTTGTATTTACTTAGAAAAATCTGTAGCCAACACAGGACACATTCAACTCTCCTTAAAATTGCATTCTCGTATTTGACAAAAGAGAAGATATTTTTATGATTGCAATATTTAAGTTGCTAATATGAAAGAATAACTTGAGGGAACAATACTTTCATCCCATTGGAAACAAACTCTAGTCAAAAAGTAAAATGCAAATATTTTTTGTTCTTATTAAGAATGCAATTTCTAATTCCTGTTGAATGACATTTTGTACCTTATTGATGTTTTGATCCTCCATCATAGAATTTTTGATGGTTTCACTGTTGTCCTCTAATGACTTCATCAAGAAAGAGTAACCACATGACAAAGAGTAAAGATGAGATGCAACATGCAGAAACTGGGATATTTTTTAAATTATATTTTAAGCAAAATTTACTAGCAAGTATATGGAACTGAGGTACTATTCTTAAACTTCATACCCCTTAAAAGAAGTATACATGAGAGCACATGATTAGTAATGGGTAAGCTTAATAACTCAATGAGCTCAGAACTCATTAACTACTAAATAAAACATTTTACTCACTCATTATGAAATGTTAACATTAAAACAAGATTGAAGCTAACGTATTTTCTATTTAAAAATTCAAAGTCAGGTTATGACCAACTAAAAATCATAATCAATTTGTTCTCTTTACACACAACTGTTTCTTATCTCCAAGATACATGACCCTCAGGGAAACCTCTTTATTAGGAAAACTCAAGTTTCTCCCCAATTCTCCCCTCCTGATCCTGTCAGTAATAGCAAATACACAGCTTGGAGGCACACATTCTTCGTAAAGGGGACAATGGAACTTGTTAAAGGAAAAAGATCGTTCAAGACTTTAAGTACACAGAAAATGAAAATAAAATTGAAAACAAAGTAACAAAGATGGCAGCTATCAAGTCCCACTTTGGTTGGGAATGGCTCCAATGGTCTATCTCCAGTCATTTGAAATTAATTTCCAACTAGACACAAACAGGGAACATATTTTATTTTTTAGAAATGCATCCTTCAGTAAGTGACACTACATAGAAAAAGAAAAGATCTGGAACACAGTAGGATTTTAAGGTACGATGAAGAAATATAAAGTCAGATAAAGAAATGGTAAAAACTCATTTTCTAGAACATAAAGGAATAAAGAAACAAAATATTCTCCACTGTCTCTCATCCAAAATATACACCTGTCATTTATCTTCTAATTACCCGAAAAATCACGATGAATTTAACATAATCATCACTTTATACAAATAAGAAGGTAATTTTGTAAATATCAAAAAAAAAAAGGCTTTCTAGTAGGGATTAAATAATTTTAAACCAACTTTATAAAGTTAGGATTCTATTTAACTCCATTCATTTTACTATGTAATTTTTTTCTTTTCATAATTCCTTTATTAAAGACTTTCTATGAGTATCATGATCAATAATCAAACTACAAAAGCAATAACAACTAATTTTTCATAACCACCAGTGACTGTACCGGTGTTTAAGTAAGCTAAATCTGTTGATAAAACACTGCAAAGTAAGGGGTGAAACAGTCATTTTGCAAATAAAAAACTAAAAATCAGCAAAAGTGTTTTACCTTACTGATTAGTTTAACACTTATATGCTCATGCTTTTGATTAACACAACTGCAATGAAAATCATTGAAATTTTTTCTTAAAATATCATGAAACTCCAAAGAAAGCTATGAATCAAATAATAGAGAAATATAAGAATGTGCAGTTCCCATTATCTGATATTCTTACACACTCTGGCTGGGGCACACTACTCTGATCCACCTAGACAATCAATCTGCACATTCATATGAAATGGTGTGCCACAGAAAACAAAGTAACAAGCAAAGTCAACATTTTTGTATATAGAACAATGAAGCAGTGTTTTATACACTACATCAAAATGCTATAAACATTGCCTTTCCAGTAAGCAAATCCTTATTCATCTTACACTATTCTCAAGCACATTAATTGTTAATTGCATTTATCCAAACATTTTATTGAACTGTTTTAATGGTAACTAACATGTAATAAATATTTAAGACATATTTTATATGTTTAAATTAACAAATGGAATACACTCACATCTTCTATAGTTCAATGTACTACACCAAGGTCTTCATGTCAAAAGTCCTCTAAGTCAGACAAAATACTGTATATTCTGCTTCCTGGTGTGATCAATTTGAATATATGAACAATAGCTGGCATATAGTAAATGACATTCATCTGTCTGTCTGTCTAGCCATCCATCCACCCACCCACCTATCTATGCAACTTTCCTTTTACCCAGAGTTTAAGATCATCTTGCCTTTTGCTTACTTGTCTATTGTGAAACCACTCTGTTTCCTTATTTCTCCAATTTGATTTATCTTTTGGTTTTCCTCCCACTAAAATAGTACAAGGGGTGCCTTCAGACTAGTTCAGTGCTACTCAAAATGTTGTCCACAGACCACTTGACAATTTCAAATTTTTATTACTGGCTCAGGGGAGACAAAGAATCAACCACACAACTCTGTCCACTGTTCAGTTCTTCTGCTATTTTTAGTAGCAAACCTTTCTCAATGAAGGAAGGAAGGAAGAAGATGTGCATTTACCTCAGATGCAAGTTCCCCATGTTATCAAACTGGTACTTTTTAGTAGCACTGAACTAAATGACAAAAATTAACCACTATATGGTAATATCAAGGTAAAAATCAACTGTTACAGCATAATTATAAACTAAACTAATTTGAGTTTGCAAAACTTCATTTAAACATAATCCATAGAGTAAGAATAAATGTACATATTTTAAATGTCTTCAGACCAAACGCAGTTTCAATTAAACTTCTAACACTTCTTTTAATGATCACATGAAAATCATAGGAAATGTCTACCTTGTCTCTTAAACAACTGATCATTACAACTTAAAACATAACATACAGAATCTTAACTCAATATCCATTTAGGAAAAAAGTCCCAAGTACATCTAAAATAATGACATTAAGTTAGATTGATTTACAAAATTACCCCCTTTCCATTTGAATCACTTTTCTAAGTATCAAGCACATGTGCCTTATGACAGAAAATCAGGTTTTCAAAAATATCTGTAAAATGTATCTCATTTTAATGACCACATGACAATATAAAAGACTTCAGGTTTCAACTTACACAGACCTCATTTAGACATCGCTTCTTTGTGAATATATTCCTGATAAAGGTTTCTTGAATTTCTTCCTGCTTCACCAAGTACTGCCAAAGCCTCTTCACAGACAGGGCCAGGTGATGTTTAGATCTACAGAGAGATGGTAAATTTAATTATATATTTCAGAGATGTCTGACGAACTTGAAAATTCCTTGGTATTATATAAACATTCACTATAATATGTTAAATAGAATCAGATTATGATCCGGTGAAGCAGTCAACAAGCCTTTTCTTAAAGGTTTTGGGGCCGTTAAGTTTCTATGGCAAACACCCAACTCTGCCATTGTAATGAGAAAGCAGCCATAAATACAGGTTGTGTATGCTTAATCCAAAATGTGACAAAAATCCAAAATGCTCTAAATCTAAAGTGTTGGAAAACTGCTGATATGGAACTCAAAAACCTTTGGATTTTGGAGCATTTCTGATTTTGTATTAGGATGTTCAATTGGTAAACTCAATGTAAATATTCCAAATCTGAAACTTCCAGACCTAAGCATTCTGTTTTTCTTTCAACAAGTGTTTTTGTTTTTTTAATTGTATTGGGGTTTGAACTCAGGGCCTTGTACTTGCTAGGTGAGCACTCTACCATTTGAATCATGCCACCAGCCCTCAGACCCAATCATTTGGATAAGAGATACTCACCTGTAATATGCAAATGAAAGGTATGGCTCTGACCCAATAAAATGGGAGGAAGGTTGGATTTGGCTAGAGGGGCTGGCCATAGTTTGCTGACCCCCTAATCTACAGAACTGGATCTAACAAAAATAACTATGCTTCTAAGAAGAGAATTAGAAGCAGAGCTACTCAAAATTCCATTGTAGACACATACCAGTTCACAAACTCTTTGTTATGGGCATCAACAATCTAAGAGCTTCTGTAAGAACATAAACCAACTATATCACTAAGCCACTAAACACACTATGTAGTTCAGTATGTATTTTTTTGTAGCACAACTTTGTAGATGAAGCTAGCAGTACAGTGATTTGATTTACCTCCTCATGAATAGTAAAACAGTTGCTGGATGGCTATTCTGAGTGACACTGGTCTATAGCCGGTGTCAATAAATGATGGTACATACGCCAAATGTAGCCTGCTCCACACTTTCGAAGAATAAAGTTTACTGGCTCTTGGCCAAGCTTCCATTGTACGTGGCTGCTTTTACTCTACAATGCAGAGTTAGATAGACATAACAAGGACATCTCCTAAAACCTAAAATAGATTTACTGTATGGATCTTCAGAAGAAAAGCTTGCTAACTTCTGAATAATCACAAACATTACACAAAGACAGATTTAAGCCTAGAACAGAAAACTAAGCATAGATCTTAAGAAGTTTTTTCTCTCTCTTTTCATTTCTCTCTCTCAAAACATACCTGTTCTGTAAAACTCCTACTTAAAAACATTATCCATAAGAAAAACCTACTTGAAAGGAGTGTTTGTAGGTTCCAGTAAAGCTTTGTGGCGGAGAATTGCTGGACCTACAGACAAACTCTCTTCAGAGGTATGACTTGAGATGTAATTTTGAGGTGGTCCGCCATGGATTTCAAGCCGTCGGAGAAGAACTTGTTCCCAACACTGAAGAGTTTTTAGAACCGCATGACAAAGAGGAGAACTGACTGGAAGCTCTAAAAAGAGAAAATATAAATGAACAAAAGTTTGTGTGTGTGTGTGTGTGTGTGACTAGAGTTTGAACTCAGGACCTCATGCTTGCAAAGCAGGCACAGTACTACTTGAGCCACATCTCTAGTCCACTTTTGCTCTGGTTTTTTTTGGAGATGAGGTCTCTCAAACTATTTGCCTGGGCTCAGCCTCCTAAGTAGCTAGGATTATAGGTGTGAACCACTGATGCCTCCCCCACAGGGTTTTTTATAGTAAAATGCTAAAATCAATAGAAAGCCAGAAGAGAGGTATCAGGAGATGTGGATGTGCAATCTGGTAGGTTAAAAGGATGCCATAACTCTGTACAAGCATTTCAGCATTACTAATTCTGACTTTAATTTCATATAAAAAAAATCCTGAAAACTGTTAAAATATGTGGGAGGAAATTAATGGCTTTAAACCATTGTATCAGCCGACAGGCTAGCAGGAGGAAAATTAATTGCTTTAACCTTTTTATCAGGTCTGTATGATAAATAACATTAAGACTTGTTTAGAAAACAGAAAAATGAAGTTTAAAAAAGGTCAAATAATATTTTCCATGATAATCAGCACTTTTAAGTTCTAGCCTTCCATACTCCTATGTCTTGATCCCACTTTCAGGTTTTAGCTGTTTTATTACCTCCTCAAATCTATGTATGCTTATGCTGTGAATGCTTATTTTTTAATTTTGGAAATGACCTACTGACTCATTACTACAGAAGAGAGTACTAGGCTTCTCCTCTCCCCATCATTCCACACAGTCTCTTAAAAAGTTTTGTCAATGTTTCAGTATCTATCTCATTATATATGCTTATTATATACATAAGTACACTTTGTATTTGAAACATCTAGTACAGTACCATGCCCTGTTATTTCTTATGCAACCATTTCCTCCTCTGGAGTTCATAACTGTGCTTTTGTCTGCTGAGTTTCCATATGTCTATTAAACACCTCGAAACACTCAGATAGAGCTATAAATAGTCTCTATATTGCTAATCACATCAGGTTCATACATCTCATTTCATAGATATTGCCTTCCTGAAACATCCAGTATGATAGGCAAATTTACAGATCTTTGGTTTAGTTTAAAAGAAGCCTGTTTTTTACTATAGCAAGTCATTAAGCTTTTTCTAAAAAAGTATACAAAAGAGTAAACAAAAGCAATGGCCCCAGTAATTCATATAAAGAGGCTCGTTACCTGCAAGATCATGACCTGCAAAGGGATAGAAAGCCTTCAGGTTGCTGAGCACCAACTGCACCATCGTCAGTCGCATCAATGACCAACTAAAAATAAAGCAAAGTGGTTCTGTTATATACGTAGGGATTTGTAGGAGGATACCACCCTTCTACCCAATCACAACACTATTGGAATGTACACTGAAGATACACCATCATAAAAACATTCAGTTACTCATGTCAGTGTTATTTCCATAGCAGCAGAGTAGAAAGAACTAAATTGTCCATCAGGAGAGTACTGACTAAATAACTACAGTTTAAAGTGTGCAATTTTAAGGTAATGACAAAAAAAAAAAAAAAAGAAGGATCTCTGTATTAAAATGGAGAGAACTCAGAGATTCCAAGATGGTGGCTAGAGGAAGGAAGCATAAAGCGTGCCTCCTGAAGTAAAATCTTGGAGAGACGCTGGAGATACAGCATCCAGGAAAAACCACGAAGAAGAGGCAAAACTTTGAATCCTCCACACCCCAACCCCACGCATAACATTCTCACTCCACATTAAATGGAGAAACCAGGAGGGCTCCTGTGCTGCCAGACGCCAGCACCCAGACAGCTTGGGAAGACGCAGACCACAAGGTGAGCTAAGCGGCACGTGGTACTCCCTCAGACAACCCTGGGCCAGATCAGCATAGCTCCCTGGACAAACTGACCCCTACCCAGGGAAAAAAGAAAAAAAAACCTGAATAATAAGCAATAACAAAAAAAAAGACATGTAGCAAAGAGGGCGGGGCACCCTAAGCACTGAAGGGGGGGAGGGACAATCCCTCACCGAACTGTAAATAAACAAGCTGGGCCAGAGAAAGCAGGAGCGGCAGCACATGCCCAGCAACCAGGAGTGGGAAAGCTTGTAAAAGTAGCCGTGGGAGGAAAACTCCACAGAAGAGGGGGGACAACCTACTTCCCAAATGAACTGTAAATAAACATGCCAGCCTGAGAAAGTGGGTGCAGTGTCACCTCCCCCAGTGTGCTTGGAAAGGGGACAGATTGTAGCAGTGGTGGAGAACTCTAAGTAAACAAACCTGAGGGGCTAGGTGAGTGTTAAGCTCACTCCTGAGATCTGCATAAATAAAGCCTTCAGCAACAGCAGGCTGACAGCAGCGGGCAGATAAGCTGCAGCCTCAGATAGCCATTCACAGAACTGTCTCCAGACTTTTTTTTTTTCTCCCTAGGTTTGATGAGACAACAACTGAACTACACCTACATGCTGAAAAACTTACTGAAACTGTATTGCATTTGAACTTGGGACATTTTGTGGTGTTTTGTTTTGTTTTCTTTTTTTTTGTTTTTTTTCCCCTTTGATGAGACAACAACAGAACAACTTCTGAGGCACCATCTCCAAGACTGGAACCTGAGGGACTAACACCAAAATTATAAAGACTGAAACATTATTGCATTGAAACTTGGAGATTTTTTTTTTTTCACTTATTTTTATAAATTTTTATTTATTATTTTTTTCTCAATCCTCTCTCTGTGTCTCTAATGCCTGTTCAGCTTACTGTTGATTAGTACACTATCTCCCCATTTATATCTTTGAAACTTTTGTTTTTTGGTTTTGTTTGTTTACCTGTTTTTCCCTCTTTCTTTAACTTCTTTGCTTTCCCTGTCCTCTCACCCTTCCATTCTAAATATCACCATTGTTATAATTACAAGCTAGAAAATGCTTAATTGCACACAGTACAGGGACAATAACAACACCAAAGGCATGAAGGAAAGACAGAAAAAACAGGGAAACCAGTTTCCCCACAGCAAAAATTAGTAACAGGAACCAGAGGGAAATGAAGAGAACAGATACTCAGATCCAGACTCCAACAAAATGAAGATAACTATGCCAAAGAACCATGAAGCCCACAAGAACAATCTAAAAGAAGAATTCCTACAGGTAATCAATGAGAATTTGATAGAGATGATACGGGATATGGTCAACCAAAATGTACAGGAGACACTCAAGAAATTCCAAGACAATAAAAATACAGAATTTGAAAAAGCACAAGAGGAAATAAAAGAAACCATAGAAGCACTCTATAAACACCAAAGTTTAAAAAAAAAACACGATTAATAAAGAGATAAAGGAACTCAGGAGGAAAACAGACAACATTAAAGAGGAAACAACCCAGGATATGGAAAACCTCAGAAAAAAGAATGAAACAGAATTGCAAAAACAAAATGGAAGGCCAATCCAGCAAGAATAGAAACAAACAGAAGACAGAATCTCAGAACTCAAAGATTGAAATGTAATTAAAGAAAAAACCGTAAGAACTATAGTTAAACAAACTCAAGACCTGTTGGAAAAGAAAATGCAAGAACTCACTGACTCCATCAAAGACCCAAACCTGAAAATCATGGGCATTGAAAGAAGAGAGGTTGCAAGCAAGGAATGCATAATATACTCCAACAAAATAATAACAGAAAATTCCCAAATCTAGAGAAAGATATTCCCATACAGATGCAAGAGGCCTCCAGGACACCAAACAGACCAGATCAAAATCAGAACTACCCCATGGCATAATTATCATTAAAACCCAAATACAGAGACAAGAAAGAATATTGAAGGCTGTAAGAGAGAAAAAACAAATAACATACAAAGGTAAACCTATCAAAATCACAGCAGACTTCTCAACAGAAACATTAAAAGCAAGAAGAGCTTGGGGTGAGATCTTCCGGCACATGAATGATAAACTTCAAACCCCAGGATACTCTACCCAGCAAAACTAATCATTCAAAATAGATGGAGCAATAAAAGTCTTCCATGATAAGCAGAAACTAAAACAATATGTGACCACAAAGCCACCACTACAAAAATTCTTTCAAAGGATTTCTGCACACAGAAAGTGAAACCCAACATAACCATGAAAGGGCAGGCAGCACCAAACTACAGAAAAGAAAAAGCAAGAAAGTAGAGAGCAACCTCAACTTAGGTACACACAATCAAACCTTCAAACAACTAAAAACTAAATGACAGGAATCACCACATACCTATCAGTACAACACTTAATGTTAATGGACTTAATTCCCCATCAAAAGGCACCTTTTGACAACTGGATTAAAAGGAAAGATCCAACAATTTGTGCTTACAGGAGACCCATCTCACGACAGAAAAAGATAGGCTTAGGTATGAAAGGCTGGGAAGATTTACCAAGCCAATGGCCCCCGAAAACAGGCAGGAGTAGCAATTTCTCTGACAAAGTAGACTTAAACCTACATTGATCAAATGAGATAAAGAAGGACATTCCATACTAAATAAAAGGGAAATAGACCAAAAGGAAATAACAATTAACAACCTGTATGCACCCAATGTCAATGCACCCAATTTCATCAAACATACCCTGAAGGACCTAAATGCATATATTAACTCCAACACAATGGTTGTGGGAGACTTTAACACCCATTATCATCAATAGATAGGTCATCCAAACAAAAAATCAATAAAGAAATCCTAGATCTAAAATATACAATAGATTCAAATGGACCTAGTGATGTCTACAGAACATTTCATCCAACTTCTACACAATATACATCTCTCAGCAGCCCATGGAACTTCTCCAAAATAGATCATATCCTAGGGCACAAAGCAATCCCAGCAAATATAAGAAAGAAATTATACCATGCATTCTATCTGATCACAATGCAATAAAACTAGAACTCAACAACAAAAGTAAAGACAAAAAACATGCAAACAACTAGAAACTGAATAACTCATTCTTAATGAACAATGGTCATTGATGATGAAATAAAAGGGAAATTAAAAAGTTCCTGAAGACAATGAAAACGAAAAACAACCTACCCAGAACCTGATGGGACACAGCAAAGGCAGTCCTGAGAGAAAGTTTATAGCCATGAGTGCTATATTAAAAAGACTGAAAGATCCCAAATCAATGACCTAATGATACATCACAAACTCCTAGAAAAAACAAGAAAAAGCAAATCCCAAAACAAATAGAAGAGAGAAATAATAAAAATAAGAGCTGAAATCAATGAAAGAAACCAAAAAAACCATACAAAGAATTAATAAAACAAAAAGTTGTTTCTTGAAAAAATAAACAAGATCGACAGATCCCTGGCAAAACCTGACTAAATGAGAGAGAAAAAAACCAAATTAGAGAATCAGGAATGCAAAAGGGGAGATAACAACAAACACCATAAAGTCCAGGAAATCATCACAGACTACTTCGAGAACCTATATTGCAAATAAATTTTGAAAATCTTAAAGAAATGGACAATTTCTAGATACATATGATCATCCAAAACTGAAACCAAGAGGAAATTAATCACCTGAATAGATCAATAACACAAAATGAAATTTAAGCAGCAATCAAGAGTCCTCCCCAAAAAAGAAAAGTCCAGGACCTGATGATTCTCTGCCTGAATTTCTATCAGACCTTTAAAAGAAAACTGATTCCCACAAAAATAGAAAGGGAAGGAAAACTGCCTAACACATTTTATGAAGCCAGTATACGCTTATCCCAAAACCAGCAAAGACACCTCCAAAAAGGAGAACTATAGGCCAATCTCCTTAATGAACATTCATGCAAAAATCCTCCAATAAAATAATGGCGAATTCAACAACACACGTCTTCACCATGACCAAGTAGGCTTCATCCCAGGAAAGCAGGGGTAGTTCAACATATGAAAAGACCAAAAATCGTATGTTCTCCCTCATATGAGGACATTAGATCAAGGGAAAAGCACAAACAAGGGATTTGGACTTTGGGAGTCTACATGATAAAAGCAAGAGCAACAAGGGAGATATGAAAGGATAGGTAAGACACCTAAAAAACTAGATAGCATTTGTTGCCCTCAATGCAGAGAAAGTAAAGCAGATACTCAAAAGCAACTGAGGCCAATAGGAGAAGGGGACCAAGAACTAGAGAAAAACATTAGATCAAGAAGAATTAACCTAGAAGGTAACACATTTGTGTAGGAAATCAATGCAAGTCAACTCCCTGTATAGCTATCCTTATCTCAACCAGCTAAAACCCTTGTTCCTTCCTATTATTGCTTATACTCTCTCTTCAACAAAATTAGAGAAAAGGGCAAAATAGTTTCTGCTGGGTATCGAGGAGGTGGGGGGGGAGAGGGAGGGGGTGGGGGAAGGGGGGAGAAATGACCCAAACATTGTATGCACATATGAATAAAAAAAAAAGTAAACTTTAATTCAATAGGAAAGAAACAAAATACACTAGTAAAAATACTGAGTTATTTTTCAATGAAGGAATATTTTCACTCTCCCTAAATGTACTTTTGTCAAAAAGTTCTATTTTACCCTATGATTAATAAACTGTAACTTAGTACAATATATACACCTTTCAGATATAAGAACCAACCAAGAGGCAAGATAAGAGCATCTTCATGAACGAACAGACAAAACATTAGTGGGACTGGAGCTGAGTGTTTTCAACACTTTTTACAGATGGCACTGACTGACATCTTATGGTACTCCTGCTCTACTGAAAAGACATCAGATTCTAGGCTAATATCATGGGACTTATCAAAGACCAAAGCATAACCCGAGAGCAAGACTGTGAGAAGCCATACAAACTACAGATGGTCTCCTCATGAAAAAATCATAAGGTAATTGATAAATTATTGTTAAGGGAAGGAATATAACAATTTCAACTGCAGAAATGTGTAATAATTCACCAAGCTATTAATTTTACATGTGACATTTTTAAGCATATTACTTACCTAGTTTTTTTCTCAAATAGAAATACTGCATACCTGTATGAATTTGGATTAGAATGCTCATAGAGATGGAAATCTGAAGCTGAGACATCACCATCATCCTCATCCTCATCATCACCACTTTCCAGACTCTCCTCTGAATCATATTCTGCTCTACTTTGGGAAGGGGGTAGAAAAGGCTGAAACAAAAAAGTTATGCAACTTATGCAACCATCTGATGTAAACAGAGCTTGGTAGTAAAAATTCATCCCATCTGTAGATATTTCAATATAACAAAGTAAAGTATTTCTAACATTATTGCCTTTGATATAACTTTATACAACTTCCTTATTTATTTATCCACTCAAAAAGTTTCTTATCATTACAGTCTAGCTATGTAGTCCAGGTTGTGTTTGAACTTTCAGTCCTCCTTCCTTATGCTTCCCAGTTCTGAGATTACAGAAGGCACCACAATACACGTTTTTTTTGATGGTTACGGTCACTGCCGTCATAGTTTACATTTTAGTGGGTAAAGACAAGCAAGGAACAAAAACATAAGTAAAAACTGTATTGTGTGCCACAATGAAGTTTTGGATGGAGAACAAGAACTCAGATAAGCTGGTAACGGAGGGCATCTTTGACAAGTGGCACTTAAGTGAGACCTAAAGGACAAAAGGAACAAGGCAGTCAGCAAGAGGGAGCAAAAACCTCTCAGGCAGTGGAAGTAACCGTGTAGGAAGGTCTAACTCAGCAGTCTGCTATGGAGAAAAACAGATTGATACAGCTCTGCAAAGCAAGAGGGTAAGGGTTGAAAGAAAGGGCAGGGTCTCAGGCCACGGTAAGGAGAGCAGGGTACAGCCGCAGATGCTTCTCAGGTAGAGGAAAGGTGCGGAGACTACCACTAGAGTATCACCATGGCCAGTCGCTTAGGAGAAAAGTGAAAATGGCGAGAGTAGAATTAAAGAGAACTCAGAAACGAATGAGAGAGCTGCAGCCCAGGCACAGTGATGGGGCTGGAAAGAAACCACAGATACCATATTCTGAGAAAACCCTGATAGATTTGGAAGCAAGAAAAGTCATGAAAAATCCCAGCACTATGGAGGCCAAGGCAGAAGGAACACAGTACAAGTCCAGCTTGGACAATATAGTCAGACCCTGTCTCAAAAAGAAAGAGGGAAAAAGAAAAAACAGTGATTTCTGGGCTTCTGGCTGAAGCTGACTATAAAGATGCCATTAACTAAAGTGGGAAGACTTTCAGTATGAACAGAGAGGTGTGAAGTGTCAGGAAGAATAAGTATCAACAGCTTGAATCTGGAAGAAGACTAAGATTGATGGGTCAAGCAGAAGAGGAAAGATGAAGAGACTGAAGGAAAAAGCAGGAAGCTTATGGAAAAATAGAAAACCCTGGCATCGGGGGAATAGGAGAGAAAAGAATTTCAAGGAGGGGAGGTAATAAATAAGGTTTTGTACAGGCTAGTGGAGTAGCTCAAGTGATAGAGTGCCTGCCTAGCAAGCATGAGGCTGAGTTCAAACCCCAGTGCTGCCAAAAAAAAAGTCTTTTACATTTGACATGGATGTCACCTGAACCTCAGTAAGAGCAGCTGCAGTGGGCGACTGGGTTGCAAGTTACACAATCAGTAAGTCAAAAGGGAAATAGCATAAGGAAGTAGAAAGAAATATGTACATGGCTTTGATAAGTTGCATGTGAACAAGAGGCAGAGAAGGGACACAATAGCTGGACAAAGTTTTGGGGAAAATCAGATATTTGGAAAGGGAGACACTGTGCACATTTCTGCCCTGATGAAAAAAGAAAAAATGGTGAGAAAGAGTACTAAAGGCATAGGAGAGAGCAGAGAAGCAAAGTAAAGACAAGACTCAGAAGTAGGCAACACCACTGGAGGAAAGTGTCTTTGACAGGAAGAATTCTTCCTCCATTATTACAGGAGAAAGAACAAGATGAGAACAAACGTGGCCTGGCTTATATGCAGCTTTAGGATGCAATAAGACGCCGGTGTCATTCTGCTTCTCAGTGACTTACAAGGTGAGAGGACTGAGGACGTAGCACAGCAGTATAGCACTTGCCTAGCACTGGCAAGGCCCTGGGTTCAATCCCCAGCACTGGAAAAGGAGATGTGGGCAGTTTTAAAAGTTATAAAATCTTGGACTTAAAGAAGATCAATAAAGAAACACAGCAGGGAGGGTAGAACTCCTGGAACAGCTCATTAAGATGCATGCAAAGTCCTCTGCCCAAAAAGCAACCAGATAAAACCAGACAAATGTTTTCAAAAACAACCACTGGGAATCGACAAATGCATACAATACGGAAAAGCATGTATTTAAGAAAAGCTGTTGAATTTTGATAAAACAGTGAGAATCAGGCATATACTCTAGCCACCTAGCTATAGTAGCTAAGCTACAGCAAGTGCAAGGCCCTGGGTTCAAACCTCAGTACCACCACTACACAAAACAACAAACCCAAAACAAAACAAAATCCAGATATGTCAGTATCAAACAATTAGGGAAGCTTGAGGCTGTGATACTAATTGGAGCAAGGGCAGACCAGTCAGAAATTTAACAAGGAGATCCAATAACAACACAGTTAAATAAAGCCTTGTTAACTAACAATCCCATACACAGTAAAACTATCCTTCAAAAATAATGAAATAAAGATATCCTCAGATAAACAAAATGCTTAATAAGCATTTGTTGGATGAAGGAATGACTGCAAAAGACAGTGAGGAACAAGAGACACAAAGTTCCTCCACTACCTGAAGCATGCAGGACATGAAAAAGAAAGGTCTGGAGGACTGGTGCCACCAGTTAGATGCCCACATGCAAAGTGGTACAGTGACCATTTAGAAGTGGAGAATGTGAGGGGCTTGACAGAAGATACATACAGGCAGTTCTTATTTTGTACAGTAGTGCAGGACTGTAAAAAATGATCATGCAAGCAAAGATCCTACAAATCAATCTCAGTGATCAGTGGGAAAAATGAAACATGTTCTGTGACCTTAAAAATTTGTCAGAACACTAAAAATTCTCTTACTGTTGGCTATAAGTGTATAGGATTCTTTTTTATTATTGTGCTGTGTGGGGTACATTGTGGCATTTACAAACATTCTTATAATATATTAAATATATCATACTTGGATTTACCCCCTCCACTGTTCTCCTTTATCCTCCCTCCCTCCATCCTGGAACAGTTTCAACACATGTCATTTTTCCATTTATATACATGTGTACACAGTATTTACACTATATTCACCCTCCTATGCTCTTCCCCCACCTCCCCCCCAACCCAGTAATACCAACCCCTCAGGCAGGACCCGTTCCACCCTCCTGATCTCTGATTTTATTTTTTTAAAAAATGCCATTTTTGCTTATGATAGCTACACAGGGAGTTTCCTTGTGACATTTCCATGTGTAAATGAATTATAACCTGAATTGGTTTAGAATACTGTGATTTCTTGTGAGCCATGGTGCATAGCTTACTTTCTCATATAGGAAAACAATTTTCATTTGGTAGATAACTGGAATATTAGAAATACTGAGAACTGAAGTGTTTTATTGACTAAAACACTCAGAATTGTAGATTGACTAGTACTTGTTTTCTTCTAACTCTGTGACTTAGGGTGTGATGCAACTTTTCTATGTATCAAAGAACTGACAGGCTTCCTTCTCTGTGTTGGCTTCAGCACTGCAGACTATACTTTTGGTGCTGTGAGTCTCTTCCACACATGCGTTTCTCATGAGAGACAAGAATGAAAAACAACTGCATGCTGTCCTGTGTGTGAACTGAATAACAGGTACTAAATAACCAACTGCTGACAGGCTTTGGAAGAACGGGTGTGACTGATCACTGACCACATATTTCACTTGCAGTTCACACTGCCATCTATGGAATGAAGAGCTCGCAGGGAGTTTGTACTTTATGAACTATATACTGTGGTGGATAAAATGGGAACCATACTCCTGAGGCAATGACGTAATTGAAAACAATGCAAGACAGTGTGGAGTGCTAAAAATGAATGAGGCACTGGGAAGGTAGCACAGTGGCAGAGTGCTTGTCTAACACAAGCAAGGCCTGGGTTTGAGCCCCAGAACTGCAAAAGAATAGATGACAGAAGACCAGGACATTTTAACGTGTGGTCATCTCAATTCCTTAGCCACTATCAAGTTCATTTACAGTTTTAACAAAGTTCTCTCTTTACCTTATTTCACAAGTTTATTTGGTTTAAAATGCAGAAATTACAACTTACCCCCCAAATGCCTTAAACACTAGTTGGATAGTTTTTAATGTAGCCTGATACAAATAAAAATTTTCTAAATCAGAGTTGGAAAACATTTGGAAGTCCTAACAATTACATTTATTTTAAACTCCATTTCCATTTGAGCATGCAAATATTGATCTAGCACTTTTATTACCTTGGCTATGAAATAGTCCCAGATACTGAGCTCAGGTGGAATGAACTTCTCCTTAACTGCCAGTGACTCCTGGTTTACAGCTGGTGAGGAAGAGGTCAGTGGGGTAGAGTCTTTGCAAGATGGTTTTGATGCCCTAAAATGTTTATGTTGCTTTTCTCCTTCTTCAACCAGTGAAGAAACTAAGAAGAAAATAAATTATTATTAGAATAAGTACTATTTTTATGGTAATTATTTTACCTACCATTCTATGATAGCTAAGGTTAACTGTAAGTAAGTACAAAAGACTAGGTTATGATTATGAAAGTGTAGAGCAGGTAAGAAAACAGGTAGGGAATTGAGAATAGCCACTTTGTAGAGAAATCTCTGCTTTTACCTCAACTTGTTCAATCACTCTCTAAATGCTGGCTTATATGCTTTGTATATGTAGGATAACAGGATATATTATCTGCCTGTAAATCAGTTCACCATTTAACTAAAACCACCATTGGAAATCTAAATCCTTCTACTTCATGCTTTTATGGGGAGCAAGGCATGCTGGGATTGAATCCAGCACCTCACACATGCCACGGATGCTCTGCACTGAGCTAAGCCTCCCAAACCTTACTTTGTTTTTTTAAAGAATATAACATATCAATGTTAATTATAGGCAAGGATTCTTCAGTGATCACTTGGCCTTGTATCTACACATAAAACTGTATTTTTTCATTAGAAATCACTGAAAAAAAATCCCTGAAAAATTCAAGTACCATAATTGCTTAAATTGAGTCAAACTTTGGAAGTGGCTCAGTGGTGGAATTTTCTGGTTGATGGAATGACAAGGAAAAAAAGAAAATACAATCGCTGTTGTTTTACTTTCTAAATACTCTACCATTAGTATTTGCGCAGTATTGTACCCTACATTACTAAAGACATGAGCATTTAACAAGTCAGAGAGAATTTTAATCAACACCAAGTCACATGATACAAATCACCTGTAGACAGTCAAGAATTCTGTAGAAGACAGTATGTGTCTATTAGATCACATGAAGACTCTTCTCGTCAGCATCCTCATCCAGTGGCTCCAGTCAGATTTTACTTACCTTCCACAGGGATACAAACACTGGCGCTGTAATACAACTTTGTTTTATTGTCTGAAGCTACTCAGCTTGCACACACAGCATGCACATGCTATCTATCCAGCCATAACAGCCCAAGTGAGTTTAAAGTAGTACTGTGGTTATTTCAGGAAAGAGGGAAGATGAACAAAATACTAGTATTCTACTAGATACTAAATAGTGGTACCATTGTTACTTAATCTTTCAAATGATTCAGAAAGGATTAAATTAGTCAATTTTTGTTTGGTCTTATCAAAACTTGATAATCAAGTTTCCAGTATACATGTTACATATATTAACACACATTCTAAGACTAACACAAAGAGCAAGCTGGACACAGAGCTCACAAAGTATAAGGAGGGTGAGGATGCTAAAATGTGGCTAAAGAAAAAGGAAGGCAACACAGGCAAGTCAAAATCAAGTCCTAACACAAACTTAACACAAGTTTCCTAGCTGCTCTGACCCATAGAAACGACTTCCAAAGGTAAGCCTGCGTATCAAGGTGGTGGGCTGGGTAGACAAATATGCCTTGCCCCGCTGAGAGCCTTCCTTACCCTCAGTCTGCATTGGGGTTTGCTAGGGTTATAAAAGTGCTGTCCAGAAGAGCTCAGAACAGAAGTGGAGAGACAGCTAAGAGACTATTGTAGGGAGAGGGAATGGGAAGAAGAGAGGAGTAAGAATGATAATATTACTTTTTATAAGCTTTTCTGTATCACTGGATTTGTGACCACACATATACTAATGTGATCAAAATTAAAATCTAAAAAGACTAAGTTATTAAGCTAAATTTTAAGTTGACCATTTTATTTTTGAGGGGTATTAGGGTTTGAACTCAGCACCTTGCACTCAGCAGGCAGGCATTCTACCACTTGAGTCATGCCTTCATGCATTTTTGCTTGGGGCCAGTCTCGGACCTCCCTACCTAATTCTCCTCCTGTGCCTTTCAGATAGCTTGGATTACAGTTGTGCACCACCATGCTGGGCTTGTTTGTTGAGCTGGGGGATCTCACTAACTTTTTGTCTCATCTGGCTTTGAATCCATCTCTACCTCCTGAGTAGCTGGGATTACGGGCATGTGCCATTCCACCCAGCCCTCAGTTTACCTATTTAAATCAGACACAATGAAATTAGTATTCTGTACCTGGATATAAAACTGAACACAATCAGCAGTTTCAATCTCTACTTCTCAATCCAAGGCACCTTATCTATAGGACCCTAGTGAGCATGCAGAGAGCACATTAGACTTCAGGAGGCTTATGTCACCCTGGATCTTCAAACTTAGAGAGGAGAAGGTACACTTTTTAACTGATGGTTTATAACATTTTGTGTTTAAAGAAATACGAATATGGAGAAGATAAAAGTCATTCGTGTAAATTAAAGATAAAACAGATTTCAAGTGAGTTTTCTTGCTTTTAGCAGTAAGGTTTCTGAATAAGGTTCAGTCTAAGTACTCAGTCTCTTGAGAAGTATATATTCATTTTATCAATCACTGGTATACTTCATGCAAGCCATGTAAGAAGTACAGATGTAAACTCATGTTATCTGAGAAAAGAAGTCCTTAAAATTAAATGTGAAACATAATTGTACAAGTGAACTTGGCTGATTCAAAAAGGAAAAGATTAAAGCAGCAATGAATTAAAGGAATTTCTTCATCCTCAAAGAATAATATTAATGATTTTAAAAAGCCTGACAGATGATACTGCCCAGATTTCAGAAAGAATTTTCACTGTGAAGGACTTCTTAGAATCAAATCCATACACAATACCTTGCTCCACAAGTATCCATAAAAAATAAATCTATAATTATCTGAATTTTTTAAAAAACTAAAAAAAAGAAAAAAGAAAAAAAATATCTGAATAGAAGGCAGTGATCTGTCTCCAAAGCAGAGAATGAGGGAGTAGGTATGGAAAAGGATTCACTGGAACAGGAAAGAGAAACATACAATTTCTACTAGACTGTTTAACAAGCATAAAGGGAGAGGAGGAAGGAAAGGGGGACCAGTTGGGGGAAGGAGACAAAGGGAAGGAGGGAGAGACAAAGGGATAGAGGGAGAGAAAAGGAGAAGGGGGAGACATGTTAAAGGAGGAAGAAAATTAGCTTAGTCAATGTTTAATATCTGGACCATCAGTACTACACATAAATACACATCATTGGGGTGTTGCTCAAGCATGTTTTAAACAGGGTTATGTAATGGACAGTCTAGAGATCACTGCCTGGAGTCCTCTTTACAAATACTGCAAACATTACAATACGGTTTTTTCTTAAAAAGTTCAATTTGAACTCTGAACTTATTGGAAATCTGAATGGAATATATACACACCACGGAATGTTATTCAGCCTCAAAGAGGAAAGGAATTCTGTCACATGTTATAACGTGGATAAACCTTGAAGACATCATGCTAAGTGAAATGATTCAGTCTGGAAATGAAAAATATCATATAATTCCACTTTTATGGGCTATCTAAAGGAAAGTCATATTGCTGGACACAGAAGCTAGAAAGGTGATTATGAGGCGTGGAGGGAAAGGGAAAGGGGTACTGTTTAGTGGGCATAGGTTCAGATTTGCAAGGATGAAAATGTTCTAGAAATCTGTTTCACAACAATGTGAATATGCCTAAAACTACTGGAATGTACACTTAAAAACAGTTACTGGCAATTTTATGTGTTTTTAAACCATAATCTAATAATCAGGAAGAGGAAATAAATATCAGAATTTACAAATTAGCTCAGTGATAGAGAATTTGTCTAGCATGTGTAAGGAGGCAAACTTAAGCCATTTTGCTGCAAGACATGTAACTGAGAAAAATACCAGAAAACCAGACTGGAGCGAGCAATAACATGCTTCGCCTCAATAAGGTATAATCTTGCTTTTCGTATAATCTTCCTTTGTCGTCAGGCTTTAGAGTAAGAAAAAAGAACATGTGCCTGTAAAAATCCACTCATGTGTTATTACCTGGAGGAGTCCTCATCTTCTGTGCCTTCTCTACCTTATAAGAATATTCTTCTACAGTCATTCACAAAATGAATGTGTGTAAACTTAGTGTTACACACCCCCCAACAAGTCTAAGACTTTAACAAAATGTCTCCCTTCCACAGGAAGGACACTCATCTTTAGGTTCAGCAACTTTAAAAGCTTCTTATAATTCATCACCAGTTAAAAGTGTCTCCATGGTCACCACTGTATTTTAAGGGCCTGATTTTATTTTACATTTTAAGGATATTCAAATCTTTCCTTTTCTAGTGAAGAAACTTTGCTATTTTGCATGTTTTGCAAAAGGAACAATGGCAACATGTAATAAACACTAAATGCTAACACAGAACTTTTATTTTTATGTAACTTTTACTATAAAAAGTAAAACATTTAGATTTTCTGATCTGTTTTTAGCATAAATAAAATGCCAACGAGATACTTTAAAATCTCTATTATTAGCAGCCTGATAGTAAAAAAACTTATGACATACTTACTGTAAATAAAATATTAATTTTATGCTTCACTCCCCAATTAAGAGATAAGTAATTATTGTAAATTTACTAAAATACAGAAAATTCACAGTTCTAACTACACATATTCTTGTAAAATGCAATAAAACTTCTTAAAAGGTATTGTTTTGCTTTACAATTTGCATTAAAAAGCAAAAATATGGATTTCTGTTAGCAGGAAAATAATTTTTTGAAAACTGATATTGCTTAGCTGATTCTCAACTTTAAAAAGTAATCACAATAAAATACTTCAGAGCACCATGAATACACACCTGTACTACAGTTTATTAGAAAAACAAATTCTCCATTAATTTGTGATGCAGAACTCACAAAGAAAATTAAATTTGATTTAAAATTAAATTACTAATTTATGTACTTGAACATTTTTGTTCAGAATTCTGACCTGCCAACTATGGTTTAGTAAAAAAAAAAAAAAAAAAAAAAATCACCATTTTTTTTCTTTATTCATTTATTCATATGTGCAATTTGTTTGGGCCATTTCTCCCCCCTGGTGCCCACCATCATTTTCTTAAGTTACAAAGATTATGTTTAAATGTTATCTCACTAAAAGAATTAGCTCATTAAGTATGTAACAAACATACATAGAAAAATATGATTTACTTTGAGACCATTATTGCCAAAAAATTAAAATCACAATTGATTTCAGAACAAGAAAAAATGTTGACTTTCAAATTCTTATCTTATAACTAAGCTTTTAAAAAACATGTTTTAGAAAACAGCATTTTTTAAAAAAGTGTTTCATCAATGTGCTATATAATGATATGGTTGTCAGGAAAATGAAATATTTTAGACTTGTCATTTTCATTTGGCTAAATTCAAAAGCTTAAAATTAAATATAGATAGAGACCAGATTTAGACCAATCTTTCTATTTAGTTAGCATGAGTTAATTGTACCAGATCAACTTTTCTAAATCCATTATTCTATCCCCTTGGCTGGCAATATCTATTGAATACTACTTGATCCAATCTGGATTGAGGCCACTGTGACAATGTTTTGCAGTAATGCAAACACAAAAGACTGCTTACCTATGACCTATAAGACTTACGAGCCTGCTGTGCTATGTTTCTGTGCTTTCAAAAAATAATAGTGCTTTCAAAAACAATTTCAGAATTGTACTTCCTACTGAAAGCTGACACTGATAGTCCTTGTCTTGGCTGATTCTCCCTGATTCACTACTGCTTCACTGTCACTTCTTTCCTTCTGTCCTGTACGCTCTCTGTTCCTTCTCAAACCCATCAGCAGTGGAATCAAGACTGCTTTCATCATTCAGGGAGGATATTCCTTTTTTTTTCTGGCTTGCAAACATAAGAAACACATCATTCCCATGTTGTTCAAGTGCCATTACTTCCATAGCTGCATTCAGAGTAATTTCTGGTTCTCAAAGACAGATGAGCACCATGTATCCTGGGTGTAATGACATCTGGTTGGCCACTAAGTGAACATGCTTTAAATATTCTGTTATTTGGTTTAACCAAGAGGTTAAACATAGTGACACAGATAACTTTTTGTCATTTAATTATTTTTGATTATTTGGGATTCAGTAACCTCAAAGGTTCTCATAATGCTACCTAAAAAATAATTACACAATGGCATTTCTGCCTATAAACAAATAAATCTGCATGATTAAACAAGGATCAGCCTGTACTGTGGCAGTACTGGGGTTAAACACAGGGCCTTGTACGCTTGCTAGGCAGGTGCTCTATTGCTTGAGCATGTGTCCCCAGCTCTTTTTGCTTTTAGGTATTTTCTCCAGTAGGGTCTTGCTCTTATGCCCAGGCAGTCCTGGACATGATCCTCTCATATACCCTTCCCATGTAGCTAGGATGACAGGCACAAACCACCACACCCAGCTTTATTGATTAAGATGGGGTCTTACAAACATGCTTGCCTGAGTTGGCCTTGAACAGCAATCCTCCTGATCTTTGTCTCCTGAGTAGGTGGATTATAAGGGTGAGCCACCAGGCCCAGCGGGGCCTGGACTTTGAGTAAGGCCCTTCACACTGTGCTCAATAGAAATGGGTGGAAATGAAACACACTGGCTGGGTAATAAGAATGTACTTTTCAATTTTTTAAGCATATGTAGAAATTCCTAAGCAAGGAATCATCCCTTTTAACAGCTTAATATAACTAGAATAGAGTCTTAACAGATGATTTTTCTCAGACTATATTAAAAACAGAGCCAAAATTAACTTACTAATTTATTTATTTTATACTAAACTCAAAAGACCTACTAATCTTACTCCCCTTGGACTTTGAACATTTTTTGTGAATTGATCTCTGATATCTAAAGTATACAGTACAAGGTAAATTTCACATACTTAACTTTTCCTTTTTTTAACTGTTGAAAAAACAAAGTGCAGAAAATAACTCTTCATTAACCAGAAGAGTGATGCTGTAAAAATTTGTATATTTAATATTTTAATAAGTGAAGCCAAATCTGGTAAATAAGGTAAATTTGCATCTGAAATTTGAAGTTCATAAGAAGGAAAGGAAAAAAAAAAGTTAATTTTGGGACTAGAGAACAAAAGCAGCGATCTCAGTCAGCCAAGTGTGGTAGAGAGGCAAATGCCAGGCAAAAAACCACAGAGTCGGAAGAGAAACCATGTTAGTGACTTCAGCTTTGTTAGTCAGCATTTTCAAGAGCCAAAGCTGTTTTAGCCTGGAACTTGTTCTAGACAGGGGCCATGGCAGGAAAGACTGCAAATGACTCCTCCATACTGCCTGTCCTGTTCACATCTTATTTTGTGGTCAGGGTAAATACTTAGAAGATACCCAATGTGTACTCCATGCAACACCTGACAACAGTAACTGCAGTTCTTAAAAACGGAAATCTTGGGCTGGGGAGTGGCTCAAGTGGTGGAATACCTGCCCAGCAAGCACAAGGCCCTGCATTCAAACCCAGTAACACAAGTACACACACACACACAATCTCTTAACATGGAAGGCAAACACTCTATTCTAAATGAAATACCTCTAAAGCAGAGGTTGTCAAAGTATGCCCTATTTTTGTAAATAACATTTTAGTGTAACACAGCCACATCTGTTTGTTGACATATTGTCTGTGGTCACTTCTGTGCCACAAGGGCAAAAATGAGTATTTGAAGATATCAAAGGCCCTCTTTCCCAACAATTATAAACAGAGTTTGATTTATTCTAAGTATTAAACATAAAGGACTTTTTTTTTTTTTTTGGAGGGAGAAGGAAAGGAACCTGGATTAGGAATAAACGGAATGTTTGGTAGCTGAAGAAACAGTTTCCATGAAGGGGACACAGTGGAAGCAAGGCCACCAGGACTTCTGCTGTGTAATCACATGGGATCAAGGCTTTTTTGAAACTTCTTTTGGAAAGCATAATGCAGGCCAATACTGCTCTTAGTATTTTTAAATATTTTAACACAATAACCATTTTTCTAGCTTTCTTTTCATATAGCTTCACCTAAAGGATGTTTATCAATCATTGTGTAGATTTTGGCAATAATTTTTTCCCAAATAATGAAGCCAAATGCAACCTTTTCTCACCTTCTCACATCCTCTGCCAACTGTCTGACCTTCCATGCCCATAAGCACACATAGGTACATGTGTTATCTTGGGAGGGAGGAAAAGGATTAAAATTTATACAGAGATAATCTTGCTGGGCTTCTCAAATGTGTCAGTACAGAATGAAATAGGCTTTCCAGTATTACATATTAAGTCCTAAAAGTATTCCACCTATTCTTCAAAACTGAAAAACCAAGTTTATCCCACAAGGGTTAATAAATCACAAAACCAGAAAGGTAGAAAGCATCATCAAGATTCTTTTTAAGTTGAGAAACTTCGCTGTTTCTGTCTTTAAACATAGCATATTATCGTCTTAGCACTAGGAAAAGGAAATAAAACTGTTTAAGATATTTATTTTCATAGTATTATGAATATTTAGAAATCCAAACACTGTAATGGCCAGAGTCATAATACGCAAATCATAAAGCCACCTCATTTGAAAAGTTTTTCCAGTCATTTCAAGCCAGCCTGATTTCATTTGATTAGGACCAATATTTTTTTACATGCTTAAAAATATCAAAATGTATGTTACAGAAAATATCCGAAATGGAAAATTTAAAAGAAGAATACATTAAACAGCAGAAATAATGTTCTAAAATGCTAATCATTGTTTTAAATCAGAAATATGGTTTGGTTAAAGGAAATGTATTAATTTTCCATAAATGCGAAAAAATAAAACTGCCCAACCCCTGTAGAGCAAAACAAAGCAAGCTAAATTGTAAAAGTCTATGTCTAAAGCTAGTATCTTGCCTGCAAGACTGGGAGGGCTATGAGCACTGATGGCTGACAGAGCTTTGGAAAAGCCCACACATTCCATGGAGAATACCACTACCTGGTGAGAGCAAGGCACAGCAAAATGCCTTCCTGCCAAAGAAAGAAGAGAGAATCTGTATTTGGGACAGAACAAAAACCAATGTTACAGTGTATTTCAAAAGAAAGGAACTTTTCAATAGTAGAAGGTTTAATAAAATTACACTTGATAATTCTACTCACTGGAGCAACAGGAGTATCTAAAGATTGAAAACCACACCACTTTCACTATAAAAGTATTTGTTCATGCTTTAAGAAAATGGTCTGTAACAAGATAGTTCTGTGACTGAATTAAAATGTAATTACAGCTGACAAAGTTATCATTCAGATGAATAAAACTTCAGCCTTAAAAATAAAAAAAAAATCAAGAGCCAGATGCCAGTGGCTCAATGTAATCCTAGCTACTTTGGAGGCTAATATCAGGAGGATTGAGGTTCAAGGCCAGCTCAGGCACCTGGGCAAATTGTTTGTGAAAACCCCATCTCCAAAAAAAACCACAGCAAAAATAGACTGGTGGCTTGGCTCAAGCCGTAGAGTGCCTGCTTTGCAAGCTCAAAGCCCCAAGTTCAAACCCAGTCCCATCAAATAAACAAATAGTGAGTGAATGAATTAAAGAAAAAACAAGAATAAAAACTCACCAGGTAAAGCTTTTGAGTGTATCTGTTCTTTGCTGGGAACATGTACACCTCCACCAAATACAGCAGACCACATTTTTTCATTTAAAGGATGGGCCACAATCCGAAACAGTTCATTACTAGAATGTGTGGCCAGGCCATGGATGAAGAGACTAAGATACACTGCTGTGAGGATCTCACAAAGCAAGACTGTAAGTCCTGACTGGGCTTCCTCGCCAGAAGAATTCAAAAGTCGAATGAGACAAGTTATTCCTGAGCAAACAACGAACACAGCTCCTGTTAGCGATATATTTTATAACTATTCTCTAAATTTTGAAATTTTTTCTAGTTATTGAAAAACAATACTATATCAGAATTAAGTATTTTCTTCCTAGATTCATAACTAGTAGAGGTTACTGTAGTAAATGAGCAAATGTTGAACTATTGCTTGATTTAGATAAACACTGACAATCTACAATCTCAGACTTTTCATGGTATAATTTTTTGTTATGACGAGAAAAATTCTGAAGTGATGTAACAAAGCACTTATTTAATCCAGGAAATAACATGTTAGGTGAGTACTAAATTCATGTTCAACAAGGATTTTCACGTGCTTTTTACTTACACGTATTTTCAGTAAGGCTACGAAAAGCTCCCATGTATGTAAATTATTTATACCTGGCCACTGCGCTGGTACCGTGTTGGGAGTTATTGCCTCATCTAGGCTTCCCGTTCTCAGGGAGTGCCGATGAGGAAGCAGCACTGGCTGGTACACCATCCCAGTAAACTCATTTGTCTGAAAGGAACTAAGAACAGAAAACGGTACTTAAGTCAAGAATGAATTTCACACATAATATTTCCAAGTTTTAGATCTAATTTCTAGGGTACCTTAAATACAAAGTGTTTTATTAATTGTTCTGCTACTACGTTGCATACTCCTATAATTTAATGATGTATTAAAACAAACCATCCTTTGAAATGTAAACATACACATTTTCTAAATCAAAATATATCTGGAAGATTTTAAGAACTTTAATGAAAGACACAGCATAGGTACAGATGAAAACAACGACATCACTATGGACAAGTAGCAAGCCTATGTGTGGGCTTTTAAAACACGGTTATCCGATTGAGAATGAGGGCAGTTCAGTGTCAATTTCATGCAACATGCCCCATATCAGGCACTGAACCAGTACTAGGCATATAAGGAAAGACACAATTTTCATCCTCATGGAATTTACACACTGGTGGGGGAAGGAGACACAAATAATTTTAGCCTATTGTTCTTAAAGATGAAACTATGTCTATGGCATGATGAAGACAAAAGAGAGGAATATGTCACACCCTTGGGAATTCAGGAACGTTTCCCCGAGTAAATAAAATAATTTAACCCAAAACTAAGTAACATTTAAATGAAAAATATAAGTTACAGCGTGACATAAACCATGAAATAATTTTGATAGCAAAGGACACAGAGAATCTGTGAAAATGCTAGAAAATGCACTGTAGAAATCCCCATATCAAATATTACACACAGTAAGTTACTGGGTGAAATCTGTTCTGTTAGGCAAATCATACTGACCATACCATTCCCACACATTTGCAAACAGTTTCTCTGACTTTACTTTCCTGCTCAAAGATGGCAATAATAAGCCTATGCAAAAGTCAACTCTCAGAGGAAATACAAATGGTAATAAACACATGGAGAAATGTCCAACATCCTTAGCCATATTGGAACTACAAATCAAAAGTACACTAAGATTCCACCTCACCCCGGTCAGGTTGGTCATGGTCAAGAAAATAAATAACAAAGACTGACAAAGATGCAGGGAAAACCTACCATCGTACACTCTTGGTGGGAGCGTAAACTAGCACAACTGTTATGGAAATCAGGGTAGAAGTTCTCAAGCAAACAAAAAAAAAATAGACCTACCTTATGACCTTGCCATCCCACTCTTGTGCAAGTATCTAACACTAGTGCACATATCCAAAGTAGTGTAAATTAATATAAAAGAGAAATACCTGCATACCATGTTTATTACAGTTCTCTTCACAACAGCTAAACTGTGGAAACAGCCCAGGTGCCCAACAACCAATGAACAGATAAAGAAAATATCATGTATCTACACCATGGAATATTACTCAGCCATAATGAAAAATGAAATCATGTCATTTGCAGGAAAACAGATAGAACTGGAGATTACAATGCTGAGTATGATAAGCCAGGCTTAAAGGGACAAATATCACATGTTCTCACTCACTTGTGGAACCTAGACCTGAAATGATGATGATGATAACGACGATGATGGACATGAATGTGAAACGGGGATGGTCTGGGGGGGAATCAATGTGAGGGGGCACAATTCTGTAGTTCTAATTTTCTGAGAGGCTAAGGCAGAAGGCAGCTTGAGCCCAGAAGTAAAAGGCTGGCCTGTGTAACACAGCAAGACCCTGCCTCAAAAGACCATCTATGAAGAAGTACAATAGTGATTCTAAGAGCAGAGAAGAGTGTGGAAGGGTGGTGTGGTGAAGGGAGGATATGATCAATGCATGCCGAACCATGTATGGAAATACCATAGTGAATCCCACTAGTGTGTGTAATTAATATGTGTAAAGAAAAATAAACTATGGACTGGGGAGTAGCTAAGTGGTAAAGCATTTGCTTAGCATGTTCAAGGCCTTGTGTTCAACTGCCAGAATTAAAAAAAAAAAGTTACATTAACAAAAATAGCATGGCAATGGCATAAAAATTGACAAACAGACCACAGGAACAGAATAGAAAACCCAAACCAAGACACCAATTACAAAATGGGGAAATGATCTGAGTAGACATTTCTCAAAAGAAGACATACGAATGACCAACAGGTATATGAAAAAATGCTCAGTTATCAAAACCACACTGAGGCATCATCTTGTACCAATGGGAATGGCCTTTGTGAAGGCTAGGGACATACCTCCATGGTACAGTGCTTGCTTAGCATGCACAAAGTCATGGATTCTATCTCCAGCACCTAGAAAAAAATCTAGAAAAGACACAAAATGGCAGATGCTAGTGAGGATGTGGAGTTGGTGAGGACATAGATTAATACAGCCCTAAGGTCAGCAGGAGCATCCCACTACTGAGTACACAGAGAGAGAGAAAAGGAGGTATTCATGTAAATGTTTACTGTAACTCTAGTCACAACAACTAGGGCATGAAATCAAGCAAGGCATCCTTCAGTAGGTGAATAAAATGTAATGTATGTACTCAATGGGATATTGTCCAGTCACAAAAGGAATGAAATCGTGTCATTTGTGGCAACATGGATAAGCCTCAAGGACAATATGGTAAGTGAAATTAGCCAGGTGCAAAAACAAATACACATGTTCTCACCTACATGTGGAAGCCAAAAGAGTTACCTCACAGAAGCAGAGACTGGAATAGTGGGTCCCACAGGCTGGGAAGGTGTTAGAGAATTACGTGCAAAGGTCATTTAGTGGGCACAAAATTTCAGTCACACATAAGTAAAACATTCCAGTGTTCTATAGCATAGTAGGATGAAAACATTAATAATTTATTGTGTATTTCCAAAAGAGATAGAAGAGAGGATTTTTAATCTTATTAAAAAGACTGATAAACATTTAAAGTGATAGATATGTTAATTACTATGATTTGATCACTAAGGGTATGCATGGCATCAAAATATCACACTGTACTACATAACAATGTACAATTATTCTGTGTAAATAAAAAAATAAAACTTATTAAATCAACAAAAGATCTTAAAAATGGAAATCAGGTCTGGGTGCCGGTGGCTCATACCTATAATCCCAGCTACTTAGGCGGCAGAGATCAGAAGGATTGTGGTTTGAAGCCAACCCTAGGCAAAAGGTTCACAAGACTAAACCAGGCACAGTGGTATCTATGGTCCCACCTACACAGGAGACTGGGCAAATCTGAAAAAAATAACCTAAAACAAAAAGGGCTGGAGGCATGGCTCAAGGGATAGAACCTAGCAAGCATAAGGCCCTGTGCTCAAACCCCAGTACAAGCAAAATTATAATAATTATTATTATTAATAACAATTTTTTTAATGAAAAACAGTTTCTGAAGAACCAACTCTGCCTAAATAGGAAAAACGACACCGCAAAAGAATGCATGAGTGTCTGGAAAATAAAGCCATGACTTGGACTGAAGTGAAACAAAGAGATGAAGAAGATGGACCCACAAGGTACAGTACCTAACAGGAAGACATACAGATAACACTTGAAGACATAAAGCCAGAGTATTTCAAAGGACTGGGATAGACACAGAAAGATGCCACAGAATGACACAGTATTTTTAGAGCCTAGAAAAGTTAGTATGAAGAGACTATCCTAAGCATCAGTTCTCTAATGGCATTTTTCTCAATTCCAAGTCAGTCCATCCTTTTTCTGTGCTCCTTGGGATATTTACTATCTACCAAATTATAGTACTTACCATTTAAGAACTATGCCATGTTATATATTACTTACAAACCCACATATTTGTCTCTAACTAGACAGGCCTTACATGGAAAGAGTCCTTTCTTACTCCTTTTAAAATTCTCAACATCTATTACAATGTCTACCATAAGGCACTGATCAGTAACAGACTGCTACGTAAGTTATGCTAACAAGGGTTAGCATAGAGATTCATTTGTCATAAAGGCTTATGCTAAAATTTCAAAGATAAAAGGAAACACCCCAGCCAGATGCTTATTGCATTATTGAAAACAGACTGCTGTATACAGTTCTAAGTGAATAATGTACACAATAAGTATTCTTAAATTTCACAAAACATATTTACCTGTAGTTATGACTACCGCAAAGGCACTGGTAAATACAAGCGGAAAGTGAGGCAGCCAGAGTGTGCATCACATATACCTGGAAAAACAGAGCGAACTGAGGACAAACGTTCTCATGACCTAACATGGTTATTATTTTTTAAAATGATAAAAAGAATACTGGTCTACATGAGTATTTTCTTTTCCTTTTCTATGATACTGATTTCTATCTAGAGAAGTCTTGCTATAGAAAATTTAAAGAAAAAACAGAGTCCTTTGGCAGAAATTATAAAACAATATATGCTATCTAACTTCTTTTTCAAGAGCAAGGGGAAACAAGTGTGTGCAATCCAACAGGGCATGAACCATGCACTAAAACATGTCCTCTAACACTCAGCCTGATTTTTCCTTAGCCAAAATATGAAGAAGCACAGATTGATGAACGATAGTTAGCCAACACAGGTCACTGAGGAAAATGCTACCACATATTCTAGTTACCATGAAAGACAATCTGCAGAGTGAAACTTTGCAGAAGGGAGGAAAGACAAGGTATGAAAGGCAGTAACTGAAAGGCAGTAGAGTCAGATACTTGTCTTATGTAGGAGCTATAATAGTAGAACTGAGAGTGAAGCAGCTTTGGTGAGGTAAGAAAGTGGATGAGACTAGAATAGTGAAAGATTCAACTTAATAATTATGAAATACGAGTCTCTTATGTAGATGAAAATGGGTAGTGACAGATTAAAATCTAATTGTTATTTTCTGTTTCAACAGGATGTGTGACTAAGCAACAGCATACAATTGAAGATGCAAAGACCACCTATAGGAGATTACAAAAGGGATCATTAAGTGTTATACTCTCCTCAGTAGAGAGTTTGGATGTATTTCTCCATTCACTGAATCTGGGCTGGACTTTCACTAAGAGGACCCAAGAGAAGAGGTATGTGAGTTCTGAACCTACACCTCGAAAGGCCTTGCAAATTCTATTCCTGGTGCTCTTAAACTCCTACAAACATCATGTGAAAAAACACTAGATATGACTGAGTGAAGAGGTCACACAGTCACACATGTGTGTCTATGAGGATGTGTCCAGATTTGATAAAGATCTGATCACAACAGACTGTTAGTGGACATCTGCCCATAAACTGGAAGACCAGAAAAGAACATTAGATTGAATAAGAGGAAACTCCTGCCTAAATGCATTGATCTGGAACATTGGTCTTTTCCTGCCTTCAAACTCAACGTGAAACATAACCTCTTCCAGGGTCTTGAGCCTGTTTACTTTTACACTCAATGGAACTTAAGCCATCGACTTTGCTGGTTCTTAGGCCTTTGAACCTGGACTGGAATTACACCATCAGCCCCTCTGGATCTCCAGCTTACCAACTGCAGATCTTGGAGTTTCTCAGCTTCTACAGTCACACAAGCCAATTCTTAATAATCAATCAATCAATCTCTCTCCTTGTCTCTGACTCTCTACCATTCCCTACACATACTAGTGGTTCTGTTTCTCTGAAGAACCCAGTCTAACATCCTAGGTTTGCCGGCTGTAGAATGCACTACATATTATCCGAATTGTCCTGTCAGCCCTATCAACCAGCAGTGGCCCAAGGATGAATGAGAAAGGCCAGAGACCAGTCAGGCTGCCCCAAACCAAAGAACTGACAAGCCAATCCATGGAATCATGAGAAAAATGTATGATGGCTTTTGAACCTACTAATGTTTCTGAGTAGTTTTTAAGCAAAAAAATGGTATCACAGTAGCAAAAGCTAATGTGATATACCATGGTTATGCTATAATTTAAGTTAAATATGGAATGCTAAAACGAGCATAATCTGAAGGAAATTCAATTTCAAACTGTATAAAAAGCACTACAGGCATTTATAACAGAGCAGTATAGGAAAAGAAGTGGCAGAACATCAAATTACAATAGCTAAGGTTATCCAAGAGGGCATAGTCAACTGTGGAAGGAGAGTCCTCCATTAGTTAAGCGAAAGTCGAATTGGTGTGGTGTCATAACCTATGAGTTGGGCAAGAACCATATGAAAAGCCTATGAGAGAAGACATCTAAGGGACGTACAAAAATAGTCAACCTCAAGTCATACTTTAAAGGATTCCAAAGGAGAGTTAAGATGAAATATGAAATTTGTTACTAATAGGAGATGAAGGGAAATGATGACGAATGCAACTGTAAATAACATGACTAGAATACACTGTTTTAGAACCACCTGAGGAATTTATTAAAAATAAACATGTTCCTGGGATTCTCTTACAGACTGAGTCAGTAAGTTAGGAGTAAACTTAGAAATCTAAACTTTTAAAGAGCACTGCAGGTGACTCCGTTACCCAAGGAGTGACATACTACTTCACATCAATATCCTTAAAATATGCAATGCCTTAATACTAACAAAAGAAACTTTTACTTACCTATTCGTTTAAGGAATAAGTCTACATCTATGCTCTTATCTTAATGAAGCTAACTAATACTAAATAACTAGCATTTGATTGAAAATAAAAACCTGAAGTATCCTATTGGGTATAAGAAACACAGTAAGAGAGGTCTGGTCTACAATCAGAATCGTTCTTTAATCAGAATCAATACAAAGGTGGTAATGTAACAATGCTGTGAACAGTCTGGTGTTTGAATCTGCTTTATAGCCTAATCATTCAATTTAGGTAAAGTAAAAGCTTAAATCCAAGCATACTTACTTTATTGCTTTGGCTATCGGGCTGAGGTGGTGAATCAAAGTTGACTATGGCATGAAGAATATCATGTGTTAGATTACTAAGGTGCAACAGTGGATTGGCAACTACTGTTTTGGCACTGGCTGTACAAGCAAAGAGGAGAGGCACTGAGGTTTGCTCTGACAGAGGGCTAGGAAATAGTGGTTCTGATGTTTCCTTAAAAACAGAGAGGAAAAAGGTTAATCAACTGTTAATAGTAATGGTCCATTACTTAAGTAATTTAGAAAATTATTTGAAAAACTTTCAAACAAAAACTAGAAGCATAATAGGAATGTTTTTAGTTAGAAGGGATCTGAGGAGCTCAACATTTTAACCATCATATCTTAAAATGATGAGACAATACCCTGCGCTAATCAAGAGAAGCTCACCACCTCTCAAGGCATTCACGGTAGAATGAATTAAGCAAGTCACATATCGCCTGACAGAGAATGGTCCTTCACCTGTAATGCTTACAGAATTTGACAAATTCATAATACGATGAACTACACACAAAGAAGCATTCCTTAAAGCAACTGCAGTGAAGAAAATCAACAGAACCAGAAAATGCAACACCAAACATATTATTCTCAACTCATTCAACTTACATACCTGTTGAGATTCTTGCAAAAGCAAAATTAATTCCATTCTCACAGATGCAAGACCCCCACCATGGGAGCCATGAAGTATGCAGTAGCTAAGAAACATTCTCAAGAGTGACTGGTATTTCAAGAGCCACTGTCTCTTTTCTTGAAAACTCTCTCTTAGTTGCTTTGCTTTTGTTTGGTGACGCAAATCATCACAGTCCTCATTTACTCCAAACTCACCTCTACCTTTATCAAAAGTGGGATGCAGTTCTTCAGCATCTGAGCAAAAGTCACAAGTTCTTTGAAGAGCTACCACTTCTTTTTCAAGCCAGTGGTACAGTTGGTAACGCAATTTCCCACCATCTATTTCATAGCCAGTAGATAAAGTACGAAGTTCTACTGTGAGGATCTTTAAACATGCTCTAAATTTTAATTGAACAGCAATTATATCTTCTGATGGATTTAAAATGTCATTTTCATCTAATGTGCTGAAAGAGTCTGTATAATTGCTTACTTCATCTAATTTTGTATCTACTTTTCTCTGTAAAGGTTTTAGTTCTTTCATTGAAATTGGGAGATCCTCATTTTCTTCATCATCATCGCTGTCCCATTTTAACTCTAAAGAGTCATCCTGAAATATAACACTTGGTTGGTTCCAGTCAAAAGAAAGAGTGGAGTTTGAGTGCTTCTCTGAAGAACTCTCTGAAGGAGATCCAAAACCATTCAGCAGTGACTGTGACCAATCTACAGCAGAAGACGTATCTTCTCTTGCATCCAATTTTAGTAGAGAAGAATCTTTACTGGTATCCAGAAAGCTAGATCCTCTACACAAAGGTTTTGTTTTCTTGATGACTTTGGGCATCTTTGACAATACTTCCAGAGCCAACATAGGACAGCCAGCTTTTAGATGAGCACTGGCAGTAGTAAAAAATAATTTTCTTTCACTTAAGTTAATTGTTCCCACCAGTCCACTTCTTTCTACTAAATCCATGTGTGTGGAAAATGTATCAGATGATCCAAAATGACGTCTCAGCAAAAGAGGATGTGTTCTTAGATAATTGTAGAAATTAAAAACTGTAGGATTACAGGCTGACATCATGACTTGATCTGAAAGTAAATTCATTTTATGAGCCAAGAAAAGTTCTTCAAGATCTGAATCAAGTGATAATATTTGTATTACAGCCTTTTTTCTCTACCATGGAATCTTGACTCATCTGGCCTTTTGACAAATGTAATTAATAGTCCACAATACTTGGGAGCATGGAACAGACAAGAACACATTTGCAGTGAAAGTTACATATCTGTGACTAGTAGGTAAACAAAGTGCTGCTTTCCCACTGAAACAAAACCCTCTAGGTAACACTTTTTTATTTCTTACTTCCCTGGATGTTCCTCTCCAATCTACCTTCTAGTCCTCCTCATTTCCCTCCCTTTGCATGAAGAGGAGGTCCTAAGTTTCAGTTCTTAATCTCTTTTCTATCTATGTTCCCTCTGTTGAACTCATAGATAGTCCCATGGTTTTAATTGCCATTTACATGCTGATAACTTGCACATCTCTATCTCCAGTCCTAACTTCACCCTGAAAACAAACTCTTATCTCACAAATTCTACACTTCATTTCCACTAAGATGTAGACTCTCTTGCCTCAAGGACTTTTATTTAGTGTGACCTTGGCACACTAAAACCATTCTTTACTCAGGTATCTACATTGATTAACTTGCTCATTTCAACAGTTTCTCTCCCCAAAGATCATGTTATCAGAGAAGGCTTCTTGATCTGAAACAATACTTCGCATCATTTATCTGTTGCTTAAGTTTAAAACGCATGACTTGTCATTGATTCCCAATTTTCTTGACACTCCACATCAAATCCAGTCCTGTCTAATCAAACTTAAAATATCTAAAATCCAAATACTTCTTTCAACTTCTACTCCCATAATCCTGATCCAAGCTACTATTATCTTTTACATTGTCTTCCAGAAGAATTCAGTTTTAAATGGTTCTAAAGGTATGTGATCTTATATTAATCCCAAATCAAGACATATATTTTACAAAAATATATATAAGGTATCAGAGAATTTTATTTTTATTTTTCCCCTTCACTACAGAAGCTAGTTTGAAAATCCTTAGCTCAGATGTATAGGAGTGTTGAACAACTGAGTCTCATGGCTTTCTCCTAAGTTTAGAAGCAAGGCACATACTTCCTGATTAAATGATGCCACATAAAAAGCTATGGGCTAGAAGCTTTTCTACTTTAGCATTCCAAATAAGAACACCTACTGTACTTGTACTAGCTACCAGACATGATTCAATCCTGTCCATGGAAAAATATTTGTAGAGCAAATCCCATCATTTTACAGGAATATATAAGGAATTCCATTTTATAATAATTTAGCAAGAAGAATTTCTATAAGCAAAGGCAGAAATAGAGCTTTACGGTCCATTAAAAGTATCTACCCTTATCTTAAGACAAGTTTATGAACAAGATCTTCTAATCACATCACTTAAGTAACATTTTCTTCACAGTGAATAGTTTTTACTGTAAGTTATAAAATTCATTTTAAAACACAGTAAACCAACCTAAGACAAAAACTGGCTTCATTAATTATTATTTCTTCAAAATAGTTATTTTTAAAGGATTAATCTCTCCTGAAAACAAGAAAATGAAACTGTATACATTACCCTGTATCCACAACTAACCCACAAACTCAAGAAGCCCACAAATTCCATTTGTTCAGTATGACCCTGAGCACTGAGCAGGGGTCTGCACACCTGTGAAGTACCACCAGTCCTCTTCCTCACTGACAGCTGAGGTGTAGCTTACCATCATCCTCTCTGGCAGGTTGCTTTATCAGTGTTTCCAGAGCACTACCATAATCCTCCAAAATCCAATGTGCCATACTCCGGAGAAAAGGATCACAGTGCATATTTATGCTCAAAGAACTCAGCTTGTGGACAGGAGAGTCAATTCCCAGCACTTTTTTTTGTAAGACAGATTTATATGTTGCAGATTTGTCAAATTCAGACTCATAGAGTCTTGCTATTACAAGAGCTAACTGAATGTCATTCAGCTTCTCAAGGCATACCTTAAAAAAAAGATATACTGTTCATAAAAAAAAAAACAGAGGCAACTTTCATTTCAGGATAGACTCAATTAACTAACAACTGCAAAAACATCAAGCTTTATTTATTTATTCATCTCCAAAATTAGCAAACAAGGATAATAAGAAGCACACATGCACTACCTGCTTTAGCAAATTTACTTGGCAACATTTGTGTTAATATTTACAAACATACTCACTAGTCCTAATTATGCATTTGCAAAAAGGTTTAGCCTGATAAGGAAACATCAGACATCTGTAAACAGTGTCAATGCAAAGCACTCATGATTTTACTCCTGAGTCTTTACCCGCTCCCATCCACCCCAGAAGAGTGTAGTGTTTCCACATTAAAAGGTCGCTTTGAATTCCATTTGAGACTTGGGGCAAAGAGTAATTTGAGACAGATATTCTATATCTTAAATGTTCATAATTTTTTAAGGTTTACTGAGAAATAATCACTGAATATTTTCTAAGGTTCATTAAGACAGAGCTAGAAATATTCAAATATATTTAAATGAATAGAACAGACCTTTAATTTTTTTTTTAACCTATTCATGATTATTTTTAAGTCATATTAACTACTATTCTACCAAACTACCAACACAACCTGGTTCATTCTAATTTTATATGAATAACATTCAAGCTAAATGAAAAAAATTTAAAGGCTACAACATAAGCTTCTTTGGAGATAATTAACCTATTATTTCTACTAAAGATGAAATTAAAAAATAAAAATTTAGCAACCAAGATAATGCTTTTTAAAGAAAATTTCATTCATTACCTCAACTGCATCTCTGAGGCAACCAGCTAAAAGAAAAAATGCTGCAGAATGTTCAAATCTTTGTTTCCCTAGCAAAGAAAAAGCATTCTTCAAAGCTGCTTTACGCCACCTTTCCTCTTCAAAATTGTGTCCAAAAAATTGTGTCATTCTCGTATCTTTTTGAGATCTACAAAGGAAAGGAAAGCATGAAAGTTTCAGAATTCAATTTTGGAATCAGTGTGCTAAAGTAGGCCTCTGAGGCAGGAGGATCTTGTATTTGAGGCAAGCTAAGCTTCATGGCAAGTCCCTGCCTCAAAAAACTAAATAGAAAACAACACACACACAAAGAAAAAGGTTGGGATTCAATAGAAACATTTTCCAGTCCACAAATTACCAGACATCTGCTTCTGGTCCCAGTAACAGAAGATTAGGTAGATATATACATTTCCATATGAGCCTCAGAGATTACATAAAAATTCCCTTCCAAACTATAAAGAACACTACATTAGCAGCACTGTGAAAATTACCTTTAAACTAATGCAAAATAATAACATACATTAATATGGCTTATTAATGATAAAATAATTTGTACTAACTTTTGTGCTGCTTTTCCTTTTGCCCCTTGGAAGATGACTTTGGTGATCAAAATCAAAGGACTCCTCCCTGACTGGAAGCAATCCTTAGAGACTGCGTCTCTCAGAACACTGACTTGATACTATGATTTTCCCTGGAAGGCTGCACTTGGTGCAGATCACCTGGAACTTAACCCAAAACAAATACTAAACTGTTTGTGGTCCTTATGTTCACTGAGGTCTACTGGGGAGAAGAGAAGGGAGTGAAGTCACAGTCTCCAGAAGGGAGGCATCCTTGAGGAACAGCCTGGCCCATGAGCTCTCAAGGGGGCAGAGGGTGGATGTCCTCCTGGCAGATTTTAGATTCCACCAATCCATCTTCTTCCCCAAATCAGATGCAAATTTATGGTTTAGTGCCTTTTGTACAGAACTATCTTGAAAAGTTCTTAAAAATAAACAACAAAAAATATGTTTTGGACTGATAAATACCAAAAGAAATTGAAGCAACATCACCAAGTTTCTTCCTCTAGAAAACAGCTAAGCTTTTTTCCCTATGAATTTTCTCCTTAAGCAAGAAAATAACTAAGAATCTACTTGAGCCAACATCAATAAAAACACATCTTACTCTTTGCATTTACTCCTTATGATACAAGATTCTTACTTTGCAGCAGAGATTTTTACGTACCTATATAAGCCCCAAATCACAGCTTTCTTTTTCATTGCAAGGTAAAAAATAGCAGCATCTAAAGGATCTTTGTTTCTATTAAAGGCTGCTTTGGCTACCTACAATTAGAAAATATTGGTGAAAGTTTCACAGAAATAGTTTGTGAGTGATTGTATATATACAAACTAATAAGATGCAAAAAAGGAGGTAACAGGACTACAGCCTTTCATCATAAGCTGTTCTATACTAGTTTATTTTTTAAACATATACTTCTCTTTGTAAAAATCAAAAATATACTAGTAAACAAACAGGTGTCAAACCAGAAGTTTGAGAATTAAAATTAATTTTTTAAAATTACATTCATGTAATTTAAAATATAAAGACTATTCAAAAGCAAAACAAAATGGAGTAAGTAACATCAGAGAAGACATGGAATGCTGCATAAGCAAACACCCAAATTCTCCAAGTGGATTTTGTACACCCGTGGATAAGCACACTTACTTTCTCTATGCATCTTCGTAAGAGGAGGGCATTTCGCACCCACCAGCCCACACCCATGGCTCGTAGTTCAGACCAAGTGGGATCATTTTTCTGCATTGCAGGTAGCATGTTCAGCAGTTCTTCTTCTGCCACTGAGTGAAATGCCCAAGCAAAATGACTACTAGACAGGCCTGAAAAAAAACAGAAAACAATGCTGAGAAGATATGTGAACATACTTCTCTCTAGAGACGGCTCACTTTCTATTGAAAGCATGCTCCTTTCCTACTAGACTTCACTATCACTTTCACTACAAAAAAAGAGTAACATTGTTCTTGCTTATGCGTATGGTTATGTACATATGTAGGCATACCTATAACCAAATCCATGGCGGCAATGATGCAGGCATGGGAGGAAGGATTATTGTTGAAGGGTACTCAGGTACTCACATGACCTGTGAAGAGTTATAGTGTGATCTGAAAGTGGCATGATTAGTGTTATTGTACAATGCAAATTCTAGGGCAAGACTTGTAAAAGTAAAAGACAAAGTATAACTGATACATGGTAAGAAGGGAGAGTAAATGGGATCACATAAAATCTAATTAAATACGTCGTACAGGCAAAAATGCTAATTAAAATCAGAAGACTGGAAGACAAAACAGAAACAAATGGTTGACAACAATTAACTGAATATTTCAAATTAGTTAGTAGAGATGATTTTGAATGTCCCCAATCACAACAAAAAAATGATACAGGCCTGGGGTGACAACTACACCTATTACTCTGATCTAATCAATAAACACTATATACATGTGTTGAAATGCCACACTATACCTCATAAATATGTATAATTATTATGTGTGAATTTTAAATACAGGGACAAAGAACATGGCAACAAGCAAAACAGTAACGAATAAAGTATATATTAATCAGCTATGTCAATACTCACTTTGAATGGTCAAAGTCTAAATCCATCAACAAAAAACACACTAACACCAATCTAAAGAAATCAGTAGCTGGGCATAGAGCTGCATGCTTGTAATATCAACACTTGGGAGGTTGAGGCAGAAGAATCAGAGTTTGAGAGTATGAGGCTAGTGGGGGCCACACAGTGAACTAGAGGAAAGCATGGGCTATGTAACAAAAACCTGTCTCAGAGAAATAAAGGGGAAAAAAAAGAAATCAGAAGTGCTTACACTCCTCTCAGATGGAGCAGATTTCACAGGAAGGACAGCTATGAGGTATTATGTAATGATACAGTATCAATTCTCCAAAGAAAAATGTACTAACCTCAAACTGTAAAACTACCACAAGAAAATACAGGAAATGCTCTAAGACACTGATCCAGCTATGACCCCAATAGCAAAGGCAGCAACAATAGAAACTGACTAATGAGATGATATCAAACTTAAATGCAGAACAAAGGATACAGTGGACAGAGTGCAGAAACAGCCTGCACATTAGGAGAGAGCACTGCAATCTGCACATCTGCTACAAGGTCAATATCAAACTATCTGAAGATCTCAACTATCAATAATAAAAAACATTTTAAATGCACATTAATGAATCCATTAATGAACGACTAGGTAAAGAAAATGCATGAATACACAATGGAATACCAATCATCCTTAAAAGAAAAGGTTGTTCTGTCACCTGCAACAGTGTGGATGAACCTGGGGGCCATTACCTTAAATGAAAGGCACAGAGAGACAAGTCTGCACGACCTCACTCATATGTGCAATCTAAAATAACGCAACTCACAGAAGCAGAGAGCAGAATGGTGGATACCCCAGCCTGGGTTGGGGATCGGAAGGGGGACTTCAAGCAAAGGACACAAAGGGAATGACATCCACTGCACAGCCTGGTGACCACCTTTAATGGCAGAATACTGTATATTCCCAACTCACTAAGAGCAAATCCTAAGTGTTCTCACCGCAAAATAAGTATTTTAGGTGAGTGATATGTTAATAGCTTGAATCAATCATTGAACTCTGTATACGTGTATCCTGACATCACTTTGTACTCTATAAAAATACAAAGTGATCTGTCAATTAAAATTGAAAAAAAAAAATTTTTTTTCTTGGTGGTACTAGGGTTTAAACTCAGGACCTCATACTTTCCAGGCAGGTGCTCTACCACTTGAGCTACTCTACCAGTCCTTTTCTGTTTGGGTTTTTTTGAGATAGGGTCTCGCAAACAATTTTCCTGGGCAGGCTTCACGCTGTGATCCTCCTGATCTCTCCCTCCTGAGTAGCTAGGATTACAGGCGTGAAGCACTGGCACCCAGCTTACAATGAAAATTTATTTAAAAGAACTTTATTTCAACTTTTAGGCTTCACTTTTCCAAAGCTAAATGCAAAATTAGGAAAGAAAGGAAGCAGAAAAAAAAAAAAGTGACAGAGAAGATTAAGAAACAGACCTGCAGAGTGCAAGTTACACTGTTTAGACCTATAGGGTCAATCCACCTCTTCAAGTTCCTGGGTCCTGAGCCCAAAAATAAATAGTGTTTTAACTTATGTAAGATTTCTGTTACTTCTTGTAACCAAGACTTCTAACAGTATGCAAGAATATTTGAAATGCACTAATGTTATCAACTAATATCTGAAATAAAGATATTATAGAATTTTTATTTTCTATATTCTCAACTTTAAAAAAATGTTTAAATTTGAATATATTATTTTTAAATCAAAAGTATTCAAATTAGAGGGGAAACATGAATTTGAGTAAATATCAAAAAGGAGAAAAAAAGACAATCTAAAAAAACTAAAGAGGTTGAAGCAATGCTAATTTAGCTTTAATATAACAAGCATTTTAAAACACAGCTCAGAATATTCAATATCCATTTCTTCATTACCTCTCTTCATCTACTGTTAAAACTGCACTATTGCTGGCAGAGTGGCTCAAGTGGTAAAGTGCCTGCCTAGCAAGCATGAGGCCCTGAGCTCAAACCCTAGTACCGCAAAAGAAACAAAAACAAAAACCAAAACCCAAAAAAAAACAAAAAAAGAAACTGCACTATCTTGAGCAAAGAAAATTAGCAGGAAATACGAATGTTAGAAATAAAGAAAGCTTTGAATGTGTCAAGTGAGTGTCCCATCTGGGCAAACAGCTTGAAAAGCTCACAAGGATCTCTCTTCCCACCCACCATACTTTCCTGCAACAGATACCAACAAAGTCACCTTGATGCAGCAGCTGAGCTCGATAGGCTGGAAGGGAAGTTGTGAGGAAAGTGTGGAGTCGAACAGCCAAAAGAAACTTTAACCCACACTCATCGAGAGTTTCTCCACCTATGACCAGAGAGGAAAGTATTTGTATTTATTTTTACATGTAAAAAACCATTTTGTAAGCAAAAACTCTGTCAATCAGCACATATCACAGTAGCATAAACAGGGACAAAGCGCTCTTAAACTGACAAAGTGGTCATCAGTCTAAAACACTTTGTAGCATTTCTTTTTCTACCCAATTTTACGTTGCAGGCAAAGAAGCGTAGCTAAATAAGGGGAAACATTAAAGGTCAGAATAAACTCAATGAGAGCCTGTTAACATTTGTTCATTATCACCAGCCTCTTCAGACTTCACCTGGGACTTATTTAAAGTGTAAGTGAATTTCTCTACCTTGATGCAAACCACATAACCATCCCTGTCAGTGGCTATCAGTACTGTAAGAAACAGTTACTTGACTGTATGAATGATTTTTACTTCAAAAGACTAAAACCAAAATACTAATACCATAGTCATATCAAAAAGAGCAGCTAGTAGGAATCCTCTGAGAACTTATTTTTCTTTAAAAGTATAACGATAAATTTTTAAAATTTTGCCTTAAGTTTACTCCCTATTTTCCTTTCAGTCCCCTTAGTTCAAAGGGTGCATCCCACTGACCAATGTCTGACCTACAGGCAGGACTTGTTGATCTCGCTCTTTGAGACTCGATGCAAATTCTCCATTCAAGTTTGTTCATAACAGGAGATTTAAAAATGCTCTCTGGTGAGGAAAAGACCTAACTTTGCTACGCTTGCTACTCTAACACTAATTTTAGGAAACTATGGTTAAATTATAATTTTTAAGAGTGGATGATTGTAAGTGGGAACAAACACAAACTACCTTATGTTCAGGCACTTAACGTAATGGTCTGACACGAGTCTGCTATTGTCTGCCGGAGCCTTTTATGTTGCAAAACTGACAACAGAAAAATGACTGGCATGATGTTTGTGGGTGCACTCCTCATACTTCTGATTATGAGAGAACAGCATTACTGAAGTCAAAACTGTTATGTAGATAGCAATGACTTTTTCGAGGAATGATGTTCCCAAAAAGGCTTTCATAACATCATTTTAATTAAAAATTATTTAAGATTATTTTCTGTGGGCTGGAGATGGTGCCTCACACCTGTAATCTCAACTACTTGGGGGTCGGGGGAGGTGGAGACCAGGAGGGCTGTGGTCTGAGGCCAACCCAGGCAAAGTTAGTGAGACCACCATCTCAATCAATAAGCCAGGTATGGTGGGACATTCCTGTGATCCCAGCTACAATGAAGGCTGTGGGCAGGAAGATCAAGGTGAGAGGCCACCCTGGGCAAAAAAACTGAGACCCTACCTGAAAAATAACTAAAAAACAAAAAGGGCTAGGGGCATAGCTCAAGTGCTAGAGCTCCTGCCTGGTAAGCATGAGGCCCTGAGTTCAAACGTCAGTATTGAGAAACAAAAGACTACTTTCTGTGAAATATTACCCTCAGTTCTTCCTCTAATCCTGTACAGACTTTAGTTTTACCTTGGCTTTTGTCTCTGCTTTCTCCAATGTCAGTGCTTGTGGTGGCAATTGTGTCTGCTAAGGCCATCAGAGACATCTGCTCCATGCGGCTGAGTCCTGGCAAACTAGAGTGAAGCAAGTGGCTGGAAAGAACCTGAGCATGTTCAGGACCAAAGTATGCTGGGCTGTACCGTGAGAGGTCAATGACTCTGGGCTCCACGCGTTCCTCCTCAGTCTCCAGCACGTGGGTGTCCAATGTGGGAGCTGCAGTTTGAAAAAGCTGATCATAGCTTTCTTTTGACAATAGATTTGACTTATTTAGGAAACCATCCTTACTGGATTTCTCCAAAGACGCATAGGAGCTGTCGTCATCTGCTGCAAGTAAGGCATACAAGGGAAGCGGAGGGACAGAGTCTATCTCTGTGTAGTCTGTACTTTCGGCTTTGTTGAAGGCCTGGGGGTCTCTGCTGGTGCTACCACTAGCGCTGATGGTGAGAGACCTCAAGCGGCGCTCGTGATTGGATTCAGCTTCATTCAGAGCGACAACCTCCCCAGCAATGCACTTGACAAGATGTGACAATATAGCCTTTGCTCTTCGAACTTTGCCAAGATCCATGAGTTCCAAAAGCTGCAAGGGATGGTACTGAGGTAAAGTTGGAGAAAGCGCATGAGCTGCTTCAAAAAGACCAGAATCTTCCATATCCACTGATGGATCAAGTGCACTTTTCTTTCCACAGATTTTCTGGGCAAGACTGGTCATGGATCGAGTCAGAGTTTTCTTTGGAGGGTGCAGTCCAGAGCTTGACGAGTTACTCTGTTTTATTAAGCTCAGTATAGATGGCGTGCTCCCATTGCATGAATCTGCTCTAATTGTATCTTGTTTAGAGTACGGCTGCCACTGGGAATATACGTGCATCTCACAATCCATTCCTACCACGAGGATGCCATCCCGGACCCACGACAGAGAAACGGGGAAAGGTGGGGAGCCTTCCACAGAGGAAACTAGGTCTACACTTCGTAACAGCACAAATCTAGAAAGAGGCACGGCTTTTGTGCTCTCCCAGAGAGGGAGTACCAGGCTTTCCTTACCAGTCTGTTCTTGGATCTTGCCAGACAGGGGCCCATACATGAAAAGTTTTGATCCAATTCCTACAGTCAGGATATGAGAACCATCTTCTCTAGACATCCAATCTAAGTGAACTAAATGCTTTGTGTTTGATGTCATACATTCTTTATTGAATAAATACGCCTCTGGTTTATTATATGCCACTAAATTGCTATCGATACTAATTCCAGAATCCAGCACTGTGCTTAACTCATCTAAATGAATTGTCTGTTCAAGGACCCAACATGAACCTCCTGTAGACTCACATTCAAAAATACTTACATGCATCACAAAGTCCTGAGAAGATCTACTATTAGATGCAGGCTGCTTATAAGCTACTGCTAAACGATTTGTATGTGCACAGCTAACTTCTACAGGCCTACCAGGTACAATTACACTACTGTTGCTCTGAAGTCCATCTTCAATAAGTAATGGCCATTCTTCCCAAATGTATGTGAGATCTGTTTTTCCATCCCTTGATGTGGCAGATTCTCCATCTGTTACTCTGCATCTCCAAAATCTTACTTTATCATCTGAGCATGAAGTTGCCAACAAATATGGGGCACTGCAGGCAGGATATATGGAAGAAGAGCTCAGATGTCCTAAAATGAAAATGACTCATTAGGGAACTATCAAGTATGGTCAAGTACTTACATTCTTATGGATTAGAATGTAAACTTGTATGAAATACTGTATTTAATCTAGGGCCCAAAATTAGTGGGAGGCTTTTAATGACACAAACAGGGTATATTTTTTAAAAACCACCAAAATTAGTAGGAGGCTTTGAATGATACCAACAGGGTCTACCTTTTAAAAACCACCAAACCTAGAGCAAAAAGCAAACTCTGAGAAAGTGCACTCCAACTCCTGCATTTATAGGTGGGGACCCTTTACTAGACACATTAAGTGTCGTGCATCTAAATCAAATAACTAGACTAAGGCAGAATTGAAAACTTGAATTTTTATTCAGATTCTGAATCTAGCATTCATCACACAGCTCTTTGTTAGTTTTACACATCATTATAAATCTCATATTAAAGTTACCAATACATGTTTAAAACCTGTCAACATTCCCTGACTCCTCCTCCTTCATAGTTTTTAATGTAAATGTGAATGGCCCACTCTTACCTAAGTATTATTAAATGGTCACTTTACAGGGTCCTATACAATTGAGGTGCACTTAATACAACTGATGCTCAAAGATTTCTAAGTGGAATGTTCAGGCGCAAAGTAATCATATACTATTAACGTTTATCACACAGCCAGACAGTGATAAGTATTTAAGTGTCTGGTTGCCACAGAGTCTCTTTTGCAACTACTCAACTCTGCCAATGTAGAGCAAAAGCAACTATACACAAAAATAAACAAACAGGTGTGACTGAGCTCTAATCAAATGTATTTATAAGAGGTAGCTGACCTCCTGCACACAAACTACTAACTAAATATAGAAATGATCTACAGGACATTCATCACATTTTAAAGGTAAATTCCATCTTGACTTAGTTTTTTTAAAAGCTATCAAGGAATGTAACAATGTTACAAAAGGAAACATTAGCATCATCCATCAGTTTTTCTGGACTCAGTAAAGAACAAAGTTCTTACCTTTCTAATACTACTGATTAAAAAACCATAAGCATACTCTTCTGCCTAACAATAACTCTTTAATTTTTTTTTTTTTTGAGAAATGATGTTATTATGTTGCCCAGACTGACTTCAAACTCCTGATTCTCCTGCCTCAGCTTCCCAAGTGCTGGGACTATCAGTGTATACCCCCACACCCAGCTGAGCTCTTCAGGTTCTATCAATGTGAGCTACTCTTTAAGAAGCTATAACTTTCCTTGCACTGATGTAGTTCTGAAATTAAAATGCACAAAGAAAAGTTAGTCAGAGCCCTCAACTCCTGTGAACTTCACCACTCAAAAGAGGCTAAGTACTGGTAACAATAGGGAAATCTAAAAAGCATTCAGGTTACTCTGTCAAAAAAATGACAGAAACCTAGAAAAGAATAAAGTCACTCTTTTGAGTATGAAAATGAAAAAAATCAATGATAAAAGAAAAGATGGATGTTGTACTGGAATTCTTGATTCCTAGCACTGGGTTCTCCATCTTCTGTGTGCTGGAAAATCACCTGGAACACTTACTAGAACAGACTGCTGGTCTCTGCCTAGAGCTTGTGACAAAGAGCCATACTTTGACAATGAAAATGAAAGGGTTTAAGAACTGAAGTTTTGGAGCTGTGCATGGTGGCACATACTGTAGTCCCAGTGCCTAGGAGGCTAAGGCAGGAGGATTGAGAGTCTAAGGTAGGAGTCTGAGACCAGCCCAGGCAATATAATGAGACCCCGTATGAAAAAAATAAATAAATAAAAGGAGTTTGATATCTTTGCCTTGGCATGCAAATCACCTGGAAGGCTGGTAGGACCAGATCACAGGGCCCTATTCCAGCATCCATCAATCAGTAACTTGCATGTGGCCAAGAATTTTCACTCTAACAAGCTCACAGAATGCTTATGGCCGCTGGTCAGGAGACCCCATTTTGAAAACCACTGCCTCAGAACAAGGGTAATAAGGATCTCCAGAAACTACACTCAGGTGTTCCTAGAACAAGGTCCCAGGCAACTCCTAAAACACCACCAAAGCTGGCAAATAAGGCTCAACTCAGTGACTTATCTCCACTCTACAAACTTCTTAAAGGGGAATACCGTTGTTTTAGAAAGTTCCATTTCTGCTTCTGTGCGAATTTCCTACTGTTAAATACCTAGTAAACACTCCTGGTTTACAAAGTTAGATACATCTCTTTCCACAAACCAAACCAACCTGCTGATGGCTTCACACTTATTATCTCCACTCCTTCTGGCAAGGGAAACTCTTGGCTATACACCATTTCAGAGAGAAGAGACAACTTGCTTGTGCTCTGCAGATTTGCTCTGCAAGCCTGATACTTCTGTGAAAACGGAGATATGATCTTCTCTGGAGAGGAAGAATAATGTTCTTCTGGTTGCCAAACTGACTCAGATATTTTTGTATCTACTTTTTCATCTATAAAACATAAGAAAAGAACCAAAATCTGGGAGGAAGTTCTTAAAAGATTAGAATTATTATTTTAAAAATTGAAAAAAAAACTGTATATATGGCAAAATAATTCTTTACACCAAGAAAATGAGAAAAACATTTTGCTTTTTGTGTTAATGGAATAAACTATAATAATCATCATTGTGTAAGAATAGCTTTAGGAAATATGCCCTAAGCTATCTAATCATGTATAATTTGTCAATATTTGGGCCAAATTAAAATTACAAAAAATAAAAGACTCACCCAATGAGACAGGAATTGACTTTAAGTGTAACTTCCACATGTGTAACAGTGAATGGTTGTCTTGAGTACACTCTATTACAACTAGGTAGAACTTTTCAGAAAATCCATTAGTTGAGCTGCCTGTGGGCATTAGTGACAGTATTCATTATTAACACAGATAAAGGAGATAGCTTACTAAATACACCAAGTTAAAATAAAAGGATTTATTTAGAGAAAGAAAATTAAAAGTTTTTAAAAGTTTTAGCAAGGGTTTATTTCAGCATAACAGGATAAAGTATGGAGAATTGTGGGTATGGAGAAAAAGAAACATTTCCTATTCACACAGGAAATGGGAGCAAAGGCTGTAGACAATTAAAATTTTTTACCTAGGATTCCAAATGCAAAGTGGCATTTTAGAATGTATTCAGCTTCTTTACTGCATGAATTTGTATTAACTTAAAATTTTAACAATTATATGCACGCTACGCTTACATTTCAGTTTTTATAGGCTTAAAATGTCATATATTACAGTCATCAGTATTGAAGTATTCACAGAGATTAACCATACTAAGTGGAAAATTTCTAAACAGGAACTATGTGATATATACTTTAAGTCAATAAACCATTATGAAAATTATGTTGTGAACTCTGTCAAAGTATGTAAGTTCCAAAATGGAAACACTTCTATTTATGATGCTCATCTAATGGCCAAAATTTAAGTATTAATAATACAGCACATTTACTATTCAAGAAATTCCTAGCTACTTAGAAGCTGAAATCAGAAGAATTGTGGTTTAAGGCCAGCCCAGGAAAATAGTTTATAAGACCCCATCCCCAAAATGACCACAGCAAAATGGGCTGGTGGTGTGCCTCACATGGTAGAGTGCCTGCTTTACAAGCTGAAGACCTGAGCTCAAACCCCAGTATCAGAAAGAAAAAAAAAGAAAAGAAAAATCACAAGTCTACACAGAACAATTTTAACTTGAAACAGTATTTGAAAAATACCAATACATCTTTATTAAGTGCCTAACAGAAGTTCTTCATTACCTGTATCAGATAAAACGTTGTCTTTCCCCAGACTTTTCTTATCAAGGTTATTCAAAATGAAGTCTTCTTGAAAAACATGAAGCAGCTGGGTTTTTCTGCCATGCTGAATGTAAATAATACCAACATCATAAGTTGATATGTGTGTCACTTACCTAATGCTACAGATCAGAAAAGTAATACTTACAAGCTTGGTAATGGGATCTAACGCCATAATGCATCCTGGCCTGGCTGTTGATTGCTGACTGACGATGTTAAACACTTCCCCAACATATTTCTGTTGTTTGAAAAAATTGATTATCTCCTTTAGCAAACAACTAAATTCAAAAGTAATTAGGCACAAACATAAGTTTCAGGCATTATAATTTAATTATAAATAATAATTAAGTTCAAACAGACCTAAGTATAGTTATTTTCAACTACAAACATTCTAGGATTTTATCTTAGTTACATAAGAATGAATAAAAATTATGGCTCAATTGTTATAGACAAAAGCAAAAGCTAAAGCTAAAGAAACAAGCTGACTTATAGCACATACAAATATGCTGATCTCGAGTCACTATGTCCTGACTAGTCAAGGTCACATTGCTAAATTCAGTGTTCACCATATCTAATCAGCAGCATTGACCCTGGTGGTTCCTCCCTGAAATACTTCTTCATCTGGCTTCTTCTGGATAGCACATTCACCCTGTTTTTAACAATGTAATACTCCAGCACTTAGTGCTTCTATTGCTTCATTTGTGACTATACTACCTCCCTAAACAGTCTCACCTACCTGTACAATTTTACACTTATCTGCTGACAACTCCCTATGTTATATCTTCAGGTCACACTTCCCGCACTTCCAGAGACCAGCTTACTGTGTGGGCTTTATGAATGACTCACAGGCATTTCGAAAGGAACATAACCCCCCAAAACTCTTGAAATCTTCTGCTCTCCAAAACCTGTTATATCCTTCCTTATTTTAACTCATGGCAAGTCTATTTTACCTACTGCTGACACAATCATGAAGTCATCCTCTTTTTCTTCCCACATGTGATATCCAATCCAATGCCGTTTAAAGCAAATCTAGACCAATTCTTACCTCTATCATCAGCACTTCTACCATTGAAAGCCCCTTTGCCTCTCCTGGTCTACCACAGGAGCTCCCTAAATTGGTCTCTCTGAATCTACTTCCACCTTCCCATGTGTAATCAATCTATACAGCCACCAGGAAGACGCATTTAAAACCCACTGGCTCTCCTCAATGGTGTTCATGTGGACCATAAGGCTCACTTTCTGATTCTACCAGCCATTCTACTTGGCTCTCACTGCAATGACCTCCCTGGTATTCCTTTATATAACCAACATGTGCTGGCCAGCCCTCTTCCCGGGTGACTCTTCCTTTATCCACAATCCTAATTCCCTAGCCTCCTTCCAGGTCTTCACTCAAATGCTATCTCTTCCTTGAAGGTTTTTCCTGATCATCAGCTAAGCTGGCATTCTCTACTTTTTCTGCAACACTGCTTCTCTCCTAATGATTTGCTAACTAACATTTTTAACCTGTTTTTTCCCCCCATCTTACTGCATTAGGCCACAAGTTCTATGGTATAAACTTGTTTTTTTTTTCCACATCTAAATTCTTAGCACTTAAAAAAATGCCAGATAGAAGACAACTCTACGTGTTTCTACTGTAACACTATATATGTGTTTTAGGAAACTGTGTTCTGCAAAATCATGCATTAAAAATAACTTATGTAATTCAAACAGGATTGTAACAAACCACTGATGCTAAACAACTCACTAATCAAGTATTAAGAAAACATTAATTGATAGCTGCAAAGATGTCTTGAGTCTCTTAAGCAGGAAGCCAAGTACAGCTAAAGTCTGTCTCTGGGGATATTAAAAAACAACCAAACCAGCCAGGTATGTGGCACATGCCTGTGATTCCACACTTGGGAGGCTGAGGCAGGAGTACTGTGAGCTCCCTGGATAGCTTAAGCTATATAGTGAGACCTTAAAAGTGCTAAAAAATAATGCCTTTAAAAGCACTAAGACCAGCTGGGCACAGGAGCTCAAATCTGTAATCTCAGCTTCTAGGGAGGCAAAGATCAGGAGGCTCTCAGTTCAAAGCCAGACAAGGCAAAGTTTTCGAGATCCCATCTTAACCACTGGCTGGGCATGGTAGCAAGCCCACCTGTCTTCCTAGCTATGTGGGGAAGCACAAATAGGATCGTAGTTTAGGCAGGCTCAGGCATAAAGTGAGACCTGATCTCAAAAATAACCAACATAAAAAGTGCTGGCTAAAGTGTTAAAGGACCTGCCTACTAAGCACAAGGCCCTAACTTCAATCTCTGGTATTGCACTCCCTCCCTCCCCCAAAATGCACTACTAAAACCAAAAAAGCAGAAATCTAAGGTGATAATGCAGTTGGTAGTTGGTGTTTCTGAGGCACAGGAAGAAGTGTGACCTCTCCTAAAGGAAAGCGTCACAATGATTGAAGGTTGAAAGGACTCCTGCTCAATGACAACTACACTGAGGGCTTAAGATTAAAATTTTGCTCCTCTTACCTAGAAAAAAACTACAAGTGAACCAATGTAAAATCTACACTACACTCCTGATAGACCCCATTTACCTATGAGCAAAGAAATGTTACAGAAACGTGTCTACGACCACACCACCCTGAACGCGCTCGATCTCATCTGAAATGTTACAGAAATATGCATTGTAGGAGGCTGAACTCTTAATATGTGCACACATATTATGTGTGTGTGCATGTGTGCTGAGAACTGAACACAGAGCCTCATGTACATTAAGTGTGTGCTGTGCCTTTCTGGCATAGACTCTACTTTCTGAAGGAATGAAATGGTTTCTTTAGCTTAGGCTCAATATAAAGGTACAACAGAATGAAAAAAAAAATAACAAAGATACATGTGTTTATCACAAAATTATGTCGTAATTCTAGAACATGCCTGATAAGAACAGATAAGTATCTAAAAACATTATATTTAATACTTCAGCCATTTTAAAAGCCATCACTTACAGAAATTTCGGGGTTGGAAAGTTCACATAAAAGCTTCTTGGCATCAATAACAGCTTCATATAGCCTCAGACACTGGCCATCACTTGCCACAAAGCACGCACTAGGAGAGTTGCAGTACGCACCTACAAAGTATTTACAGACATGCGAAACTTAACCTTTTAGTAATAAAGTCAGAACATCTAATATTGAACTAAAAATCAGAATGCTTACCTAGACAATAACTGGGGATGAGAGTAGGGAGCCATGCCACATTGGAAAAGGCAGAAATGTGAAGAGAATTAATCCGGGCAAGCTCAGACACTCCTCCAGAAAATGACAATGGCCCGACTGGGTCAACCCTCCAGAGAATGAGCTCACTATACACTGCATTGGGATCCTGAAATGCCACATCAGCAGTGCTTTTATTTTGTGGTATCAGAGTACATTCTTCAATATTTATAGCATCACAAGGTTTCTTTGGATTATCAGTACCTGGTGTCCTTAATGCATTATGGTGTGATGTTGTCAGTAACAATGGTAACACTGAGTGGCAAGCTAAGTCATTAAGATGGAAGCGATGACCACAATATCTGGATTTGTGAGAAATACTAAGAACTGTAGAAAAAGCAGATTCCTCAGCAAAACTGACCAGCCACTGATTCAGAGACCCATCAGCATGCTTTGAAATCATCATAACATTAGGGGTAAAAATACTTAATTTTAAACTATGAGATGATTTATTTTGACCAGAAGAGATAAGCATTGATGTGGAACGAGTGAGGCCGGAAGGTTTCTGTCTCCCTTGCTGAAGAGCCAAGTCGACATTCTTGGTACAGGCATACATCACTATGCTTTTGCAAAGGGAGCTGGCATCACCCGTGGGGAAAGCTACAGGAATTCTGGAGACGAAGGACACCTGGAATTCAGAAAGAAACCAGTAGAGCACATGAAATGACAGAGACAGACATCGCAAAGCAGTTTTCCCATAAGCATGCACTCTCTGGACAGACTATCATAGCAGTACCTGGACTTGGCGAAACATACCAGGCTGGTACTCATCCAGCCAGTCCACATGCCACACGAGTAAGGAGCCGTCCATGGGATGGATACTGAACAGCATGTCTGCGTTCTCACTCCACTCAGACAGAAGCACTTCGATCTCCCGATCAATAGCTGCTGATGACAGTGGTGTGCAGCTTGAGCTTGGTACTACTTTATCTTCACCCAACTCTTTCTCATGATTTGTTTTCAGGTCATCAACAGCCTCATCCATTTCTACAAGAAAGGAGTTCAGGGATCAAGTAAACAGAATGACACTATTACTACACATCAAAAGCAGCTTTGTGAAGTATCCATATTAACGCTCAAAGAGCTGCCTTTCAAAACGACTTCACTCTGGAAATATTAAGTCCACTGGAATGAACTTGGAATCCACAAGCCCACAGGACAGAGTCAATGGACTACTGAAAAGGACAAAGAGTGAGAAGCAAAACAGGCAATGTGTAAAGTAACCACTCAACTAACCCACACTGAACTACATGACTTCTCTGGACCTCATGTTTCCTCATGGCAAAATGAGAAAGAGAAGCAATTTTTGAAATATCTGATTTCACTACTTTCTCTTTCTTCATAGTACCAGATTTATCCAAACCTTAGTGTGGTGAGAGTTGTCCTCTAGTGTATGCATTTATAGCTAACATGAATAACATTATAAAACCACCATTTTATTTTATTTTTCTTTAACTTCAGATTCTTTTTTTTTAAAGTAATAAATTGTAGTTTAATAACAATTCTTTTTTTTTTTATTCATATGTGCATACAATGTTTGGGTCATTTCTTCCCCTTTCCCCCTCCCTTACCTCTCTGTCCCCTCCCTCTCCCCCCCTACCCGCTTACTACCAGGCAGAAACTATTCTGCCCTTATCTCTAATTTTGTTGAAGAGAGAGTATAAGCAATAATAGGAAGGACCAAGGGTTTTTGCTAGTTGAGATAAGGATAGCTATACAGGGAGTTGACTTGCCATTGCTTTCTTGTATATGTGTGTTACCTTCTAAATTAATTCTTCTCGAACTAACCTTTTCTCTAGTTCCTGGTCCCCTTCTCCTATTGGCCTCTGTCGCTTTAAAGTATCTGCATTAGTAAAACCACCATTTTAAAGAGATACATGTATGGGGCCCAATTTCCAGATTTCCTTGAACACATCGGTAATTAAACATAAACTTGTATATCAACTTATTAATACAGGTAAATACAAATATATTCTCACATCTTTCAACTTCCAGCCCCCCTGTACCCCTCCCTCAACTGTACCTTACAAATATAGAGCCTTTCTTAAAAAGCACTTTAAAAAAATGTTTTGACTATTTACCAGATTTAAAAGAAAATAAGCCAAGACACACAAATGATTAAGAAAATGAAAAATGACAGAAATTTGGGCAAAGGGCATGAAAAGTCAATATCTGAAGAATTGAAACATAAAGGAGCTGGGCATGGTGATACATGTCTATAATTCCAGCACCCAGGAGTCTGAGGCAGAATGATTTCAAGTTCAAGTCCAGCCAGGGCTACATAAATGAGATCTTGTCCTAAAATAAATAAAATGAAAGGAAACAAAATAAATGTAATAAATTAATAAATATTTTTTAAAAAATCATGAAAGTTTTTGTTTGTTGGTTTGTTTTTTGCAGTACTGGGGCTTGAACTCAAGGCCTTCACCACTCCAACAGCCCTATTTTTGTGAAGGGTCTCGTGGAATTATTTGCCTGGGCTGGCTTTGAACTGTGATCCTCCTGATCTCTGCCTCCTGAGTAGCTAGGATTACAGATGTGAGCCACTGACACCTGGCAAAGATATTATTATGTTTAATTTATAACAAGAAAATGCAAACTAAAAAAAAAAGCAATGTAATGAAAAATCCAGTGTTGAAAGGATGTGAAAAAAGCACATCTGGATACACTTAGAGAAAATAGAAACTGGTAAAACATTATCAGAGGGTAATTTATCTGACGTTATTGATATTAAAATCTATGTTTCCTGATAATTCAACATGAAGGAATCTATGCTACAGAAAAAACTCACACAAAGATGAAAAGATGTGTCCTTGGGCAGGTATTCGTAGTATAGCAAGAAATTATTTAAATCAATTCAAATGTATACCAACAGAAGAACTGTTAAACTTTCATCTCAAAGAACACTAAAATTAGCGAGACAGAAAACCTCGCATTAGTCAGTGGAATTACAAGTTGAAGAGCATTATTTTTATTTAAAAATGAACATCTGCAATACGATGTTAAAAAATTGCCTGTATACGTGTGTGTACAAACACTGAAAATGAGGAAACTTTATATCTGTGTCAGTACAGTTTTATTTTTTCTGAGAATCATGAAAAATCTTGTAATTGAAACTTTGAGACTAGTGATGTAGCTCAGTGGTAGGGGCACTGGTGAGGTCATGTTTTCAATCCTCAGTACCAAAAAAAATCAAAGAAAACAAACCGATAAAACCAAAAACAAGGACAAAAAACTCTTCAAGCAAACTAATTTCTGAACCACAGATGGCAGTAGAGACGGCAAGTTATACACCTCAGTAATACTCCCCAGTCCTTGGTACGTAACATCTATCCAGTCAGAGTCTACACTGGGTTTCTGTGACTGACTCTTGCTGATGGAATGAGAATGTAAGTGAAGTATGTCAAGGCTGAGAGACAGTTATACCTTCTCCTCTTCTCTCTCTATACCACCTACAGGATGATTGCAGAGACACACTTCTCAACTTGAATGCACAAGTCATCTGGAAATGTCACTGAACTGCAGGTCCAGCTGCGGTAGCTCTGCATAAGCCTGACGCTACACATTTCTAACAGGCTCCTGGCAGAGCTGACACCAGCAGTCCACAATCAGTCCTTTAAATAGTAAGGTCCTAGAGGCTGATAAAACCTTAAGAACAGAGGACCCTGAGTTCTTAATCACTGTGTGGACAGGAAATTTGCACTGGGTTTACTAAGTGAGCACTATGCCTTAGGATCTGGGCTTTATTCCTGACAATAGCCCATCTCCACTCTGAGGCAAAACTGTTGGTATGTTGAGCACAACTACACACTTTTCATTCTTCTTAAACCCTTACCTTCATCAGACTTCACATCTGCCTGGTTAGCGTCCTCTACACTGGCCTCAGAAGATGGCTGTTCACAACTCTTTCTAAGCTGCTGTAAAAAGACTTCCATGGACAATGTGAAATGCAGCTCTTTGTTGTTTAACCAGTGCACCACAAAGGGCCCGCTCGCCTCTCCATTTTCACTTAGACTCAGAGACGTGATAGATGGAAGAAGTGGAATGTCTGCAAAGAAAACAAATCACAAAATTTAAAATTTCCCATTCTAGCAAAGAAAATGTTCACATCTCCTATTTTGATTATTGACTATTACACACTTATTTTTTGTATGAGACAGAGTTCTCCACTTCTTAATTTAATGCAATTTTATTTTTGTTTCTTAGACTGTTTTAGAGCAATTTTAGGTCCGCAGTAAAACTGAGAGAAAAGTACAGAAACAGTCACACAGCTTTGGTTCCTACATATGCACAGTGTCTCCATTTTCAACATCCACTACCACAGTGATATTCTTGTTACAACTGATGAGCCCATACTGACACATCACTGTCCAGAATTGTTGCTGCACATTCTATGGATTTGAACAAATTTGTAATAAAATGAAAATAAAAGATAAAATTATATATTCTAGGTCATATAATTTAATTATCCATGTTTTCTTTAATCCTAACAAACAGAAGAAACAGAAACATGGATAATTTGTAGATGTGTTTAAAAGAGTATCTTGTGAATTATCAAAAATTATGGTAAAAAGCATTCTTTAGCCTGACTGGCAATGGAAAATGCTGTTATTAATGCCAAAGGAACTAGTAACTTAGGCATCTTGATAGTCACATTATGTTTAATCGACAGCCTCACTCTTTAACTTGTACAATGACCTAGCCACCTAATTCCGAGATGGACATTGCTTATCTATCAGCATCAAGACAGAAGTGAAGCAGTATTAAACTGAGAATCCCTCCTCATGCTCAAGGAAAGGATTTAAGATAGACCACTGCAGCTAAAAAATAATTGTTCCTTGGTGTTGTTTTTGATATAACTGCTAAATCACGTATATTGAGGCACAAATCCAGGCAACATGACAAATGACAATTGCTAATTAATACAAGTAAAGAAAAATTTAAGTCTATTATTATTAAATCAAATCTGGATCATGCTGGCATCTGCAGATACATAAAGGCTAGAGTAGATTCAAGGAACATAATTTTCTCCAACTAAAGATAAAAGAAGAATTAATTGAATTGTCTGTTCAAACAATGTGTCTATTGTTAGACACCAACAGAAAGAATACTATAGGAGATAAATGGTAAGGGAAAAGATAAAAAGAACCTTTCTCCTTTCTGTTCTACTAGAAACATCCAATCCAAAAGCTTCTGTTTATTACCTACACATTCCTTAGGATAATTACTTGATTAATATTTATTTATCACTTACATGATCATGTACTTCACAACAGCAGGATGATACCTGTTTTGATTGCCACTGTACCTTCAGTTCCTATCACTATCTCTAGTCCCTATCCTGGTATAGACTAAGTACCCAATAAAAGCATTGAAGGGCTAAATCGCCAACACATTATTCTTGATTGGACATACATTAGTGCCACGGCTACCCCAGAAGCTGTAGGTAACATTTCTCATATTGACTTGCAGTCACTTCAAATGAGATTAGCAATGTTTTAGGAGACTGTACAGAGGACAGAAGGGATAATGCTGGTGTTTAGCAGAAGTATACTAGCTAAAGGAAACTCCACCTTCTTCTGTGTCTTTACCTCACCCAAAGAATTTGAATAATGTCATTTCTATAAAAAAAAAAATCTTCAGGGTAAGTATAAGAACTAGAACTGTGAGAACATGTTTTTACCAACTCCTCTAGTCTAGTCTAGTGATGGGGGAGCAAATGTGAAAACAAATATAAGAGCTGCGCTTTGAGTAAGACATATGGCATGTGGAAAGATAGCCCAACAGATGGAATTTGGAAGGAATTCTTTAGGGTCCAGTCTAGCTTCTAGTAACACTTGTTTTGACACGCTCTCCATTTTTCTTAGCAACCTATCCTTACTGGAAGATAGTCAAGGAGATGCCACGCTAGAACATAGGGTCCCTTTCTCAGGCCTTTTCGATCAGTGTGAGAATTCAAGCTTTTTTTTAATTCTCATAATCTTGCTCTTTCTTTGTAAATTTAATTTCTCTGAGGTGCTGGGGATCAAACCTAGGGTCTCACGCTTGCTGGGTAGGCACTTTACCACTGAGCTGCACACTCCCACCCCAATACTGCCCTGTACTCAGCAAGAAATTTCAAAAATTACTCCACTAGTCTTACATGTAACTATGTATTATAACTAACAACATAATCTTTTGAAAAAGGTGATAATCTTTCCAAGGCTATAATTTTTAACAAAGATCATTCAATATTCTCCCATTTATATTTTCTTGGTTCATGGGTACTTTTAGAAATAGTACTGTCAAACAAGTAAACACTAAAAAGATCAAAACATACTTTTCATTCTCACTACAAGAACCTCAACATTTCAACTTCTCAGAGCACTTCTCACCTTGATGGATAAAATTCTATTCAAGTAACTAATGGAGCTTATTAACTTATTGCTATGTTTTCCTGAAAAATGCAGAATGAAAACAGCTACATGACAATAGGCTATGCTTAACTGATGCTTAAGAATTTTCCACAATATATATAATAATATAATATATTCTAGGGTGAGGGACTAAAATAGAGGTGAATGGAGGCTTTTACTTCAACACTTTCTACAGATGGTGCTTATCATGTGCAAATATTATCTTTAATTTCTTAAAGTAATATTTCAAGATTCTACTTTAAATGCCTCAACTGTGACTACTGCTTTTTATACTCACAAAAAAATTCACTGCCAGGCACTGGAAGCTCACTCCTGTAATCCTAGCTACTCAGGAAACAGAGATCAGGATCATGGTTCAGGGCCAGCCCTGGCAAATAGTTCCTTGAGACCATATCTAGTAAAACCCATCATGAAAATAGGGTTGGTGGAGTAGCTCAACTTCAGGCCCCAGTATCGCAAAATAAATAAATAAATAAATAAATAATTTATTAACGTGATAAGAACTTAAATCTCCAAAGTCATAAGTAGACCCAGGTATTCTAGATCTTTCAGTGTGTCTAAAAATATATATATTTTACTAAAGGTAAGTGTCTTACCTTTAACTTCAGTTATAACTTTTGTAATTCTTTATGAAATGAATCCAGAAATCAAGTACCAAGCTCAATGGTTTTCATAACTAGAAAGTGACTATAAAGTACTACTTCTGTGGCATTAAGCATTACCTCAAATCTCAACTTTTGATAAACTAACAATAAATCTCAATGGTTTATCAAGAGCTTGTGCCATAACCCAAACCATTGCCCTCATAAGCAAGTAGACAAACAGAAACCAGTGATTTGGCTACAATGAAAACTTGGCACCAAGGAAGTCACCTCCAATATTTACATCTTTAATAGCTAACAGTATAAATGTATTAGTTGTAAAATCAGTTTACCTGACTTCAAAAACACATTGTGAGCTATGCTGTGTTACCTGTGGCAGGGTTGATGCTGGCTGCAATGTGAAAGTGGCACAGTGCATTGGCATGCAGTGGGGCATTCCTGTGGACATGATGAGGATCCTGCTGGTGAGGCAGGTAGCCGGTATGTGCTACGAGGGCAAGTGATCTCCTGCGGCCTCTACGAAAAGGCCTCAGGTTTACCTGTGTGAGCAGAACAAAGTAAGGGGGAATGGTAATAGAACGGAGGGGATGAGCATGTGCAAAGTACACTGTACACACGTATGGAATTGTCAAGATGAAATTCCCAAGAAATATTAACACATGCTAATTCAAAAATAAAATAAAACATAAAAAGTAAAACAAATGCTTACTTTGTTAGGTCATATGAGTTTACATAATAAGTGTTGTAAGTTAACATTTTTCAATGTTTGCTTAGCAAATTTGAATCCTGAAGATTAAAGCCAGAACTTGAAAGTACCTGGACTCCTCTTTTAACCTGCACCCAATATTTGCAAATTTTATTCAGTTTATTTTCTTAAAATTAATTTCCCGAGCTGAAAAGTCAGAAAGACATTTTCTTTTTTTTTTTTTTTTTCCTTTTTTTTTTTTTTTTATTTTTCTTTTATTATTCATATGTGCATACAAGGCTTGGTTCATTTCTCCCCCCTGCCCCCACCCCCTCCCTTACCACCCACTCCACCCCCTCCCGCTCCCCCCCTCAATACCCAGCAGAAACTATTTTGCCCTTATCTCTAATTTTGTTGTAGAGAGAGTATAAGCAATAATAGGAAGGAACAAGGGGTTTTGCTGGTTGAGATAAGGATAGCTATACAGGGCATTGACTCACATTGATTTCCTGTGTGTGGGTGTTACCTTCTAGGTTAATTCTTTTTGATCTAACCTTTTCTCTAGTTCCTGGTCCCCTTTTCCTATTGGCCTCAGTTGCTTTAAGGTATCTGCTTTAGTTTCTCTGCGTTAAGGGCAACAAATGCTAGCTAGTTTTTTAGGTGTCTTACCTATCCTCACCCCTCCCTTGTGTGCTCTCGCTTTTATCATGTGCTCATAGTCCAATCCCCTTGTTGTGTTTGCCCTTGATCTAATGTCCACATATGAGGGAGAACATACGATTTTTGGTCTTTTGAGCCAGGCTAACCTCACTCAGAATGATGTTCTCCAAAATTTGGAGGCTACTTAAAAAGATGGACATCGATCTACCATTTGATCCAGCAATACCACTCTTGGGGATATACCCAAAAGACTGTTACTCCAGAGGCACCTGCACATCCATGTTTATTGCGGCACTATTCACAATAGCCAAGTTATGGAAACAGCCAAGATGTCCCAGCACTGACGAATGGATTAAGAAAATGTGGTATCTATACACAATGGAATTTTATGCAGCCATGAAGAAGAACGAAATGTTATCATTCGCTGGTAAATAGAAAGACATTTTCTAATGATGTTTCTGTGAACAGAGACATCTCTGTATAAACTGTTCTCTTTGTCTACAGCTTGCTTCCAGGACGTGAAGAGTTCCACATTACCATCACACATTAGAACGTTTCCTAATTATAAAGCATTTTCACAGGGATCATCTCATTTGATCCCATGAGCAAGCACTGCAAACACTGTGTCACTTCACTTTCACACCATAAAAGTTTATATGGACTTCAAAGTCATCTCACTAGTAAGAAGCAAAGCCAAAAGCAGAACTCTGTTCAGATTCTTAGTCTAGGACTTCTTTCAGCTGTTATTACTCTATTGTTGAGTATACAATGCAATGTACATTTAATTGTATTCTGAACCATCAGAATACTACTGAAACTTCAAAAATAGATGCTCCACAATCACACAAAGGATTCAAAGATAAACTCTTTTAAAATCACTTCTTGTTTTAGATATTAAGAAAATAATAAGTGTATTACTATTCTATCTTCAATTAGTCCCAACGTCAAAAACTCATTTTTTCTTTCAATATTACTTAGTAAAATAAAGACTCCAAGTTCTGGTGGGTCTAAAGACAACAAATGGCAGAACAGCACATGATAAACAAGTGTATACCACACTCTAAGGGAAATAACTTTAACAATCAAACCTATGCATTCTCAGATTTTAATTCACTTTATATACATCGGCTAAGTCAAGAATAATAATGTTTATTACTATTAAGCCAAGATTAACTTCAATATTATAGGTAGTTTTATGCAAAAGATAAAATCCTCAAGTAAATTTTTTGAGATGAAACCAAAACACCTGAGAGTTGTTTTCCTAAGACACAGACTGTTTTATAATATTACTGTTACAAAAAAATTAAAAAGGCAACTTACAAAAGGTTTTAAAACTTGTAGAAATAACAATGAAAAAACTCACTTCTAAAGCATTTTGAACTCTTTCTTTGCTGGAAGCATTTCTCTTGAAGTTATTTGTTAAGTTAATTGGTTCAGACCAATGGTTGCAGTCGCCTCCATACAACAAACAATCATTTGGTAAAAATGTTTCTACCCAAAGACGACATACATTATCTCTGCAGCAAGTCAACAGCACATTACATACAGAAGCCCTAGGGAATAAAAAGACTTTAGAGGAAGAATACAAATTTTAAACACTATCACAGATATTCTGCAATGTTTTTATGACTAAATGCACACAGCCAATGTAACAATGAAGATGTCTCTCTCTCTATATATATATATATGGGGAGGGAGAGAGAGAGAGAGAGTGCTCATTGAAGTAAATGTCTGTCAACCTGTTTCTTAATTGCCTAGAATTTACTAGTTCTTATTTTCATAATCTAAGATTCTTCCTACGTATAAGGCTGGCAGAGTGGCTCAATTGGTAGAGTGCTTGCCTAACACGTGAAGCCCTGAGTACAAACCCCAGTACCACATTAAAAAAGAAAAAAAATTCTTTCTACATCTAAAAAACAAAAAGTGAGTGAAATCAAGCTCTAATCCCTCAGTTGACAAGCAAAACATATTCACAGATTATGGCAAATATAAAGAAAGTAAGCAAATAGAAACAGAAGAAAATACACCACAAAAGTCCAAGGTTCAAATTGTTGATGAGTAACTGGAAAGACTTATAAAAAGAGAACAGCAGAAGGGAGTGACTAAAGGTCTGAAGAGAGCAAATAAAAGAGGCACAAGAACTTAGACAAGAGGAACAAAGCAAGCAAGGAAGGTCACAATTCACAAGCATGAGAGGGCTATGGCCATGATGGACACATGGCCCAGTGTCTCTCATCAGGACACCTTAGGGCTAGGCAGTGTAAACAACTGACTGGTGACATACAAAAGGTGTGAATGAACTAACTACCTTGACGGGTTTGAGGCATTTCTCTGGCACTATCTCCTTCCCTCACTTCTTTACTAACATATCTTTTCTTCAATGGCATCTCAAATTCATGTATAGTTAACCACCCCGCACACACGCACAAATAGCAAAAAAAATTCAACAGGTATAACTTTATAGAAAGCAACCATGTGATAGGTAAAGTGTCCCCAACACCTGTCCTATCTTGATATAATAACAAGCTAAGATGGTTTTAAATTTTTATCTGCAGCCAACCTTTAGGGGTTCTTGCAGGGCATCTCCAAACCTTCCAACTTGTCCTACAGCCACCAAGAATTAGCAAAGAAGTAAATGCTCATCACAAAAACACCCATTCTTCTCAACCTAGCAGTCCCTCTGCATACAGTATTCACTCATTAGAGAGCCTCAATTTAATAAACTAAATGTCAGGCATAGTAGTACACACCTGTAAGTTCTAACTACTTAGAAAGCTGAGCCCGGGAGTTTAGGTTCTCAACAATACAGCAATTCAGCCTCAAAAGTAAAGCAAAACAAAGCAACTACCTTACATACTGAAAAATCAGAAAAAGCAGGCTAAAATGAACCAATCCTTGTATGCACATATGAATAATAAAAGAAAAATGAAAAAAAAAAAAAGAAAAAGCAGGCTAGGTGTGGTGCTTCAAGTCTATAATTCTAGCTAGTCAAGAGATAGAGATTAGGAGGATCATAGTTCAAGGTCAGCATGGGCAAAAAGTCTGCAAGACCCCACCTCAACCAATCAAAGCTAGGAGTGATGGCATGTACCTGTCATCCCAGCTATGCAGGAAACATAAATAGGAGTGCAGTCTAGGCTGGCTAAGGCATAAAGTGAGACCCTATCTCAAAAATAACCAAAGCAAAAATGATTGGAGGTATGGCTCAAGTGGAAGAGCACCTGCCAAGCAAGAGCAAGGCTTTGAGTTCAACACCCAGTACTGCTAAAAACAACAAAAAACCAATGGACTTTGATGGGATCCTTCTCATGAGAAAGGGTCAGCCTTCCTACCGTATACCTGCTGGAAATTGGTGAATCAAAAATGAAAACTAAAGAAGCTCAAGAAGATTAGTTGATTTTTAAGTGACATGAATCTGAAAATAAAGTTCTGGGGACCTCAAAAAAATGTCATAACTGGACTGGGGGTGTAGCTCAGTGATAAGTCTCATGCAAAATTCTAGCTCTAATCACCACAGTTCTGTATGCTATAGAATTTAGTTTAGACAGAAAATGCATGGCCAGAAGTTTTTTTTTTTTAACTACAATTCTTTATTGCTATTAGCAGACACCTTTAATGGCTCAGTTTAAGGCATCTGCCACTGTCTTCCCTATGATCAGTTTTGCCAGCACAAAGTGAGCTGCAGAAACTCATGAGCCTCCTTTGAATAGTTGGTGGATGGAGCATCTGCAAATGAGTCAGATGAAATGATGTGATCCTAAGACAGGTCTAAAAGGCCTGCAGTTAATGATGACAGCTGGGATCATTCAGAACTTTAAATCAGTAGTTAACATCTGTCATGACCTCATTCTACTCTGAGCACATTTTATTTATGTAGTGACAGCCTGAGAGGAAACAGCAATAGTCTGACTGAAGCTGAGGGAAGGTTGCTTTTGTTAACAATACACACTGTCCAGACCACTGTCCCTCAGCCCAAAGAAATGGCACGTCTTCTAAAGAACGGAACCACTACTTATCCTTCCCATACCTATGCTTTGTTAGACTGGCGGGCCTCAGTAGGAGGAAAGTAACTACTGTACTATAACTCAAAAAATCTAGACATATTTGGGTACAGCAGCTCAAGCCTCTAATTCCAGCTACTCAGGAGGCAGAGATCAGGAGGATTTTGGTCTGAGACCAGTTCAGGCAAAAAACTTGCAAGACCCCATCTCAACCAACAGCTGGGTGTGGTGATGCACATCTATGTGCCCAACTATGTGGGAAGTATAAATAGGAGGTCCAGGCAGCCAGAGCAAAAATGCAAGACCAGACAGGCCATGGTGGCTTGTGCCTATAATTCTAGTTACTCAGGAAGAAGAGGTCAGGAGTATCACTGCTCAAAGCCAGCCCAGGCAAATAGTTCGCAAGACCCTATTTCAAAAAAAAAAAAAAAAATCCAAGGCAAAAAAGGGCTGGCAGAGTGACTTAAATAGTAGAGTACATACATAAGAAGTGTGTGGCCCTGAGTTCAAACCCCACACCACCGAAAAAAAAAAAAAGAAGTGAGACACTATCCCAAAAACGACTAAATGCAAAGGGTGGGGCATGGTCAAGTGGTAGAGCATCTGCCTAGCAAGCTCAAGGCCCTGAGTTCAACTGGAAATACTACAAAAAACAGAAGAGCAAAATAAAGTCAACTAATGATGTGGGTATACAAGCAGAGATTTGTTTAGACTGTCTCAAATGACCAAAGTCACAGAATACTGAGGAGGTAAGAGGAAAACATACATGGTGATGCCACATTGAAAGCTACCAGGTGTTACAAAAGTGATTTCTGCATACACTGAAAGATTAGGCTTCTCTGACTTAACACAAGTATAGGGGAAAACTCAGTGTGATATCAAGTTTCTCAAAGACTACAGGAAAGAAAAGTACTAACAGGTATGCACAAGTGTGATTATATGGGTTGAACTAATGCCTAATTCAGAGCAAGATCAGCCTATTCTCCTCAAAGATGCTGGGTGCAGACAGGTAAGTGCTGAAGACTCGTGCTATATCCTCTCAATAAAGCTCTTTTTTAAGAAAGAAACCAGAAGACACATATACTAGAAAGTACAAAATGAGGAGAGTAAATGTGAGAAAACCCACATAAACAGCCAAGTGAAAATAAGAAACAAAGGAATTGGACACAAAGCACAGAGAAGAAAACATGCAAAGACTTCTGATATGGAGGTAAACAATCTCAGCTCAATCTCTTTTCACATGACTCTCATCCTAAGTGTCAGTCATAGCTGACTCAGAGCGTGAGGTGTTAGGCCAGGGACTACCTTGTATCCCTCTAATCTTCAAAGACTCTCAAAGTGAGAAAACCTAAAAGTCACAATGATGATGCTTTGCTTAACATATAGGAAAACATGACCAGTCTACTAACCTAGGCATGTATTTGCTTGTTTTGCGCCAGGAAAATCCATTTACAGCTCGAGGATGGGCCAGATATACAAAAGAAAAGTCAATTTCTCCTTGGGACTGTTTTTCTGAACTTCTATCTGGAGAGGTAACAGCTGTCCGCCAGTTTTCTACATTATACCAAACCTTTAAAAGACAGTCATCCTAAGGGGAAAAGAACACAAAAACATCCAGATCAGAATCAATTAAAAGTCAAATTAATAAATTAAAAGTCAACTTAATTAAAAGTCAAACAGTACGATGGACATTGTGGTCCTACCTAATACTCAGGAGAACTGGAAGTACAAGGACAGTCTGGCCCACATGGTGAGTTCCAGACCAGCTGGGCTACATGGGGAGACCTTGTCTCAAATAAAAAAAAAAGAAAAGAAAGAAAACCCTAAACAATAAGTCAGATTTTTATCCTCAATAGCAGAAACCTGGGGATAGGAGGAAGGGTTGGGCACTGAGAAAATGAGAAGAAAATCCGATTCTGATAATTTTCTATTACATTACTTCTGTGCGCTGAGAAATGAAATGTAGGAGCATGGAAAATACTTGCTAATTAGTATAGAGGGGAAAGAGTCATTCAGGGAAGACTGACAATGAAAAACGCTTCTTCTTCCATAAGCAAAGTATCTAATAAGAGCAACACCATGAGCAGAATTACACAGATTGCTAATTATGGAAAAAAGGGACACTTCATGAATTGTCATGAGTTTTCAAATAAAATGTGACAACGATCACAACTAGTTAGCATCTACTCTTACAAAAGTCTTCTAGCAAATCTGTACCTAATTTGGACAAACAAGACTAAGAAAGACTAGTACCAGGTGTTGCTCTTAATCTATAATTGAATTTCCACCTGCAAAGTCAATCAGAATGAATACTCCACTGCTCTCCTCTAAAGAATTTTTAAAAATTAAAAATTACTGTGGTTTTAGAGTATCTCACGCTCAGTTTGCAGGATTGGAGCCATGAGAACAGTGTATTCAGTCAAACTACAAGGACTTTACAAACTACTCTGTGAATTAATGATTAAACATGAAAACAATTTCAAGAAAATACACTGTTCTAAAATCCACAGGAAATAACAAAGTATGGGCACTAAGTAATGGTCACAAATGTTCCTCCCATGAACCCACAAAGATGTGTATTTTACATGCAGTCTATACACATCAGCTCTACACGCAGAAGCTATGCTTACTGTCTATGTATTACATGTAAAGCACTAAGCCGGTCCTCCACATACAATATCTAAATGAAGCCCATGACAGATGGCCTCTCAGGTCATCATCACCAGCTGAGAAGGCTTGTTCAGCTGGGGTGTACCTAGATCTGCCTCTAAGTCTCATCTGTCTGTTACACCATACTGCCTTCCAGCACTATGATATCTAGCCAATTTTTCTATTTAATATTTTTAATAGAAATTAATGTTTTCAAGTTAAATCTCATGTATGAAAATGGAAAATAGAGACATGTTGAAACTATTCTAGGAAGGCAGGGAGGAGAGATAAAGGAGAAGGATGGAGGGGGTGAATTAAACTATTATACAGTATAAGAATTTTTGTTAATTATTTTAATTTCAAAATAAAAATTAAATACACAATTTGATAATAGCATTTTCACAATTTACCTTCCCAGCAGTGGCAAAAAATTCTCCATCTGGTGAAAATTTCATTAAATGAACTTGAGAAGAAGTTCTGTAAATTAAACAGATAAATAATTTGCAAGGAAATTAAATTGAAGAATTCAATATTCTTAAAATTATACTTCAGCCAGGTGTCAGAGCCTCACGCCTGTAATCCTAGTTACTCAGGAGGCAGAAATCAGGAGGATTGAGGTTCAAAGCCAAGACAGGCAAAGACTTCTTGAGACTCTATCTGGAAAATAACCATCACAAAAAAGGGCTGGTGGAATGACTCAAGTGCTGGAGCATCTGCTTAGCAAGCATGAAGCCCTGAGTTCAAAGCTCAGTACCACCAAAAAAAAAAAAAAAATTGTAAGTCAGCAGTTCCTGTGTTAAGTTTCACATTTTTATGTTGCCCAGGCTGGCTCTCAACTCCCAGGCTCAAGTGGCCCTCCTGCTTCAGTGCTGGGATAACAGATGCACCGGCTCTAAAAATACAATCTTTTTTTTCTTTTTCAGTGCTAGGGATTGAACCTAGGGTTTCGCACTGCTAAGCACATGCTCTAACTCTGAACTAGCACCCTAATTTTTTTTCTTTTTAGAAACAGGATCATGCAAGGGTAGCCCAGGCTGGCCTGGAACTCACCATATAGTCCAGGCTGGCTTTGAACTTGTGATTCTACTGTCCCCACCTCCTGAGTGCTGGGATTTACAGTTGTGAGCCACCATGCAGGACCAGCCCCCTAACTTTCAAGTATATTTGAAAAATGAGCAAACTACTAAGATAAATTTTAAATATAAAATATCTATTTTCTAAGAATCATACAAGTAATGATTTGTCAAAACCTTTTAAAGCCTAAAAAAAATCATAGCTGGTCTCCTTAAAATGTAAGAAAGAATGGCTTCCTTTTAACGTGGAAATCTGATTTCCAGAGCCGCCATGCCAGGAAATACATTTTCAGATAGTGAGTTAATATTTTAATATAAATTCTGTCTTCCACTGGGAAACATCCACCCAAAGGTTAAATGTGGGTACTAGAGGATGTGAAGCGAGCATGGGTTCAGGTGGCCAGTGTCACCCATCTACTTGGTACATAACTGCCTTTTCTTCTCAAAGGAACTTTGCTTGTCTCCTTGCACTGCCTCCCCTCCTCAACAACCCCCCATCACCATCAGTTCTTTCTTTGGTCTTGTCTAATTCATGCTTAGATAGCTAGATGTACACTAAACTTATTCGCAAATATGCAACGGGGAATTCTGCCACGTTTCATTTCAAATACAAATGACTTTTTTTTCCAATTCTAAGTATAATAAATAAATAAATAATGGAAAAAGTTGATACTGATGGATGAAAAGAAGAAAATGAATAAGTATAATGTCACCAATGCATTAATACAGACTTCCAGACCCTTTTTTCTCTACTCTCCTTCTCCATTTACTTTCTGCAGGGGAAAAGGGATGATAGGTTGGGAACCTTATTACAATAATATTACAATTGCTTTGTGAAATTATTTACTTATTTTAAAATGTTATGAACTGGGAAGGAGACATGGTTCAAGTGGTAGAGCACCTGCCTAGCAAGTGTGAAGCCCCAAGTTCAAACCCCAGTACCACCATAAAAAAAAAAAAAAGAAATGTCATGGATATCTTTGCATCTAGATGCAAAATGTGTTCATGTGTCTGGTTATATAGAGCTGCACAATTATTTTACTGGCTTATGGCATTCCATGGAACACATATACAATGATTTCTGCCATCTCCTAATTCTTTTGCTGCACCAATAAAAAATGTGGTACAATGAACACTTCCACATACTTACTTTTTAAACATCTGCTTACTTTAGGGATATCATAATCCAAAGTATTAAAATTGCCAGGCAAGGTGCCATAATGCCTATAATTCTAGCATTCAAGAGGCTGAGGTAGGGAAATCTCAAGTTCAAAGCCAACCTGGGCTACATGTTTCAAAAAAAAATGCACTGAATACAGGGTATGGTGGCTCATGCCTGTAATCTTAGCTACTTGGGAGGGGGAGATTAGGAGGATCACAGTTCAAGGTCAACCCTGCCAAAAACAAAGTACCTCGACTGCATCTCAGCCAATGAACAGTTGGGCATGGTGGCATGAGCCTATCATCTCAGCTAAGAGAGAAGAGTAATTAGGAAGATCTTAGTCCAGGCCAGCCCAAACAAAAGCAGCCCTATTCAAAAATTAACTGAAGCAAAAAGGGATGGTGGTGTGGCTCAAGTGGTAGAGTGCCTGCCTAACAAGTGTGAAGGACTGAGTTCAAAGCCCAGTACCACCACCAACAAAAACAAATGACTGAAACTGCCTGCTGTTCATGATTGTGCCCTTGCTTCCCTACTTTTTCTCAAAGCAGCAGCTAGAGTTGTCTTTTTTGTGTTTGTTTTGTTTTGGTGGTACTGGGGTTTGAATCTACGGCCTTGCACTTGCTTGGAAGGAGCTATACCTCTTGATTCATGCCACCAGCACGTTTTGCTTTAGTTATTTTTCAAATAGGTCTTGCTTTTATGCCTGGCCAGCTTGAGCCACAATTCTATTTATGCTTCCTGCAAATCTAGAATCACGGCATGCATCACCACATCCACCATTTTATTGGATGAGATGTGGCCTCTAACTTTTTGCCTGGGCTGGCCTCAAATTGCCATCCTCCTGATCTCTACCTCCCTATAGATGTGAGCCATTGCTCCCAGCACCTAGAACCAGCTTACTAAAAGGAAACCAGGTATCAGTACTCCTATTAAAAACCACCACCAACTTCCCAACTCATTCACAATAAAAAGCAAAGGCAGCTAGGCATGTACTAAATTTGGGACTTTCCTTCTATGACAACTCACAGAGCACATTCAAGTTCTCCTACAGAAGGCCTTCAATACACCTGTAGAAAAGGCAACAGGACTCTCCTGCCCCTCCTCCACAGGAAATCTCTTTCCAAACAATAACTTGTGCAAAATCCTGTTCCCTCTCTGCATACTAACCTTTTTTAATGCATATGACCTGGATGAGGAAAAAAAATATACGGGAGCAGTTCTTTCAAAGCCTCCTCTGTAAGTTTTACACATAGGAGATCTGCATTTCTCTCACTGAGATATTTGACAACTGCCCTATTATTGATTCATATAAAATTGAGTCAGGAAGAATTCTACTTAACATCTGTTGTACCAGTTTACTGATTTATTATCCGCCTTCCCTTCAAAGCACTTTTACAGCTGCCTGGAACATGACAAGTACCTAACAAATATCTCTGTTGAATGAAAGAAACCTGGAATTGCTATCTTAAAATATTAAAAAAAAAATTAAGCCTATCAACTCATACTTCCAAACTGCTCTCTAGAAAGAAAGAATCAGTTGCACTCCCTCCCTTATTAACAGTCCATAAGAACCTGTTTCTCCAAACATTGCTGATAGCTCTGAGCCACCTTATTCCTTTGGAACATTTCAGGCTCTGATTGAGAGAGGTCTGAGAGTCATGTATGCACTGCACATTCTGAAATGTCGTTTACCCTCATGGTCCCTTTTCTTCTCTAGGTAACGCTTAAGACCTCCTTTCAAAAGAAAACATTACCCCCCAATTGCACATATTTCCTCTCATGTTTTTGTTTCCTTGTATTTTTCTGCCTTTCTGCTTTGTTGATACAGTTAGACCATTAATTTTCCCGTATCTCTCAGTTTCTACTTTTGCTATCATATTTAGAATGTCTTTCCTTAAACAAAGCAGCATTTTTGTCCACCAGCGATGTAAAATAAATGACAAAAATTAGCTGAAAAGATAATTTAAAATTATTCTGTCAGCCACAGGGAAAAAAGTAAAGATAGACAGGTAAAATTAGTTTTGTTTTATTTAACCCAGTACCTAAGAAAATTATCATTTGGATATGTAATCAAAAGAATTATTGGAGTATTTACTTTTTTCATGCTAAGCTTTTAAAATCCAGCATGTACATCATACACACGTAAATTGTAAATTCTTTTATTTAGTACAAGTTTGATATCCTCTATGCATCTAACAGCACATCCCAGTTGGACTGACTGTACTTCATGTGCTCAGTAGCTGCCATATTGGACACTGTAGCTCTAGACTGTAGAAATTCACCCATGAGTTCTTCTAATATTTATGTGTCATTTGTAGAAATTCAATGATTTTCCTCCATCTGATGGTTATTTTGGTACCAGGTATGAAAGAGACTCTAACTTCACTTTCTCCTTCACAGAGCTAGCTATGTTATATATGGAATGACCATGCATAATTGAGTCTAATCTGGGCCCTAAAAATGTCTGTTCCTATATTAACAAAATGCTTGATCAACTGTGAAATTCATTTTACTATACTATATAGTTTTACTCTTTTCTTTCAGAATTTCCCTGATTTTCCCATAATTTGTTCTTTCAAAATGTTTAGAACTATGCTCAAAGTAGAAATTCCAATAGGATTTTAACAAGGATTATGGTCATATCTACATTAATATGAGAAAAACAGACTTTCTCACAAAAAGAATACTTCAATTCAAAAGCATGAAAGGTTTCTCTGTTCCCTTGTATGATTTAGCAAATTTTCACTTAATGATCTTCTATAGAGGCCTCACACATTCTTATTTCTTTCTAGTTATTTTGTTTGATCTTTCTTTTAAAAAAATGGATTTTTGAAAGATAGGAAATGGCAGATTATCTGTGTACAAGAAAAGATATGTCAGACTATGATCATGACTGTTAGTATGGTTCTATACCAACTGAAATGCATTTATAAGAAAATCATTCACAGAATGGACTGGCCAGTCTAATCCTCTACTTCATTGCTTACTTGCAATGCCAAATGCATCTCCAGTCCCCAAAGTTAAGATCCATTTTCTCTGGATTTTCATCTTCAGTTTGCTTCTGCAAGTTAACATTGGACCAGAGTTGCAAAGAGCTGGAACCAGTCAAAAGACGATTTCCTAAAAAACAATTATTCACCAATTATTATTTAGGTACCTAATGCTGAGTTAAGTTACCTGCTCAAGAGTTTCATATAATACTATAAAGATAATACAACTTCTTTTTTGAAGGGGACAGTACTGGGGTTTGAATTTAGGGTCCTGTGCTTGCTAGCTAGGTGCTCTACTAGTCGAACCATCCCTCCTCACCCCTTTCTGCTTTAGTTGTTTTTCAGATACGGTCTCACCTTTTGGCCAGGGGCCAACCTTTGACTGCGAGCCACCAATCTATGCCACCTGTAGAACTGGGATTACAAACACAAACCACCAACTCCAGCTAAATAGTTGAAATGGGGTCTTGTTTTTGCCTGGGCTGGCTATGAACTGCAATCCTGCTGGTCTTCACCTCTGGTGTAGCTAACATTACAGGCATGCATATGGCCTACAACTCCTTTTTAAAAAGTAAAATGGCGGGCCCAGTGGCTCATACCTGTAATCCTAGTTACTCAAGAGGTGGAAATTAGGAGGACTGCAGTTTTGAGGCCATCACCAACAAAAGTCAATGAGACCCATTCTCAACCAACAGCTGGGAACAGTGATATGCGCCTGTCATCCCAGCTACATGAGAAACACAAACAGAAAGACTGCAGTCCAGACAAAAATATAAGACCCTATCCCAAAAAGAACTAAAGTAAAAAGAGTTAGAGTTGGCTGTGGGTGTGGCTTAAGCACAAAGTCCTGAGTTCTGGCAAAAACGTAAAAAAAGTAAAATAAAAAGATACTTTGGGGAAGGAGGAAGAAGGCTTTAATTCTGTTGAAATGGCTTGGAAAACAGGGGAAGAGATCCTATGACCTCTCAATTCAACAAACATTGAATTAGCATCTTCTTTCTGTCAGGCACTTGTCCTGGGCACTGGGATACCATGACAAAACAGTCATTTTCCTGATGAGTTCACATTCCAGTAAAGAGAAAGACATGGAAAATTAAGATTCGATATGAAAGAACTTCAATTTCTATGTTCCAAAACTAACTTATGTTCTAGATTCAAGTTTTAATCTATTGTTTTGATATGCAAGCATCACAAATAATACCTATCCTCCACTACTTATAAATCTTATAAGCACTCTTCTTGTCCTCATAGATATATGCAAAGTGATCTTAAATCCAGTTATCAAGAAATGTCAATTCTGTTGCCAAATGATTTCATATCTGTGTGTTCCTTTCATTATTCATTCGCTCAGTATTAACTGAGTTTCTACTACGGTAAAGGCATGAGATTATTTCTCACTCAGACTACTAAGAATGCACCCTCCCCAAAAGTCACCCTGCACGTTGTTCTTCCTTCCTTTTTTTCTTCTACTATACTGCTAGAAAGCCAATCTTACAAACCATAAATTTTAGCCATGAACCATAAATTAATAAATATTAATTTATTTCAAAAATAATAGTTTTTGTCTTCATAAAACCCCTTATTGCACCAATAAAAATAATAGCTTTTAGGGCTGGAGGAGTGTAGCTCAGTGGTAGTGTATGTGCCTAGCATGCATGAAACCCTGGGTTGGATATCCAGCAATACAACAAAAAAAAAACCAACAAAACCAGGCTAGAAGTGTGGTTCATGTGGTAAAGCAGCTGCCTATCAAGTGAGAATGAGTTCAAACCCCAGTACCATGAAAAAAAAACAGTCTTCTAAAAAACAACAACAACAAAACCTATAATACTCTGTAGACAATTAAGAAGAATTAGGGCTCAGGGTATAGCTCAGGGGTAAAGGATGAGCTTAGCATACACAAGGCTGTGGGTTCAATCCCCAAGGCACACGCACACACATGCACACGAATAAATTCAAATTCCTTAGCATGACTTTAAAGATCTTCCATAATGTGCTACAATTTTGGAGTCATTTTAGCTCCAATGAAATGAGTATTATTAAATACTTCTTAGATTACAGCTTATCCTTTCTCTGTGACTTTAAGGCTCACTGTGGTGGAATAGTAAAAATGATTCAAAAATCTTGTCTCCCTGTGTCCACACTCTCTGCAACATGACTTTGCCACACCTTTCATCAAGAGGGAATCTATTTCTCCCACCTCTTGTATACGGGCTGGACTCATCACTTGCTCTGCCATATAATGAGGCATGAATGTATCACTGTGGACTTCTAAGCTCATGTGTCAGGACACCTTGGGGCTTGTGCTTTCACACTCAAAGCTAGTACTGTGTAAAATTTATGCTACACTGCTAGAGAGGCCAAAAAGAGAGACAGGCCTTATGGAGAGCAAAGGTGTCCGTGGACAGCAAGCACCAAGACCGTAGATGTGAATGAAACTTCCTAGAGTCTCCGGCCACAGAAAAGCTGCTTCAGGAACAAAAGTCGAGCCATGCCCACAGAACACAGTAGTAATTCCTATGGGAATCACGGACAGTGAAATGATTGCTGAGATAAGCCATTGGACTTTGGGGTGGTTTTATTTTTGTTTTTTTTTTCTTTTATTATTCATATGTGCATACAAGGCTTGGGTCATTTCTCCCCTCTGCCCCCACCCCCTCCCTTACCACCCACTCCGCCCCCTCCCTCTCCCCCCCACCCCCCCAATACCCAGCAGAAACTATTTTGCCCTTATTTCTAATTTTGTTGTAGAGAGAGTATAAGCAGTAATAGGAAAGAACAAGGGTTTTTGCTGGGTGAGATAAGGATAGCTATACACAGAGTTGACTCACATTGATTTCCTGTGCATGTGTGTTACTTTCTAGGTTAATTCTTTTTGATCTAACCTTTTCTCTAGTTCCTGGTCCCCTTTTCCTATTGGCCTCAGTTGCTTTTAAGGTGTCTGCTTTAGTTTCTCTGCATTAAGGGCAACAAATGCTAGCTAATTTTTTAGGTGTCTTACCTATCCTCACCCCTCCCTTGTGTGCTCTCACTTTTATCATGTTCTCAAAGTCCAATCCCATTGTTGTGTTTGCCTTTGATCTAATGTCCACATATGAGGGAGAATATACGATTTTTGGTCTTTTGGGCCAGGCTAACCTCACTCAGAATGATGTTCTCCAATTCCATCCATTTACCAGCGAATGATAACATTTCGTTCTTCTTCATGGCTGCATAAAATTCCATTGTGTATAGATACCACATTTTCTTAATCCATTCGTTAGTGGTGGGACATCTTGGCTGTTTCCATAACTTGGCTATTGTGAATAGTGCCACAATAAACATGGGTGTGCAGGTGCCTCTGGAGTAATCTGTGTCACAGTCTTTTGGGTATATCGTTTGGGCTGTTTTTAATGTAGGCATATACTTATGAGCTCTTCTTAAAATTCCTTCTTTTTTCCTCCTCCTTCTACTCACTCTCATTGCCAATCAGGTCAAAAGGCTCCTCTTCAATAAAACTTGGGAATTAATGTCTCTTTCTAGCTATAGCGCTTATCATATTCTATCATTTACTAAAGTATATATTTACCCTTGTTTCAGTATAAACTCTAAAAAGCACTTACTTTTGCATGCACCAGTCTGACACAGGAAATATTTGAGTAATAAAGGCCAGAATCTAAGCACTGACATTTCATTTAAGTTAATCCTGCTTACTTTCTTACCTGTAGGATCCCAAGTGATATTGTGTGCTATTGAGTCCAGAAAAAACTGGCCCCTTTTCTGCCACTGATTATAAAATTCCTAAAATTAGAAAAAAAAAAGTCATTTAGCCAATGCTGATTAGCATCTTTTCTCTGTAAAATATGTGCTTATTATTTGTTAAAGCACGCAGTTACCTGTTTTCATTTATTACCATGTAACAGTTGTACAGGAGGATGCATTGTGATATTTATGTATGTGCTGACCTCATAACTTAGTTAGATTAACCCCCTCCATCACTCTCCCTCTTCCCCCTCCCCTGTTCTTAGAACAATTTCAACAGGATTCATTCTATTTTCATATTTGAATATAAAATACATCTGCCATATTTGCCCTCCTTCACTCTTTCCTTATGCCCACCCCCCCTCCCACTGGTACCCACTCCCAGAAAAGACTTATTTTACCCTCCTGCCCTTCTTTTTTCTTTTTAATTAAGGTTTTGATTTGGTACTTCAGGCCTGTATATATCTTGCTTTGCTGCTACTTACTCACTCTCTATCACCATGCTCCCCTAATATTCAATGGCTTACAGTACAGTGCATTATATTATACTCATGTATAGATGAGTTATTTCAATATTTTTCATTCTCTAACATTTTCCTTCCCTCTCCTGCCTCCTGTAGCCCCCTCAGACAGACTCACTAATATAATTTCATTCTCTCTTTCACTGTATGTATGTGTGTACATGTGCCTATGCGTGTGTATATATATGTGTATATGCACACACACACATATATATGTGATCATCTATGTAGCTATATATACATTTAACTTTAGGTCTAGTTTCCACATATGAGGGAAAACATGCAACCTTTGACTTTTTTGGGGCATGGTTTACTATACTTAAATGAGGTTCTCCAGTTCCATCCATTTACCATGCCATTCTTTTTAAGGAGAACACACATTTCAATTCAGTCAAGAAAAACAGGGACTGTCTGATGGAGAAGATTACTGTGAAAACATCCATTGTTAAAAGTGCTAAAGTCTACCATTAGTTTTATATTTTTTAAATTTTTTATTAGGATATATTCGGTGTACAGGGGGATTCATAGTGACAATTCCAATTAGGCTTATATTATACATTAGTTAGAGTATTGCCCCCACTGTCTCTCCCCCTCAACCTTCTCCCCACCCCCACTTAAAGCCATTGCAAGAGGGTGGAGTTTTTTTATTCTATTTAATATAAGTATATGAAGTTCATCAAACATATACCCTCACTTTAATCACCTTCATTCACCCTCCCCCTCTGACTTGTACCCCCACACACATACTGTACCTATACCATTAGCTTTTTGTTTTTTGTTTTTTTTGTTTTTGCTTTTTTTAAAAGCAATCAAGAAGCATATACCACCTTAGAGAGCAATCTTAAGGGCTGCACGTGGATTACCTTTGGTATTTTATTATAGTTACGGTCAAAAGTTTAATGTTAAATGTGTGTCTGTGGCTCTGCTGATGGTATGTGGCAAAGTTCAGAACATGAGATGCAGCACTTTCAATACACACTTTGCCTTTGTCTATAAATCAGTAAAAACTGCATATTGCTACATGGCCGAGAAAACACACACACACACACACACACACACACACACACACACACAGATATCATAAATGAAATTCTGGTTTTACTACATGTGATCAAACTGACATTTTCTATTCTATTTGGTTTCCTTTTAAATTCAAGTAGTGGCCTACTAAATTGATTTGCCTGCTAAGTAATAGAGAGGGATCATCCATAAATACTCTTTTAGGTGTTTTGTTTGTTCTGAGACACAGTTTCATGAGGTAGTCCAAGCTGGCCTCAAACTTTCAATCATTCTGCCTCAGCCTCCCTAGTGCTAGAATTTCAGGCATGTGCCACCACACCCCATAAATATCCTCTTAATGTGTGTCCCTCAAGCTTCAGTACAACAAACAATAGCCTAAAACGTTTATTGAAAGTTCAACTTTCCAAAACCCATGACCCAAAATTCAGGTTCACAGAATGCGCAATACCTGAGGTGATTCTGACAACCAGCGGCCTGCAGATGCACGTCTATGAAACATTGGCATAGCAGGAATTGCTTCAATGACAGTGAACAGAGCCCTCTCTAAGGCTAGATGCATGTACATGGCACAACCTATGCTTACAGAGTTACAAATTCCCAAGGCAGAATCTAGACACATACTATTCTGAAGTGCACCTTTCGTGGAGAACTACAATCTCAAAAGATGATTCTAGAATATACAGAGAAAAGGGAGTATTTTTTGCATGAGGACTTAACATGTCTCTGAAACCATATTATACAACTATACTGTGTATGTCTTCCAAGTCATACGACTTTTCCATTTGATCCAGCTTTCCCTTCAAGGTTTTTAGCTTCTCTGCAAAGCCAATAGTGTCTAACAATTTAACTACCCTCCTCTTGTTGAGTACTTTGTAGTATTACATTCATCAACAATAAGTAAGAGAAAAATAAGCTAAACTGAAATCCTCCTTTCTCTTAGAAATAAAGGCGTTTTACATTTTACATAAAACTAATTTTTAAGTCACCTTTCCATTCAACAAACACTTATTGAGAACCAAAACATTTTGTTCTGTGAAGGGTAACATCCACCTTTAAAATTCATTTTTAGTACTGCTAATTCATAAGGAAGTAAGAACCTCTAAAATTGGATTAACTAGGTAATCTATAAGTGCTAACAGAAATCAGAAAGAATTGTAGAACTCCTTCAATGATATTTAAAGATGGATGTGGGTTTAGTGGTACATGCCTATAATCCTAGCATTTGGGAGACTGAGGCAGGAGGATCCTGAGTCCAGTCTACCTTGGGCTACCTAGCAAGACCCTATCTCAAATATATATCTCTCTATATATCTCAAATATCTATATATTTGAGACACGTATATCTATATATAGACATGTAGATATATAGACGAATTAACCCAGGGAAAATATTTTTATTAACATAAGGTAAGGAAAGAATATTCACACCTAGGAATCATCAATAGAGCTGAGCCTCAATAGTTGTTTCACTGGTCAAATCACTTATTTTCTTTATGCCTCTGTTACCGGATTCAAGAGAGACAGAGGGAGAAAAGAAAACATAAAAGAGAGAAAGACTTCAGAAAGAAGGAAGGAAGGAGGGAAGGAGGAAGCTATCTAAACAAGAGGAAAGTTGTCTAAACTACGTTAGAGATAATTTGCATTTTACTAACGATACAAAAATGATCAAAAGATTAAAATAGTGCTTAATTTGTTACATTTCCACACATCTTTGATATGATGTCATCCTAATAATAACCCCATCAAGAGTGAACAGATATTAGTCAATTTCAGAGTGGAGCAAAGAACCTTATAAAGATGACTTTCTCAAGATCAAATAGCTATAAAGCAGCAGAAATAGAAAGCAGTCCTAAGAATCCTAACCCACTGCTCTTTCAACTACTACTGCCCTCTTTCGTATGGTTTAAATAACTACTTTAATCTTCAGTAGATACAGGGGAAAAATGTGGTCTGTCATATTTAAAAACATAAAAAACACCTAAGAAACATAGTATAAAATCCCAACATTTATAAACTATTGGTTAACCAGTTTTCAAAACAATTTCTGATATACCTTCTTTATAAAGAAAAACAGCGTTATCGATCCGATAACAATGACATTACATAATAAGAGCAAGAAACTAAGTCCTGAAAGTATGTTAACACTGAAAGTAAAACATATAACTAGGAAAAAGCAGGAAAAACTTCACAAAGACAGACGTAAAAACCAAGAACAATATGCTATGTGTGGCTGCACAATGGTGTTGAATACCAACAATAAAGTAACAAACTTTAAATTGTTGACTCTTTTAGTGTATATTAAGAAATAAAAAATGTCAGGAGAGAAAAAAAAGCATTTCAAGAAAATTCACTAGCACGATTTACTGTAATTCAGTTCCAATAAAAGAATGAACTCTATTTTAATTTGGAAGCTGGATTTAACATCTATCTTCAGTTACAGTCTATGTAACTTATACTAATTTATTTGACGCTCTCTCTGATTTTATAACCTTTTAATAATAAAGGAATTTTCAAACCCCAGAACCACCAAAAAAAAAAAAAAAAAAGAGAGAGAGAGAGAGAGAGGAGAGAGAGAGACATTTCAATTCCCAAAAGAGAACTGGTAAATTACTGACCAAATTTTTCTTTTGTCTTGGTAGACTGACTGGTTCAAAAATAGAGATAACGTTTCCGTAGGATGCTGCAATCTTTTAAAAAGAAAAAAGAAACTTATTATGGATATATTGATAATACTGAGGACATATTAATGTTATGGATATAGTAGTAACATATTATTGGCATATTAATAATAACATGTGGATCAAAAGAGCAAATTAAATAAATACTGTAATTCTACATATACCCCCCTAAACACAGACAATTTCATTCACTGATATTCACTGATGATTGAGAACCTAGCATTGCCACCTCTGTGCACTGGGCAAGTTGCTCTCTCTCAGCCTACCACAGAGGGTTCCCTGTCTGTGTTTATAATGTATTTGATACTTTCATCCTAACAGTCTTATTTTGAGCTGAAAAGAATAATTGTAAGACACTTAACATATAATAAAATAATATATAACATGCATATAGTTAATGTTAGTTCTTTTCCTCACAGAAGAAAACAAAACAAGTGTCATCCTTGCCAAATATGGAATCTGATATGATTTAAAAATCAGTTTGGGATAATCTGTCCTTAAAGCCAATAACTCAGCCTGCATATATTTAAATTCTTAAAAATAAAACTTAGATCTATTCCTTTGTAAATTCCCTCAGTACATTTTTTTTAACATTTTACTTACCTTTCAAATTTATTTTTTGTATTTTTTTATTTTGGGGGGAGTGCAAGGGTTGAACCCAGGGTGTTGAACATCTACTCTATCACTGAGCTACATCCTAACTCTTTAAATTTACTTTCAAACCAATGAAACAACATTTTCTGGCTTTGTTTATAAGGCAGCTACATAAGTGAATCCCATATAAAGAACATCACACAAAGGGGTGGTAGAGTGGCTCAAGGTATAGGCCTGGAGTTCAAGTCCCAGTACTGTCCCCCACCCCACCACACCCCTCACCAAAAAAAAAAAAGCAGTAAAACGTTTAGAGGTGACTGATCACCAATTTGGCTAGAAGAGAGTATTCCTTATAACAGAATAATGAACACGGCCTGAGCTCTGTTCTACAAGGATTCATGCCAATGTGAACAATTTGAACTTTTCCAAGGTAATCCAAACCTGAGAAGGTATTGAAGCTGATGAATGACAAGACAAATGCAGATGCATTTTTTCAGAAAAATTAATCTGCTGGGTATACAAAGACAAAATGTTAATAAAACACTATTGTCTATGTGTTGAATACATTTTCCTTCTTAAAAGCAAACAGAAGTCTCTAGGTACTAGAACCTGAAATCTTCTGATACTTTCAGGAAGACTTTGGTAATAATAACACCTATAGATAAGGAAATTTGTGTTCTATTTGAATGATCTTAAATCAATATGACTTCTTCGTCCGACTTGGGACTGTCATGTAGTCTACTCTATCACTAAATGATAGCTCTCATTATAAATTATTAGATTTCCAGCATTAACTAGCTCTACTGAGTCTGGATGAAGCAAATTTTTCAGGCAATAATAAAGATTACAGAACTGCAGAGCCAAGAGATCAGACAAACGAGAATGAAAAAAGACTCAAATATTTTTAGCATTCCATAGTAATATTACAAGAACCAATAAAACTTAACAAGAGAAAGACAGATGAGACATCTGCAACTATATTAAAGAGAAGGGATACAGTGTAACAAAAAGAACTGCAATACAACAAATAGGTAAAAACTGCTATTGTTGAAACTTCTTTAACTAAATGTATCTTTAGGTCCCAAATAGTGACTTTTCATACTAACAGGGTTATTAGAAATCAGGACCCATTAAAAAGTATACTGGGCCCGTGGACTCTAACTCATAAGGCAGTATTTATTCTTCACACAAAACGTTCAAGTGGGTTGGGTATAGCTCAGTGGTTAAGTGGTAGAGTTCAGTGGTAGCTTAAGCATGCATGAGGCTGGATTAAATCCCAGCACTAAAAAAAAATTCTAGTGTAATCATGTAGGCAAACAACATATTCACATATCTAAGGAAAAAAATGAGTTTGTGGAGTTCAATCCATACCTAGACCTGGTCACCTTTGCCCTACAGTGCCATTCTAACCCAAACGCACACACTATGAGCACATCTCCCACTCAAGCCAAGACCAACTGGGTCTCAAGTGATCCACCACAGCTATGTGCCATTTCCTTTGTTCTGTTGTTATCTGACTTTCAAAGTTACCTTTTTTCACTTTTCATGTGCAAGTATGTCCACCCAAATTTTCAATTTTTCTTATAGACTTGGAAATTAATAAAACATTACAGATTTTAGAAGTTTATCATACTTTCCATACAAAGTTAATCTACCTATTTACAAAGACTGACTACCAAATGAATCATCTTCTGCAAAAAATGTGTAAACAGACTGAAGGCTTATTGTCATCTCTTTCCCATGAGCCAATTAATTTTTTAAATAAGTTAGCTTTTGTCTGGGTTGGGTTTTTTGGTTTTGTTTTCTTTTTGCAGTGCTAAATAAGCTTCCAATCTACAATAAATATTATGTTTCTTTCTCAATTCAGAGAAGATTATGGTGCACTTTTAAATTATGTAGGAACAGAATTCCTGACACCCTCCAAAAGAAGTCCACAGCTACTCTGTCCTTGAAACAAGTCTCTAACTGAAAAGGAAATACATACTTCAGAGATTAACCAGAAAAAAATATTCAAAATAAACTTGCACATTACTGCAAGATTACAAACCTTGCCTTGCTGCATTGAGCAGTCTATACACCCTACTTGAATGTTTCCATGCTGAGCTCCTGGGATGATCTGTAATCTTTCAAAATCACTTCCCAGTATTACAATGTCACATCCAGATGCATATGCCTAAGAAAAATAAAAGTGACAAAGTGTCAAAAACATTTATAATATAGAAATGTAGCATATATAGCACTGAATATTGTGTTTTAAATAGACCAATTTTAAATGTTTTCTTTAAAAAAACAAAAACCTTTACTTGAACTATTTCCCTGTCTTCCCATATACAGTCCAAGAGCAGATTCTCCCAGCCCTATCTGCAAACCAACTATGTCCTCTTTTTTCATCTCTATTGAAAGCTCCACCCTTGTCTAAGACACCATCACCTCACTCCTAACAGCTGTTAACAATCCAACTGCTTCCATTCTTGTCTCCCTCTAATTGATTTTCATACAAAGAGTGATTTTTTTAAAAAAAAGTTTATTATACTAAATAATTTTCCTTGCTTAAACTTCTTGAATAAAATCCCAACTCCTCACCATAGTCAAACCCTACATGTTTATCACCCTCCTACAAATCCATCTCAGGTTACTCTTTCCTTTTTTGCTCCTAACTGGCTCCTGCTCCTACATCACCCTTCCTTCTGTTCCTTTCTCTGTCTCAAGGGGGTTTACCTGACTTGTATCTGCAAGGGCTAAGCGAGCTTCTTTTCAACATTTAGATCTCAGCTACCTACCATTCTTAGTGCTTTCGTCACATTACTGTTTATTTTTTTCATAGTACTATATCATGATTTGTAGGTGTCTTTGCTTATTGCCCATTTCATTGCTAATACCTATGAAAAAGGAAAGTCATCTCACAGAAAAGCCACTATAACCAAAAAGGGTAATTGTCCCAATGCTTGTTGGCAAGTATTTTGTAGAACTTTTTGATTTTTTACATCAACTAGCACAACTCTTCCAGCCAAAACTTTTTTGTGTCTTTTTCCACCTTCTTTGATCACAAGTTTCTCCCATTACAGGACATATGGTTGTCCACATAAAATTCATATATTTATTATAGGCAGACATATAGTATAACATGTTGGCAATAGAACATGTGCCACAAACCATTTTCCATCTAAGTTCTTAGAGTCTTCATAATTTCATGCTTTCTTAACACTTTTGTACATATACATATGTTAAAATAAGAAATTACTTCATATACACTTTATCTTCTTCCTATCAAAGTCAAAGTGGCTCTGTATAAGCCATCAAAAATGCCAGAAAAAGGGACTCGAAAGAGAATACAAATAAACATGTTCATGTTGCAGACAAAATAAAGCAAGGCCCAAATGACCTGTTAACTTCTTAGTAGAAGAGTGAGATAGAGAATTCTGGTCTGTTGGTTCTTGGTCTAGTGGTATTTCTATGGCTTCCCTAGTTAAATACGACTATCTGCAACCATTTCTAAAAGGAATGAAGAATAGTTTTCACACAGTGGACAAAAAAATGGCCCACCTAACAAGGATGCAGAACAGGATCATAAGGCTTGTCACTAGCCCATCAGCAATAGTCAATACTGAAATGAATGTGGGTTGTCTTCATAATACTCAGGTATCTGGAACTGATTTTCTCCTTGGTATGGAATTTTGATAAAATGTTGACTGTTGCTGCTTCAAAACCTATCGTGATAAATTTTACATGTTTACAATTTAGATTTGTACCCTTTTCAACTTTTCAGTTTCCAGTAGCTGAATAAAAAAAAAAAAACACGTCTTCATAACTTCCTTTCTTCCCTTATACCTGAAATTATTTACCTAATTTCAGATATTATGTTGCCAATATTTTTGTCAATCATGACTCTAAATTTTCCCACATCAAGTCTATATTAATTCTAAAGTTGCTCACAAATTACTGTTAAATGCAAATATTTCATTTGTAAAGTACAAAAGTAAAGGAGGAATAAACACTTAGTCCTACAGAAGGGAAGGATACAAATGCCTTGCACAGTCACCACTTCATTCTTTTTTTTTTTTAATATTAATTACTAGCAGATTTTTGTTTTATTTATTTATTTACTTTTTGGTGCTGGGATCGAACCCAGGGCTTCATGCATGCTAGGCAAGCACTGTACCACCGAGCTACATCCCAGCCCCACCACTTCATTCTTGAAGGCTCTCCCAGTTCTACATTACTCTGCTCTTTTGCTGCTGCTGCATCATGGCATGCTATCACTTGACTTTTCCTCAATGGCAGAATATGGTCTCTCTCTAATTTTGGTAAAATTTCAAAGTTACCGATCTTCAGGTGTATTATGAAAGACTGAGGTAACATTGGGGATTTTTTTTTCCACATTTAGTACTCCCTTTCTTCTCTTTTGTAACTAATGGATGACAGCAAACTACTAGACAGTACAAAGAAGAAAGGAAGTAACCAACTGTATCCTACACTTTGTTGGTTGGTATTATCCTGGGTTTATAATAAAGATCCTCTTGTTTTTCTTAACTACAGAATTTTTTTTACCATTTTTGATTATATAACTAAATAAAGTATGCATTAATTACAAACCATTTTTGCATTTTGTTCCATTTCTTAATCAAATTCAAGAATTTTTAAATGTTTCCTTAAAATCCTGGTATGCACAGAATATTGTTGAAAAACCATGATCTATATTCCCAGTAGGGTATTATACACCTGTAAAATGAATTAGGAGATGATCTATGAACTGACATGGAGTGATTTCTAAGAGACACTAAGTGAAAAAAGTGAAGTACAAAAGGGCATGCTTGGTATTTAATTTTTGGTACAAGGAAGCTATAAAATTGAATTTTTTTACCATTACAGAAAGAAATATAGGAAGGATAAAACTAGGAAGCAATCAAGTTTGTCACCTAGAAAGGGCATAAGGATGGAGTGGGAAAGATGTAGGAAAAAACATTCTGCAATTTGAATGTACAGGCTGGAAACTTACTTTCCAGTCCAACAGCATTGAGCAGTTTACCCTTTAGTAGGCCATGAGCTCTGCTCTCCCACATGAGTCCAGCCCCCCTCCAGCATGTCCTTCTGTTCTCTGTCAGGCAATGATCAGAACACCCTCACACATACAGCCCCTTGATTGACTTCTTGGCCTCTAGAACTGTGACCTAAATTTCTGCTATAAGGGCACAAAACCAACTGTGATAGAGTAATACTTCTGAGTATAATTCTGCATAGTTACAACTTTTGAAAACATGTTAATATCACAGAGATTTAAAACCCAAATTAAATCAGTAAGAATGAGGACTAGGGCCTTCCCTCAACCAGCAAAAACCCTTGGTCCTTCCTATTATTGCTTATACTCTCTCTTCAACAAAATTAGAGATAAGGGCAAAATAGTTTCTGCCAGGTAGCGAGGGGCTAGGAGGGAAGAGGGAGGTGATGGGGGAAGGGAGGATAAATGACCCAAACAGTGTATGCACATATGAATAAAATAAAAATTAAAAAAAAAAGAATGAGGACTAAGGAAAAACTGAAAATTGAAAGCAAAGTAAAACAAACAAACCAATTCCATTTCAAATTGATACCATATCCACAAGGAAGGCAGGCAAGAAGGAGTAAGTAACTTAGGAACACAGAATTGGACCATAATTTCAGTCTTGAAGAGAGCTACAAATTCTGAGCCATATTTGTGGGTTTGTTTATTATAATGGTATGGACAATGCAATTCCTAAATTTTTCGATGTATTATAGGATTGAGGAATGTGCCAAGGTTTGCGCTGTGTTAGAAGGAACAAAGATATAAAAGGGGAGGGAACAATGGAGCCAGGCAGGGTCAAATTAGAATTGGAAATATTGATACAAACTCATGCTTCCCAAAACATACATATTTTCATGTAGATATGTATGTCATATGCACATACATGTGTGTATCTGTTAGTTCTGTCCACAGAAAGGACCAAGAAGCAAATACATTCTAGCAGTAAAGAGCAAACTCAGCATATTCATCTTGTTCTCTAATACCACTAAAAGGAACAAGGAACATGTTGCTGTATCAGAAAAAAAGGAGATGCTTTTAAAAAATGTACCAGGCTAAACTTATCAGTAGATGGTCAGTCCAGAGGAAAACTTGATGAGGATCAGGATATCTGCATGGTCTCCTCGTGTCCCTCCACAAGTTGTACAGTAGAGAAACTTGGCAACGTCTTGGTGGTTATCACAACTGCTATCACTGATACATACCATATGAACCCAAATGAGATACCCAAAGGACACAACGTCACCTCTGAAGAACTTTGGGTAAGAATGCACAGCTTAATCAAGAGAAATCTAATCAACAGAAATCATCAGACAAATGCAAAAGAAAACAAAAAAGACAGCCAGCAGAAAAAAGAAAGAAAAAAAAAAAAAAAGACAGCTGGGTACTGGTGGCTCACACCTATTATCCTAGCTACTCAGGAGGCAGAGATCAGGAGGATTGTGGTTCAAAGCCAGCCCAAGGCAAATAGTTCAGGAGACCCTACCTCGAAAAATCTCATCGCAAAAAGGGCTGGTGGAGTAGTTCAAGGTGGAGACCCTGAGTTCAAACCCCAGTACTGAAAAAAAAAAAAAGACATGGTCTCACTATGAAGCCTAGATTGGCATCTTGCTTGCAATCATCCTACATCAGCCTCCAAACTGCTGGGATTTCAGGCATGCACCACAACAATCAGCCAAAAAATGCCTATTTTTTTTAAGGTGGGAAGAAAATATTGTATTTTTTTAGGTAGGTGGGGGACACTGTTATTCTTCAAAATTGTCAGTGCTAACAAAGAAAATGAATGCTAAGTACATATAATAAATATAATACTTGCCTCTAAACTGAATCATATATTTAGCACATAAAAATGCTAAAAAGAATATATTACACCAACTGATAATTACAATAACACTAAATAATGTCATTGTATAAAGTTGGTAACTGTAGTATAATTATGTAAAAGGATGTTATTAATCTCTGGAAATGCAAACTATTTCAGAGTAAATAGACACGACATATGTAACTTATTCATAAATATGAAAAAGCTCACATAGACACAAACACAGTGTTACACAAATGATAATAAACATTGGATAAATTATTAACTATAAGCAAATGCAGATAAAGAGAACATAGGCATTCCTGTATTATTT